TGTTGTAACATGCTATTTCAAAGACTTATCTAGGAATACAACCTCGTCTTCTACTACAGTACTAGCTCGCAAACTACTATCGGTTTGTTAGTCAACCCGTTATAATTACTACGTAGAGTTGCTCCTTACATCACTGTCCTAAGTTAGACTCAGACAAGTCCTCGTCATAACTTCGCTTGATCAACGCCTGACCTTTGGTAGGTCCCTTGCGCTTCTCTGCCGAGATATGAGCTTTCCATGGTTGAGCCTTTGGCTCAGTAGCCTCCGAGGTAGGATGTCCCTGAGTGGAGAGTTGCGAGGACCATGCTTCGAAAGTTTTGGCAGATCCTGATTCGGACATGTTGATTGAGACGAGCTAATTGGTGGGGAACTGTGCTTAAATGATTTGTTGTAAGACAAATTCTTGTACTGTGCGGAAGCCTTGAGCGATACTGAAGGAAGGTGAGGCAGGAAGCGGACTATGTACTGGCCGCCCAAGATGTTGACGTTTCCCCTCATGATGGGCCGTCATGTGGCGTCGGGATATGCACGCAGTCATTTCGGCAAGCCGAATCCGGTGTAAATGATTGCTGAGGTAGCGCTGGATTACCCTGGTGTGCGTTAAGAAGAGGGGAAGGGCTTGCATGTGGAAACGCAGTGTGGCTCCTTCTATCACCATTTGCGGACGCCGACATACATAGTCGCCTAACTCAGTTGCTGAACTCATGGCTGGTATTTCTGATGGAGGGTTGCGGTCATCCTTGATTGGCTGGCATAGTTACAGCCTCGGTGATGTGGTGGCGTGACATACCCAAGCGATTACAACTCAACTCAGCAAAGACCAATCACTCGCCACCATGCTTATCTGTAGGTAGCTTGGAGAAGACCCATTCATCCGCATATTATACTGCTTCCACGGAGCTTGGGCACAGTTTCGTGTGATACTGCTGCAATCATAGACCATCATTGCATGATACGTGTTCAGCCTTGGAAAAGTCTGGGCAGACCACACAGCGGCAGATGATACCTCATCCACGTAGAGCGAAGTATGCGTTTACACCACGGTAACACCGGTCTATAGATTGAAAGACGATACCAAAGATGCGTTTGTATTCTCACGAAGCTTGGTATCTAGAGACATGGATAGCTCGTGTATAAGTGCTTGTCTCCCAAGAACGTGCTATGAAGACTCATGCCCGGCTGATGACTATAGACCTTGTCTCTACACTTTCGCGTGGCGGCACATCAGGTGCGACAGGGACAGCAAATGAAGTATGCGGACAGACTATACATGTTAGCTTCTATACTGAACGAATGACATTTAAACCTACGCCTGGGCTGACCCTCCGACTTTGAATCCCACGTGAGGAAAACATACGGCTCTGAAGTCTTTTGCGAGCTCAACCAATACCACCGTTGTCTGGGGTCGTATCTCATCAAATAAACTTCACCCAGCTTGTTGACAACGACACGATCGCAAGCAAAGAGATCTTCAGGGGCGACAGTTCGTGGATCGCAGAGAGCAAGTGGCTGGTCTTCGATAACAGCTACGAGCGGTCTCCAGGTGCTACGATGACTTCGTTACCGGCGATTCGAAACACGAGTAGCTAAAATCACTTACTTCATTAGACGTATCCTCCACTCACCCGTGAGGTATTTTGTCTTGTCCTCCTCTGATAACCAAGAGTTGATAACAACTGTTCCACTGTCCAAAGTGTGGTCTGTATGAGAATTAGCGGAGTTTGCAGCATGCGTTTAATACAGACGTACCAGAGTGTGCCATGATAGCAGGACCCTCTTTGGTTGTAGGATCATTATAATCGACGACGACGCCCTTCTCGAATTCTCGATGGATACGATGCTGTAGCACATCATCAGTGCTTATCACCTGAGGGTACTGAATCTGCCTAACCCTGAAATCGAAAACGATAACCTTTTCGGCGGCAAGACGTTCTTTTAAAAGTTGTTCCACCTCCGATTTGTATGCATCTACTTGCGATCTTTCATCAAGTATTGGAAAGGAGGTAGTGTGCGATAATACCTCGAATCCGTTGTCTTCGATATTGAAATCGCCTAAACGATCCCTAATGTCGACAATTTGAATGCCATCTTGGATGTCCGGCACGACATTGCTGATTTCATGGTCAAACGCTTCATCAGCCCCCGGTATGATGCGGTAAGGCTTCTCTTGTTTGTATTTGGGCAGTGGTGCAAGAAAACATAGACTAGCGTTCAGGTTGGGCATGATGAAGTGTCGTTTGCCAGATTCATGCTAATTCCAAAGCAAACGGCAGACAGCACTGTGGGTATATGTAACACCTAATTTGGTTCTTCGTATCCTCCAGGCTAATGCTGCTCGGCGCTGATAACGCTTGGATTGCGGGGTCGCAAGGCTGTGAACAGCGCATAGACTAATTCCACAGGAAGCGAGCGCCACCTGCAAGATAGGAATACCGGTCAACATGGCTCCATGCCGCATCGAGCGATGACCGGGCGCTTAGCAAAGGAACGAATAATGTTGGCAAGCCACTTCATGCAGGATTGACGTGACCTGCGAGGTCGTGAATAGCCAGTGACGCTCGAGTTGTGGCGGAAAGTGACGCTGAGCAGCTCGCTGAGGAGGAACGACGGACTTTAGTCCTTTAACACAGTACTCGAATATCTCAATCTCGCGATCGATGTAATCGGAACATTTGCTCTTCGTAAAAAAAAATGGCAGACCTTTTCCTGGACGTTGAGAAAGAGGCGTAAGTAGCTCTTAGGGTGGTTGTTTTCCTGTTCATGCTAAGATCCGATTGCGACCAGCGCTGAGTATAATGCTGTGCTTCTTGAGCGTTGGCATGATGCGCTCGAACAATCGTCCAACACTTTAGGCGACGACAAAGCGTTGGCTCAAAGTCTTGGGACTCCCGAAGCGTTCTTGAAGCATCTCGAACAGGAGCAACAACGCAGTAATGCACAATGGTTGACCAAAGTACGGTCGCTGGTGTTTCCATACATCAAAGCCATGAAGTCGTTTTCTGTCTTGTTCCTTGCGCTTCTTGCCGCGCCGCCAACGTCTGCCGGCTTCACCATCGTCTGGGGAGTATTTTTCCTGTCTATCCAGGTAAGGCTACGTATGACACTGATAGTGCGACGTTAACAACCTTAGGTTTGCTTGCAAACTGAGGATCGTTTTCAAAACATGCTGGAGATACACAAAAGTATCCGTCAGACGCTTCTGAAGATTAGTCGATTGTCGTCTTATTTGCGAAGCAGTCTCGAAGAAGATGAGGACTTTAAAGAAGCTGTGGTCGACATCTATGTCGTCTTAGTCAAGTTCTGGGTGGAAGCAATTAAATTGATTCAGGAAACGCGTGAGTCGTCTCTCTCCTTGCCTAGTATCGAGGCGAGCATTCAGCAGCCCAGTGTCTTGTACCTGCCCGTGCTAAGAAGTGTCACGCAGAACTGAACCCTAACACCGACGAACCTTGGAAGACACTTAAGTCTAGGCTCAACCGCGCGGTCACAAAAGTCGAGGAGAAATACCGTTACATGAAGGAAGTCGCAGATGATCGCGCACTACATGGGACTGGCAGTGCGAACCTCCCTTTAAGACTTGAAGCTGGTGCTATGCCAAAAGCCCAACCCAAGCGGCCTGTCTTTGTCTTGAGCATACCCGAAAATTCCCAATTCCAGGGACGAGTTGAGCTTCTCGAGCGCATTCACGCTCACCTTAATCCAGGTAGCCGATCGACCAGACTTGCTTGCTTCACGATCTATGGGTTGGGTGGTGTCGGTAAGACACAAACTGCTGCTGCTTACGCGTACAAGTATGGAAATCAGCAAGGACATGGCACCGCCTACGATGCTGTACTTTGGATCAATAGCCAAAACGACGAGTCCATAAGGAGCAGCTTTGCTGATGTAGCATTCGCATTGAAGCTGGAGGGAGTAAATGGCACAACCGGCCCAGACCATATCAGAAGGAAAGTACAAAATTGGCTTTCTGACACCGGTTAGTGGTCCAGATGTTCGTACCAACTTTCAAGCGAATCTCTAATGTTTGCAGATCAAACTTGGTTATTGATATTCGACAATGTGGATTGCTGGGATACAATAACTGCATGCTGGCCTCCGGGTACCTCGAAAGGCTCCATCATTATCACGAGTCGTGATTGGTCGTTAGCAGATCAGCCAGCTAGTGCCGGTGAAGAACTAGTGAAACTCGATCCTTCCGATAGTAGAGCGCTCTTTGGTAAGCTGTTGGGTTCATTCCCTCAGGACGGTACAGAGCACGTGGTGGCCTTCGACCAGATACTGAAGTACCTTGATGGGTTGCCTTTGGCGATACATCAAGTTGCTAGCATCATACGGTCGAACCATTATGATCTAACAAAATTCCTCAAACTGTACAAGGATAACAGAAGTCAGATGCACCAAGAGCGTGGTACTAGCAGCTACGCGTTCTACAAGCATACGCTTCATAATGTCTGGATGTTTCCTAGTGGAGAAACAAACACTACAGATGGACAGCTCAGACATTTGCTTGGAGTACTTTCTATGCTGGTCTCGGACAGTATCCCGCAAGATCTACTTCTGCGCTCGGTTCCTCTACCGGGAAACGATGCAATGCGCTTCCGGAAGCTGTACGAACAAGAAATGCTGTAGGTATGAACAAGGTACGGTTTTACACTTTACTGATGCATATTAGACTTCGCTCATTATTAACGAAGCTTCGCTCCACAGCGATGATAAGACAATCGAGCGATGTAATTTCGATCCATAGACTAACACAGGCCGCTTTCATCGACTTCATCGATGCTACGCAAAAGAACGAGAGCTTCGCAGTTGCATCTATGCTAGTGTTCGATAAATTCCCAAAGCAGCACCGAGGCGATCCTCTTCTTCCCCACTGGAAAGAATGCTCGGACTTCGCGCCGCATGCACGCAGTTTGGTTGAGCGTTGGCAAGAATTCCATGAGCAGGGTTTGGCGATCACTGCACCGGTCGAGTTTATCAAGCTTCTCTGCAACGCAGCATGGCAAGTTACATTCCAAGTTTGGTTTCTTATAGGCTGAGACTGTCAGGTATCTAAGAGAAATCAACGACTACGATGGCGCTTTGTTCTTCATCGAAACTGGTATCAGTGCTTCTAAGCACTTGTCTACATTTACATCAGAAGCCGAACTTCTGGTGGCGCATCTACGGAACACGCGAGGCGTGGTTCTCTGGAACCATTATGACTACACGGGATCCAGGAGAGAGCTCCAAGAAGCGCTCCGAGTGCGCACGAAGCATATGGAGAAGGACAATATCGAGCTCATTGGAACAAAAGCGAACTTGGCATCCTTGGTGGCCGCAGAAGGACGCTATGCGGAAGCACGAGAACTATATCGTGAAGCGGAGCAGGACCACGATCAATCTAGCGAAGATCCTGCGTCGAAACGATTGGCATCATGCCGATACGCAGCCACGCAAGGTAGATTGCACACAGAATTGAAGAACTTTACTGCTGCTGGGCAGGAGCTTCACCGCAGCCTCAACATACTCAATTCTGGCGAAGACAATGCTCTGTATCGGAGAGCAATAGAGTACTGTTTCGCGAATTTGAGATTGGCTGAAAACGATCTCGCAGAGGCAAGAATCCACTACGAAAAATGCCTGAACGAGTATGACAAGGCTGTTACCGACAAAGACCAGGTGCGGTCGTGTGGTTGTTATTACAAACTGGGCCACATCGCCCTTCTGACTCAGGACGGAGTCGAAGCTGCGTAGGTTATACGTTCTCGTTGTTTATCGCACGTATTGACGAATGTAGTGATCAATTAGAGAAAGCCGCCAACATAGCATCTGAAATTAGGTCGATGGGCTGGCAAGGTCGAATTGCAACGTTGCAAGCGACTCTTGTCCAACAACACCCCGAACTAGCCGCACGCCCAGATATCAACTCTGTACAGCTGCAACGTCGTGCGGATGCTTTGCGCGCCGCTCTTGCATCACTTTCTGCAGAAGAAGAAGGCCTAGGGAAAGAGTTCCACATATACACTCCCTGGCAGACTAGGTAAGGCTGCGCAAAGTAGGAGCTAGATTTATTGCACGATCCCACAGTATGAATACAAAAAGTTTCCAAGACCTCTCTAGCTATCCTAGTTGCTGGAGCTGCAGTGAGACGAGTCGTGCTAAATCGCATCCAAATCTGGTAGCCTTCTTGGCCCAATAACGTTCTCCCACAAGCTCATGAATCTGATGATCTTGTCTTCTTCATTTGCTCTTGCAATGACATGTAATCCGTACGGGCGCCCACTACTTTCGACATAGCTGAAAGGAATGGATGCGAGAGGGTATCCTGTGAACGCATTAGTCTCATAGGCTGCGCGATATGCTGATATGTTGTCAACTCACTTGCACCGACGCCAACTCCAGCAAAAAAGCTATCGGCTGGAGCCACAATAACATCGACCTTATGCTGGTTGATCACCTTGTCCACTCCCTCCGTAGCAGCCCAATCTTTACAGATATTGAGATTTTTCTGCGTCTCCTCTGCACTCATTGACATCTCTTGCGCTTTCAGCAAGCCATTCTGGTTGGGGCAAAAAACTAAGATATGTCAGCTTCTATGCTTCAAAGGTAGGTAGAAGGATATATTACCATCGTCAAACTCTTTCTCGGCGTTGGCTTTGTTGAACTCGATGATGTCGCTCATTGTCTTCATGTTGCAATCCTCCAGAGTGCTGAGGTAGTACTCGCATCCGGCACGAGCTTGACTGCGCATGATATCATCCATGAGATCGTCGACGTTGGTTCCTCCTTCAACCAACCAATCTTCCGGTGGAGTGATAAAGACTGGGTGTACTACACGCGCCCCAGAATCCCGTACTAAGTCGATGACCCTCTTGTAGTCGTTTGCCTACCCGAAGTTTAGCATCAAGTCTCCGGAGAATTCAAGAACAGATATAAACCACATTGAAGATACTTACACTTTGCTCGTTGTATCCTGGAACGTCTCCTCGCGCCTCTGGCGGAAGCCGCCAGAGTTCAATGTCAACGAATCCTACGGAGATTCCGTCCGAGCCATTCTGTATCGCTTCCACGAGAGAAGGTCTATCGGGGTTTGTCTGCTGCAGCAAGATGTCGCTGAGTACCGCAAGATCTAAGGGTGACTTGGCCATCCCACCTGCCGTATCGAAGGAGGCAGCTACTTGCCATACACCTTCCATGCTGACTGCGCCTGGTGTCAGCTTGAGGGCATAAAGCGCTGCTCGACTGGCGGGCGAAGTCAAAGAACCAGAGGTCTCAGTGCCTAGTGAGATCGGACTAAATCCAGCTGCGACTCCCATTGCAGATCCAGTGGAAGAGCCTCCGGGGGCCTGTTACATATTAGTCAGGCGCGCATAATGTGCATCGTCTTACCGTTTCGCCTCGTCTCTTCTCACCAGGTTTGAAGCCTCCTGGAATGTACGGTGACTGACACATGCCTCCAACCGCTGACCATCCACCAGTGCCTTTGAAACCGCAGAATTCCTGCAAAAAGTGTTCAGTGCTAGTCAACCTTAGAGGAAGCCATACAGACAGTTAGATTGGCTTTGCCAAGGACGATGAGACCTTGCTCAAGTAGCTGATTACAATTAGCAAACGCGCGTCAGTCAGCCATTAGGTCCTTACCCCATCGATGATAGCTGCATTCTTCGATATTTTTGTGTTCGTCAGAGCGAACGATCCAACTGTAGTTGGCATTCCCAAGGAACTTTTGGTATTGAAGGCATCCTGGGAAGTTAAAGTCACATACACCAGCTCTGAGTCTGAATGCGTACCTTCACGATGATAGGTATTCCATGCAAAGGGCCCCGAAGCTTGCCACTCTTCCTTTCATCGTCAAGAGTTTGTGCAATCTCGGACAAGTTCGGCGGAATAAAGACAATTGCGCGTATCTTTTCGTTGTACTTCTCGATGTGCTTTCGATATTCTTCGACAATTTGTACGCTAGTGACTGTCCCTTCCTTCAAGAGTTGTTGGAGATCGCTCGCAGTGGCAGATAACGGGTCAAACAAGCTTTGAGACATGGCAGAATTCTTTGGAGCTGGCTCGGCACAGGTGGTGAATCTATCAGAGGAATCTCGAAAGAGCTGGGTGCTGGGTGCCTGGGTGGGATTGTAGAGGGAGGAGCTAACAGCTGGGGTATTGGCGGCGGGGAAGTGCGTGCTCACCGTACGTCCAGCGCGCAGCAAGCCTTGTCACACCAGTCATCCAATGAATTCAACCGTCATTGCATCTGCAGGAAGGCGTCGAGTCGCATTGCTGTGGCTTATCGCCGTACCTAGACCGACACCAATCGTACGGTACATGCACTCGCGGCACGACAGTGGAGAAGTGAGTGCGGCTTGCGTGTCGAGTGACGGCTGCATCCGCGCTGGTGAACGCAGGCGCAACAGGGATCATACGCCAAGCCCGAATAAGCAAGCCGCATAGGAGCAGTAGCCTTCTCAGCGCAATATGGGATCATGCGCCTTGAATGCACATGTGCGATGCATTCGTGTTCGGCTTGCATGTTGGGCGACTGCTGCATGTGCACCGGTGAACGCAGCCGCAATAGTGATCATACGCTGAGCTCGAATACGCAAGTCGCATAGAAGCAGCAGCCTTCTCAACACAATCTTGTATTATGTGCCATGAATGTACATGTGCTGCAATCGTGTCCGTTGCATCGATACCCAGACGTCGGGTAAGACACGTGTAGGCGCGGCACCGATCACCTCGTTGCTGCTTGGGCCGCTCAGCCTACCGACAACAATACAGTATTGACTCGCGAAGATGGCCATACTCAATATTGGGAAGAGAGGGATTGCTTCTGGCAAAAGCGTGAGTCACCATTGAACGCTCTTCGATATATTGACCAAATGCTCATAACTCCTAGCCCATTCCACCGGATCTGACAAAGGCGCTGCTCGCCGCCTTGGTGCCCGATCCAAATGACCAGCCTGATGTCCTGGAGAGCGACATTGTGTTCATTGCACGATTCATGGTGCGAGAGTTGCAGCAATCGAGGGCAATTTTGACCAGCATCCTTAGTAGTACCTACAAATCCCACTGTCTACCTGACGAGCGGATACTATGGTTTATGACAGCTATCGCAGGACCATTGACCGAAAGTGCAAATATTAGTATCGACCGCATTGTTACGGCACTCATCACTGCTAAAGTACTTGCGGATGACTGCAAGGAGGGTGATCGGCGCCTACTCGCTATACGCTCAATCTTCTGCCTCCTCGGCTGCCTCACGTTTCTATACCGGCCAGAGCCTGTGGACAAGAGTACTGCATTGGATATCCAAATGCAAGACTGCTCCTCCTTCACCACACGCTCTCAACAGATGCAAGGCAGCTCAAGGCCGTTTTTCGAAGTTGTGAACGTGTTCAACGCTCTTGGTGATCTCCGAACTAAACAAGTATCTTCTGATACATCGTACGCGGAGTCGAGGCACGCGACTCGTCAGGCATTGCTGCATCCATCACACTTCAACGCCGCGGTTCTCACCAAGTTTGGCAAAGTCACAATAGTTTGGGTCGATAGCATTGGAGCTCATCTTGACTTTGACGCTGGGACGAAAAAGCTGTCCTTGTTTCGATTGCCGTCTTTCATCCGAGTACAGTCATCTGACGGGGCTCTCCTTCCGTTGTCAGTATAACTCAAAAAGTGCTTTTCACAGCTGATGATGGTCTACAGATGCTACTCACAATACGAAAAGGCTCGAGACGACCGTTCGACATGCGACATAGCCGGTTTGGCACGTGAGGTGTTGGACACGTATAGTCTGCTCTTCGGTAACGACAGACGATCGAAAGCCGTTTATCGCAAGTTGATGTTGAAAGCTTCGAGCGATGGAATGGTCGATCCGCTGTTGGACGATTTATGCGGGCTCACTCCATGGCACTGGGCGTCGATCAATCTCTCGCCGCCGCGACCTTCGATAGACGCAGATCTGCTATTCCCCATTCTTTCGGCGCGTATGATGAAATTGCAGGTGTATATAGAAAGTCAGGGCGCCAGAGGGTTGAGGGCTCTCTATAGAGACCAAAGAGACTCTTACCAATGGTGGACCTTCTGGGCAGTCATATGGCTTGGAGGTCTGAACCTGCTCTTTGCCTTTACGCAAAACGTCCTTGGATCGTTGCAAGTGGCATATGCCATAAAGGCACTGAACAAATGAGCGTACCATACGCCTGTACACACAGCGCTTGCACCTTGTACTTGTTGCTCACGACAGACCAATGTAATGTCGCGCAGACTTTGCAACCACTATTATTCCAAGAAACCACGCACGAGTGCTAACGTAAATTGCATAAGACAGTCACCATTCTAGTTGTCTTGCGTCACTAAACACTTTTTAACAGTACATGGTCTACGTATATAGCATAGGTTAAACGATATTGAACCTGGGAGAGTACTGCCTTGGTTAATTCCAACATCTGGTTCGCTTTAGATCTAGCTTCCCTACCGCAGTAGACGTGCAATTTTTGATGTTCACGGACGAAGTCGACCCTTGGGTTTATAGGAACTATCTCAACAAGATAGCCATCCGGATCTCTTACAAACGCTAATTCTGCACAAGCGTCCCACAGCACCTTGGCTTGTCCTCTATAAGCTGGTTCGCATCCCAGGAACGACGCAGCGACCTCTGAGGTATCAGCTACAAGAAGCTCGGATAACATGACTCCAGATCGCTAGATTAGGTGTGTTAGCGCCGGACAGAGGTTCACTCCGCTCCCGTCAGCTCCTAGATTATGAATCTACGAGTCATACTCTTTATCTTTAAGCTTGTATTTTTCTCATTCTCTTGTACATATGAATAGCCCTAATCATGTTCTCACTGTCGAAAGGGCGTCCGCACTGAGTTTCTCGAGATGAATGTTCAGGCCATCATATACTTGGAACACCCGGTCGGCAATAGAAGATTAGTCGACCCTGTAACAATAACAAGCAATCGCTTTGTCAGAGGCGCAAGGCCTGGTGTAACTGAACGGGAAAGACTAGTAAATTTTCGCGCGAAAGCATCGCATTTCTTCATTTCGCATCAGTACTGCAGTAAAGATTGGTAAGCCGTAGTCTTGTCTATCGCAAGCAGAGCTCAAGCCATGATCAAGGCCATGACTAGCAATTCTGTTTCGAGGTGACTCGGCCCTGGATTGCGATATCAGAAGGTTACATTGAGGTCGTAAGCATTATTCATTTCTATGTTTCATGTCGTAACTTTTGTGTCGGAGGAGACGCTGCCAGATGAAAAGTTCTATACCTCCTTCTTGGGAACACCACCAGGCAGAGTCTGTACCTTCTCCTGGAACAGCTTCTCTGCGCCTTGCCAGACTGGCGTGGTCGATCGGTCCTTGAGGGCCATCAGGCTGGGCAGCAGAGCATTGCTGAAAGCCTCTGATGATTCGCGGGGCAGAGCAGACGGAAGGTGGTCAATGGAGATGACGGACAGCTTGGGACCATTACCCTCGACAGAGACGTCGACTGTGGGCTTGTCGAAGGTAGTGTTGATATCGTAGATGGGAATAGGGTTGTGGGGGTTGGTGGTGTCACATGAAACATCGCAGACGACACTGAGTCTGCGGCCTGGTGACTTGAGGCTCTCCTTGTTGACAAAGGGTGGAATGGGCTTGGAGAGGTAGATGCAGTTGACGAAGATGTCTGACTCGACAATCTCTGGGTAAGGACCGTCACGCTCCTTGGTCTCAGCCAGATCCCACTTCTTAATCTCGGGGCAGCCGATCTTCTCGAGCAGGTCGACAGCACCAGAACCACATCGTCCAAGAGCGCCTAGTACCAGACTAGTGGGCTTGTGACCAGCAACCTTCTCGCCAGCTGCGACATCCTCCTTCAGCTGGGTGATCAACTCGCTCTCGTTGTTGTAGTATCCGCGGCCTTCAGTGAAGGTTTCGAGACCTGGCAGAGGTTCGCCGTTGGGGTGGGTGAGCTGCCATGCCCATGTCTGACAGAGGTTAGTATGGGGGGGACAGCATCGTTCTTTCCTGGACGTACCTTGATGGCAAGAGCGGCTCCAACGAAACCGGCGTGGTAGCCAAAGGCAGCAACGCGCCTGCCTGACTCATCCTGCAAAAACTCAAGGTCATACAGGGTGCCTCCTCCGCGGGGGAACCTGGCCAAGACCTTCTCCCAGCCGCCCTGCTGCTTGTAGCAGTGTGCAAAGTGTACAAAAGTTTGCTCGAGGGGGAACTCGTCTTCGGGAAGTTCCTTCAGGCCGATGATGATGCGGTTGTCCTTGGGCGCGTTCTTGTATGCGCCCTCCTCAATGAGGGTTGCGCCTGCCTGTTCAAACTCCTCGTCTTTGAAGATGCGGGCATAGTTGGGGTCTTTGGGTGAGCGCTCGACAAGCACGGGGTAGCCAGCGTCGAGCAGCTTCTTGGCGGTGGTGGGAGTGAGGCTGCGGGCATTGGTGAGTAATGTAGATGGGCGGAGTTTATGTGTATACCTACCACGAGCGATGCTCGAGAGGTTTGGCCTCTGCGCGGGCATGGAGTGTGGGGAAGGACATTGTGTGCAACGGGCAATTGGAAGCGTGTCTTGTCGGTTCAGGACAGAAGGAGAAATTCAAAGATAGATATTTGTTTGCTTCTTCCTGTGCTGGAGCGTCTAACGGAGATCGGAGTATTGACAATGGTCGGCGCGGACTGAAGCAGCCCACGATGACTCCATGGCCAATTTGGCCGGAGGCTCCAAAATCGAGCTCCGAGAACGGCGCTACTGCAGGGCTGCTGCCGTTGATGCTAGCCATTCAGCGGCGGCGCGATGACATAGCCAGATGTGAGCCGTCTGGGTCTTGGGGAGGGTGCAGCAGCAGGACATTAGTAGGGCACGTGCATTGCTCCATGGGCGCTGGGCCGACATTGGAAGCTAGGTAGGATTCTCTGCCGGCGTTGAAAATGACCTGCTGCTACACGACGTCCATGCTTTTCTCTCGCCCATCCTGCCTCGGGAGCGCTATGCTTCACGCTGAGAAAAGCTCGCTGTGCCTGTGCCTGTGCCGTCCTCCATAGCCGCCTGCTGCTGTTCCATAGCACGGCCATCACCCTCACTCCGATTCGCTGCCTCGTCTGTCGCACAGCATGGCTTCACATTCGCGCGACTCCTCAAATGCGAGTGCCCGCCACGCTCACGCTCCTTCGACGCCCAGCCAGCTTCGCCAGGCCCATGTGCCCTCAGACAGGTCCAGCTCGCCCGAGGAAACCATGCATCCCCGCCGCTACTACGACGACGACGAGCCCCAGCCCTCCAGCAGCCAAGCCCCCCACGACCTCGACTTCTCCGCCCAAGGCATCCAGCCCTCGACAGATGCCACGTCAATCCACTCAACCCACGAGAATGTCGCTGCCCCGGGCGGCATCATCGAGATCGACCTCGAGCCCACGGCGCGCACCCGGCTGCTGAACCAGCAGAACTTGGAAGGCTTCAACCGCGGTGATGCGAGGCCGTCGGCGCATCGCAACTACGGCAGTTTTGCGGGCAGCATACACTCGGAACAGAGCTTTGGTGGCGCCTTCCCGGGCATACAGGAGACGCCAGAGGATAGCGAGCCAGACGAGGCGCACGCGCTGCTGGGCGACGCCTTTGCCGACGGCGTCCTGAACAAGAAGAATGGGCAGAAGATGAGCACAACTCGGTGGCTCGCCGAGCGCCATGGTATCAAGGATAAGCGCATGATGTACCTCAAGTACTACATCCCTGTCCTCAACTGGACGCAGCAGTACAAGTGGCGCTACTTCAAGGGCGATCTTGTCGCAGCCATCACCATGGCCTCCTTCTACATTCCCATGGCGCTCTCGTACGCCTCGAACCTGGCCCACTTGCCGCCCGTCCATGGTCTCTACAGCTTCGCCCTCAACCCCCTCATATACGCTGTCCTAGGTACCTGTCCGCAGATGATTGTGGGTCCTGAAGCGCCTGGCTCGCTTCTAATTGGCGAAATTGTGCGTGAAAACATCAAGAAGGGAACCACCGGCGACAACGACGGCAGGCGCAATGCTGAGATTGCTGGCATTGTAACGTGCATGGCTGGTGCTTTCATTCTCATCGCAGGCTTCTTTAGACTTGGCTTCCTGGACAACGTATTGAGCCGGCCCTTTCTGCGAGGCTTCATCAGCGCTATTGGTGTTGTCATTTTCGTGGATCAGCTCATTCCTCAAATGGGACTTGCCAGACTGGCTGCTGACCAGGTGTCGCACGGTAGCTGTGTGGACAAGGTCGTTTTCCTCTTCCGCAATATCGGTCGTGCACATGGGCTCACATGTGCCATGTCCTTTACGGCCTTTTTCATCATCATGTTCTTCAGGTCCGTCTCAAAGTACCGTCTTTATTCCACCTCAACTGACAAATGTGCAGAGAGTTCAAGAAGCGTTTGCAGCCACGATACCCAAATGTCGCATATATCCCCGATCGTTTCGTAGTTGTCGTACTATCTGCTCTGCTTACCTGGAGATACCGTCTAGACCAACAGGGGCTCGCCGTTCTTGGAGACGTAAACTCCAGCGCCAAGATATTCTCCATCCACTTTCCCTTTGAGACGTCGCATCTCAAATACGTATCAGACGCCATCAATACCGCATTGATCATTGCTATGCTTGGTTTCTTCGAGTCCTCGGTTGCCGCCAAGTCCTTGGGTAGTGGTGACCTGAACAAGGATGGTGTTCAGATGCCCCTGAGTGCGAACCGGGAGCTCATCGCCCTGGGAACAGCAAACATCACTGGCGGATTGTTCATGGCACTCCCGGCCTTCGGTGGCTATGGTCGTTCCAAGGTTAACGCATCCACGGGTGGGTTGACTCCTATGAGCTCAGTGCTGCTGTCAATCATCACTATCCTGTGCACTGTCTTCATGCTACCATACTTCTACTACCTGCCCAAAGGCGTTCTTTGCGCCATGGTCTCCGTTGTAGCATATTCGCTTGTCGAAGAAGCACCGCACGATGTCAAGTTCTTCCTCAAGATTCGAGGCTGGTCGGAGCTCATCCTTATGGGTCTTATTTTCTTCATCACCATCATCTGGGACCTGAAGCGGGGTATCGGAGTGGGTATTGGTCTTTCCATCCTACGCTTGATACGTCATTCAGTCCGTCCGCGCATCCAAATCTTGGGTCGTGTGCCAGGAACTACGAACCAATTTTCTAATGCCGAAAATCACTCAGGAGATGTTGAGTTCATCGAAGGGTGTCTTATCGTCAAGATACCAGAACCCCTGACCTTCGCCAACACAGGAAATCTCAAGACCCGTCTCCGCCGCCTCGAGGACCACGGTACTGACAAGGCCCATCCTGCTCTACCCCGTGTTCGCCGTGCAGAGCACAACAAGAACATCATCTTCGATGTACATGGCGTCACATCGCTCGACGGTGCTGGAGCTCAGGTCCTGGCTGAGATTGTCGAGTCATACAGAAGCAGGGAAGTCAGAGTCTTCTTCTGTCGAGTTCCAAAAGAGTCTAGTCCAGTCTATCAGCTGTTCGACAAGAGCGGTATTGTTGAGATGTGCGGCGGTCCAAGACATTTTGTACAGAGCGTTGAGGAGGCACTTCGCATGACGGAACTAGAGCGATTGACCGAGGAATTTGCCAGCTCCGCAGAAGGGTCGAGAGCTGCATCCAGCCGAGCTTGAGTCTTCCAATCCATTTATCTTTTGTTCTATGAGCGATGGGAATGAGCGTGTTAGCACTGCATCTGAGGGTATATGGGCGTACTGCATTAGCGATCTGCTACGATTAGACTTTGTATGTGTTATTTGAGCATGATTTGGCGTTCTGGTATAGTTATGACTATTGGTGTCAATTATGAAAAGCATGTCTATTCAAGTACCATCGTCCCTAGTTCCCGGTGTATTGGACACCCCTCAGGCGTCCCAAAGAATGAGAAAGCATAGCAACTTTGCCGAACATCGCTCCGAACCCGGACCGTCGGTATCACATCTATTTCCGTATGTGCAAGCGCTCGGTACGTCGCGCATGCGATCCATTTCTCCGTTCTCAACATCGTGCCTATGTCGCAATGGAGCGAAATCGGCTACTAAGTGCACCCGATTTCTTTTCGGAATCATGGCGGTCTCGCCTTACCTTGATTGCAGTTCGGGCTATGGTTTTGGAAAGATTCCAGATTCTAGATTCCGAATGCGACGTCTCGGGTTCCCCAGGTGCGGGGATAAGTCGGTGTGGAGCAGACATCGCTCGTGCCACTCGCCTAGAACGGTGCCATTTTTCTTCTACGCTATACTGTGCAGACAATGCTCGCGTCACGACAGACACGCAATGCCAGCGAAGCGTACTTTGAACAGTCATCCATAGCATGAACGTTGAACAACACTTCAAACCTTATGTGCTTGCATTATTCTGCCCTCTGGAACGTCCTGCACATCTAAGAAGCAACACCGTTGGACCCTTGGCAGCCCAAGCCTTTGACGTCGACCAAGCTTTTCGGCGGCCTTCAGCAAAGCTTTTCTATGCCGTGGCTTCCTAGCCAAGCGACGCTTATCACCTCTTGACCACTCTTAGCACGCAGTAGCCCCTGTCGTATCGCGCCCCCATGTCGCGTGCTAACCCTCCAAGGATCGTGTTGCCGCCCTCCGCAAGGGTACTATTGGACATCAAAGGCATATGCGGGGTTGCGGGGACGTCATGAGGATGTTGAGGATGCATTCACGGGTGGTCGCATTGGTTGTCAGTAAGCACGCATTCGGCAAGTCGGACGATGATCGGATGCATGCCTGAGGTGATTAAAGAGAGCGTCGTGCCCGCAAAAGGCCATATCTGTTTGACTTCCTGCTAACCATTCTGTGGGAGGCGACGATCTGTTTCGCTCCGCCTCGCTTTTCTGAGCAGTCCGATATCGTCCATTACCACCATGTCGGACGAGAAATACGACACTACTGAGCAGCGTGAGTACGCGCCGCCGGCTCCAAAAATGACGGCTGGTCGCTACATCGCCACGCGTATTCCAACTCTCAAGCCTGCTCACGATAAAGTCGCCAACCCGATCGCCTTACTGCGCTTGCTGAATCTGCAACAATGGCTCTTCTTTCTAGTCGCGTTCTTCGCCTGGACCTGGGACGCCTTTGACTTTTTCACCGTGTCTCTCACTGTCACGGATCTTGCAGAAACATTCGGAAAGACCAAGGCCGACATCACTTGGGGTATCACGCTGGTGCTCATGTTGCGCAGTGTGGGTAGTATCATCTTTGGTCTGGCGGCGGATCGCTATGGCAGAAAATGGCCTTTCATCGTCAATAATGTGCTCTTTATCATCCTCGAGCTTGGTACCGGGTTTTGCTCCACCTACAACGAGTTCCTAGGAGTGAGAGCTCTGTTCGGCATTGCCATGGGTGGACTGTATGGTAACGCTGCTGCGACTGGTACGTATCATCTCCCTCGTTCAAACCGTCTGGTCGACTAACACAACTGCAGCTCTTGAAGACTGTCCTGAACAAGCTCGTGGTATCATTTCCGGGATGCTACAGCAAGGATATGCGTTTGGCTACTTGCTTGCCACTGTATTTGCCCGCGCCTTCGTAGATACCGTCGGTCACGAATGGAGACCACTATTCTGGTTTGGTGCTGGCCCGCCAGTCCTAATCATCATCTTCCGACTCTGTCTCCCCGAGACACAAGCCTACCTCGAGCGCAAGCGAATCCGCGAGGAACAACCCAACGCCGCCAAAGTGTTCGCCCAGGAAGGCAAGGTCGCACTAAAGCGCCATTGGCTTCTACTTGTTTATCTTGTGTTGCTGATGGCGGGCTTCAACTTCATGTCTCATGGAAGTCAGGACCTTTACCCGACAATGCTGAGCAACCAATACAACTTCTCAGCCAACAGGGTTACCGTCACACAAGTAGTCGCCAATCTTGGCGCCATGACTGGTGGCACCGTCATCGGATATAGTTCGTCAATCTTCGGTCGTCGCATCAGCATAATTGTCATGTGTGTTATCGGCGGCGCTCTGCTCTACCCCTACACATTCACCTCTAGCAACGCTGTCATTGCAGCAGCCTTCTTCCAACAGTTCTGTGTCCAAGGCGCTTGGGGTGTCATTCCCATCCACCTCATGGAGCTGTCTCCGGGATCATTTCGAACGTTCGTTGTCGGTACATCATATCAACTTGGTAACCTCGCGTCGTCTGCTTCATCGACCATCGAAGCGACGATTGGTGAGAGATTTCCACTTCCGCCCAAGGGCCATACGAGCCGCTACAAGTATGGTCTGGTGATCTGCATCTTCATGGGCTGTGTGTATGCGTACGTTATCTTGCTCACGGCATTGGGTCCGGAATACAGAGGAAGGAACTTTGACGTAGCTGCTGATGAAGATATGGCGGTTGTAACGGGGGCAGATGAGGGCAAGTATGTTGCGAGACAGGACAGCGACGTGGAGACCAGAGGAAATGTGTAGAATTCGCGTATCATAGTTTGCAGCCTCGCAGGTTGATCATCGAGTACAAACAGAGAAGATACGATGCCCATAATGTCTCGGAGATATTGTAAACCTCCAACCCGGTTTTGTGTGTTCGTGTAAGAGCGGCATCGACACCCGGCACTGGCAAGCTCGGTTGGCCTGCATGCCGAGTTTACCATATAGAGAATCAACTCCTGCCTTTGTAAGCGTGTGATCGTCTCTCATAAATGTAAAGTGCCAGATCCATGGCGATGACGTGGGTAATTTGGACATTTTAAGCAAGCTTAGTGCTGCTATTGGTCGCAATCCAGATCGGAAGCGGCATCCGTCTCTAGCGTTGTGCTACTGGTAGCAGCCTCACATCAAATATATTGTGTTCATCTTTCGCAATCTATGCAACACTTGGCTTCATCCAGTACATTTTCGTTTACCATCATCCCGCGCTCAACATTCGGGTCTTTCGTGATGTTAACGGCTCCTTCAACTTTATTGCCGGTGGGTATCTCGTAGCGAATGAGCAAGCCCATGGCGGACGACGAAGTATATATCTCGCTCGGAAGTGATCGATATGCCGGTACCAACTGCATATTCATTGCATCTCATCTCGACGATCATTCAAAGTTCTTGCCAAGATGAAAACATCCGTCGTTCTACTCGCTGCCGCTTCTTTGGCCAGCGCTCACTGTACGCTTTGTTGCACTACGTTTGTTCTATCAGCCGAAGCTAACTACTCGAAGACACGCTCCCAAGTCTCAACGGTGACGCAGCCTGGTCTCATGTCCGCCAAGCCAAGAACTGGCAAGACAATGGATTCGTTGGTGATGTGACCAGCAATGACATTCGTTGCAATCAGCTCAAGGCCGGCACGTCGACTCTCAGTGTTGCTGCGGGCTCAAGTGTCAAGGTCAGCGTCAATCCCAACGCGTACCACCCTGGACCCTTCCAGTCATACCTCGCCAAGGTACCGGAAGGACAAGACATCAACACCTGGGACCCTACTGGCGCTGTTTGGTTCCGCATCTATGCCGAACAACCCAAGTTCGGCTCTCAGTTGACATGGCTGAGTAAGTGATGTGCATTTCCATCCCTCCACTGACGTCTACTGACTGCTGTGCGCACAGGTGCTGCCACCTACGACATCAAGATCCCCCAATGCATTGCACCCGGAAAGTACCTGATGCGCAACGAGCACATCGCCATTCACACCGCTCAGAGCAAGGGCGGAGCGCAATTCTACCTTTCTTGCGGACAACTTGAGGTTACTGGTGGTGGAAGCAAGGCACCCTCGAACCTCGTCGCCTTTCCTGGCGCGTACAAGGCTACCGATCCAGGTATCTTGATCAACATCAACTACCCAATTCCCACTAGCTACACCAACCCTGGCCCCCCTACGTTCACTTGCTAGGTCCCTTCTGTGGGCGATGAGATCGGCAACTGAGGTGTATCAAGTGTGACAGTGGAAATAGAGAGTATGGACCGTACCCAGGATGTAAATAAACTTCCAATACATATTTTGGCCATTCTGAAAGTATCGAGAGACAGTGTGTATCAAGATTCGTTAATGAACTGAAGTATCCATCACTAAGTTTAAGCTTACCGCGACCGAGCTAGTGCCTTATCCTTTCCCATAACGCATATACCACCGAATTGCTTCACTTGCACGTGGCGCACTGACAGGAAGAAGAGCATACTCTTCAACCACCTCAAATAGCATGGAAGCGACTCGCCAGCTCCTCGGGATCGTACATCTTGGTAGTCGCCCTCTCCATCTCATCCGCGACATACTTCCAAAAGTTGCGCTCGCACTTTGCTACCGCTTTCATGAGCTGCTCAGTCTTTTCTACCTCCTCCAGACCTTTATCCTGTAGTTCTGCAGTGACTGGCTGCCGGATGTTGGCTTTGAGCTCAGTCGCGTTGTCGTAGTCTTTGATGCGCTTCTTACCCGCCTTGCTGATGACTCCTGTTCCTTGAGCCTGAGTGTACTGATTCGGATTGCGAAGGTGCATGTAATCCTTTGGGTCAAAACCGATCTCGCCGATAGATGTCGCAACGCGAGGTGCATTACGGACATAGCGACTGTAGACGGCCGTTTCTGTGAAGATAGCTGCTTCGCCCTTGTTAAGGCGCTCCTGGTTGAGGTGGTCGGCGATCTCGTTCCAAGACCACTTTTGCTCTTGACGTAGACTCTTTATAGCGACGTTTTCAGGATCTTCGTCGTCGTTGCGGCGTGTGCTGACCTTTTTGTCCTCAGGCGTGAGGACGGAGATGTTCTTCTCGATCTCACTTTTGATTACCCGGGCGCGCTTGAGACTGTCCATGTTGCTTCGGAGGGGTGTATGTAGAATTCGGATGCTAGATTTGTCTTTATTCTCGCGTTTAATCAGTGGACTTTCTCGTTCCCATACGTAGATTGAAATTAAATGGTTGTTGTGGAGAGAGAAAATGAGGCTTAGTGGACGCCTGAGCATCTCAAATACTAGTCCATTCAGGTAGCTTTTTTACAACTCACCTTCACCTCGATATTAGGTTGCAAGTGAAATAATTCTATAGGGTGCAGGTAGGTATCGAGAGCTGTTTGTCGTGCGAGCTTAATGCAACGAATCACTGAACCGCACATGACCATGGTAGTGTATGATCATCGTTAGGCACTCGGTGTGCCAGTGAGTTGCAGCGATTTCGCGTCACTCATGTCAGGGCAAAGAAGAAAGGAACTCAAAACTGAAACGCCACGAATTAGATTCAACTACAGGTCCACCGACTCATCAAAAGTGAAACAGAATACTAATTTTCTTCTACATGCTGACCCAGAAGCATGTTCTCAGGACTACTGCCCAGCGCGAAAGCCAAATTAAAACCAGGTGAATTATATTCAGCTGATGGTTAGGGTATCTCCGATGGTAAGACTCAAGGTCTTTATTCCTACTTGTATTGCGCCGAATGATAGAGGGCATCCGCGTGGTTCAGGTCTCGCTTCGCCTTCTCCTCTGGTGATTCTGTTTTCTTCGGCTCAACAGCCTCCTTCGACCGCTTGTGTGGGAGTATCGATCGAAGCAGGGATTTCGTGGATGCCATTGTTGTATTTGACGTTGTTGACATGGCGTCGCTCTTGGATGGTGTGCTTGAGCTAGCTCGGTTGGTTGATGTCATAGTCGAGAGTGTGGTATGTCCGCTGGTATCCGTTTGTTCGATGAAAGGAGGTGGTGAGCTTCGGATGAATCAAGGTGGATGTGAAGATGCTTTGAGAGATGAGGTTCAGAGAAATATATAAAGTTTTGATGATTGTGATGCTGTGCGACGCGTAGATGTTTGCTTGCTGATGGTCGACAACAGTGAAACAATTTCCTCACTCTTATACTCGTGGCTGGACCATGGAAGAAGCATCACTGTAAAACATGGGCAGCACAGTCATCAGCTCCATTACCAAGCTCTCATGGCGCACAGCACTCATGCACCGTTGGCGTTTTCTCGTGCCATCCCCATTTCTGTCCGCAGACCGACCAGCCGCGCCAGTACGTACGTAAGTACGATGCATGTGAGTCAAGAACGTTATAAACATGTGTATTGGAAGGGCGTGTCGCTTTTTCTTACTGCGAATAGTCAAGGTTGAGGCAGGGTGGAAGAATGTAGAAGGGCTGAGCCATGGTTGAGTCAAAATGTGGGTCCGGTGATTCCATGAAGGGCCTAGTGCGTCAATCGGTTGTCCCCACATTTATCCGGCAATATTGTCACTCTTCGCATACCTCGCATTCTGGTCTCAGCAAACACATTGAACGGGCGTTTGAGTCATCATCTCGTTGCGCAACAACGTGATAGCAATGTGCAAATTCATGCTTGCTGATAAAGGTCACACGCCCTCAATCGGCACCAAGCCATCGCAACACTCGCGAATGGAATGCGACCGCTTCGTCACAGGATAGGTGTAGCCGAGCACGGTCCCTCAAGAAGCAGCTAACATATATATTGATTGGTCATCTACCGATATCGCTCTCTACGCCTTCCAACGGAAAGCAGTAGAGTTCTTCTCAGCAAACGTAGACCCAATCTCACCCCACTTGATCTGGCTAAAGGTGACTGTAGGTGCCTTCTCAATCTGTCGGATAGCCTCTGGGAAGCCCTCAGTCGCGTTGCAAGGACCAGCACCGTTCACAGATCCATCGAGCCATTGCATAGCACCACCCTCATCCCACCAGATGCTCAGCGCGAGAACCATACCGCGGGCCATTGCGTCACCCATACCCTTGTGGCCACCAAGCTTGGTGTACATCTCGGCGCCGGGCTGAGCAGAGCAGTACTCCTGGTCCATGGTGATGTTCTGCATGGCGTTCTCGATGACAACACCGTCCTGGACATACTTTCGCACGATAGCCTGGAGAACGCCATCCTTGGCCGGGAACTGGGTGACAACAGTGAAGGGCTTAGTGGTGTCGACCTTGAGGCCAGGACCATAGTAGTCTGGGGAGTTTCTGTGCTTGTACGGGTTGTCTCCGCATCCGTTCTTGTCGCACAAGCCAGCCTTCCCGCACTCGTCGCCGGTGCAACCGAAAACACCGGCTGTACTGCAAGTATGAGGCGCGATTTGGTTGGCACGAGAGTTGGCCTCCCAGATATCCATCTCGTTGCAGCAAACACCTTGTCCCTTAACGTTTCCCTACGAAGAGTCAGAAACATCAAACGAAGGGGAGATTTGTACTTACTACACCATTGATCCAAGGAGTGACGTAGCACTGAGCATCGCAGTATCCCGTACCATAGGCGGCACCGCCTGGGTTGAGCTGAGAACGTCCGCCATCAGCTTCCATCTCGCTGAGATATAAGGCGCCGTTCATGCCGCATGGCAGCTTCGACATGTCGACATCAAAGGCCAACTCGTTACCCGTAAGTTGCAACATCTCGTAGTTCTCCTCGTCCTCCGCGAGAACATAGACCCTAGGGCTCGCAGCTCCGCCACTGGGGTTGTACATGTCCAAGCGGAGCTCTCCATCGTTAGTGTACACACCCATCGTTGAGTAGTCTTGAATGCCTTCCATGATGCAGTTCTTGGCGCACGTTTCCTCATCAGGGCAGGCTGTTGGATCAGCTCCACTTCCCCAGCTTCCGCAACCCAGTGTTGAGTTGCCTTTCTGGTGAATCCAATGGGCCGCTGAGTCGGTGACAACAGCAGTGTTCTGAGATTTGCATCCTCCAGCCTTGGTGCACTTCCAGGTGGTAAGCTTGGGGTGAACTTCCGGTGTGCTTCCTGGTGTTTGAGCAGTGGCTAAACCCAAAAGAGCAGCGGCAACGAGAGCGTAAGGTGCCATTGTGATATGACCAAGGGAGTGTGATCTTGAGAGAGTGAGGTGCAATGCATACAGGAAAGCAAACTCAGAACCTATATATACCTACCTCAGTAATCAAGTGAAGCCAAAGAGTCTTCCCGTGTCAAAGGTCCTGTATGCACATAGTAATTTAGGATACCGCGGACCACCAGAGCCGCAATATCACAAGTAGAGGAGCCTCAATGTAGTAAACATCGTCAATGAATCTGGCGGCTGTGTCTGTCATTGGCTGCAAGCTTGGCCTCGGCCTCAATACCAAGGCCGACTTTGTTTCGGACCCTCGCTGTAAGAAGTCGACATCGCAAAACGATCCGGAAGAACATGCATAGAACATTCATCAATATATTTGAGACATTGCTATTTGTTCAAATAAATTGCATTTGATTACGGAACCCCAGATGGAGGTTGAACGCGGGGCATTTACCCGGTGTTTACTCGGCGCAAAAGAGCTTGACTTATACAAGCAGGTGCGAGTGACTTTGGCATGCCTCTCACGACTACAAGACCACCGGTACTGCGTCGCGGGGCGCGTAGCTGCAAGCCGCGACTGCAAGCATGGAACCAAGGCAATGCGTGGCTGGGAAAACTAGCCTTGTTTAAGGGTCAGCGGTCCGACACCTCTGGTATACCGCGGCACGGGACTCGTGCAAATTTCTTCTCTTCAATGCGCCCTTTAACGACGTCCATCTCCGCAAGCCTTTCGTGAAGCGATCTTGCTCAGCTCCATCTTCCCTTTCGCCCAACTGTCTCTTCGACATAGACCATGCCTGCCCATCATGTCCTTACCGGGCCCATGGTCAAGGCAGACCCACAGACGTGGTACTAGCGATGAGACAGTATTCAGGAGCCCGATGCAGCGACTCTTGTGCGCACACTTGAGTTTCATATTCGTCGGTTCCCTGATTTTGCCACAGCGGCAGAACAACGACTATCACACTACATTGTTGTCGTGCCTCGTTGATCGGATTCGAGATTAACAAGAGTAGATCGATCATCTCTAGATCTCCTTGAGCCGTGTACGATTCGTGATAGCCCTGTGTGCGACTGTGCACGTCTTGGCCAGCTCTTCCATGAATTATCGGTCGGATGCCCCCGGATGCTGGTCGGATATGAACCAGGAAGATACGAGCTTGTCAGGGCGCTCCTCTGTCGCCGCATCTCAAGGGAGGGTTTCCTTGTGCCTGAGGAAAGGAAGCCAATCTTTTGTCATGGCTGACATATCGAAATGACGTTGCATCCGTCACTCGCTGTTGCACGGAGAGATATCTGAGTAGCAGTCGAGTAATGGAAAGAACGTAACGTTTCGGATGTCGGGTAGGATGTTGGGGTATATCGACTGTCCACTTTTGCCCAGCAGAGATTGTCGCATGAGCTAGTCCGATAGGGTGGCATTGCTGCCCAGTTAGGGCAGTATCCACTTATCGGGGCATTAGTCAGTGGGTCTTCGTTATGGTGAAACTCCCAAGAAGCATCCCTGCTCCGCAGTAGTGCCGAGAGAAGTTCTAACGCTCTACGCATGCCAAATCAGGGCACACCTGACCGACGCCCCTAGCTCTCCGCATTTGCGAACGTTGACGGGATTGCCGTGCCGACACCATCAAATGCGCCACGATATCTAGACTGGCCAACAGGATTACATTGCGACCTTTCCTACGTGTAGACCTAAATATGAGAAGGAAAGCAAAGTCTTAATCATTGCTTCTGGCAGCAGTCGCCTTCGCACACCTCAAAAGTCGGGTTGCTATGTATCCCTACGAACGGTCTCACTTCGGTGACGTCCGGTTAGTGCCAAAGCTGTGAACCCATCCGGCCATGTTCTTTGGCCAAAGTTGGACAAGGAATGCCGGATATTGATTTGCTGGTGACATTCACAGAAGACTCAGAGAGCCCACCCTATCCAAAATATGCGAGTCGATTATAGGCTATATTGCATATAGAAGAGCCAATACAAGGTCAGTATGATTTTTCTTCGTTTTTGTCGTTGTTTTTTGTAAAAATGTCGCTACTTATGGGTACGCAGCCAATGAACGTCTATATAAGGCTTGACGCCATCATAGACCGCTACAGTCTGGAATCTGATTTCGCATTGTAGCCGAAAGCCACCTCTAAGCATATGTTCACTACCGGGGAACTGGAAGCACTTTGTGTAGCGTGGAGGCGGAGGTTCGGCACGGCACGGGGAAGCTGCCATTGATTGCTAGAGTTTGCCTCCCACATCTAGTTTTGACGGCGCGCATGTAGTAGCACTTTTCGGAGGACAGCACAAGTATGAACGCGCAAGCCCGCAGAATCTTTTCCTCTGGATGATGAGGCCAAGCAAAGCTGTCAGAACACGGAACAGTTCGTGAACCCTGGAGACCCGCCAAAACACGGCACTTGAATCTGCATGTACATCCTGCAAGGCCTTAACACTTCAAGGTCCAAAAGCAGTTTGACATGGAGTCTGATCGACCTCTCTCCTTTCGCTCCTTCGGGCAAGGCAGGCCTCGTCGGAGCTCCTTCCACGCCACAAGCGTCGTCCTCGACGCGGCGACGTTAACGCTTGCATGATCCCGAACCCAATTTGACTCGCTAAAAGCTCCCGACTCAAGCGTCCGCTGCACGCCTCATAATTGCAACTACCATATCCTGACAAAAGTAGCGAGTAACTTTCCATACTTGGGATTTAGCTGAGCACTAATGGCCACTTGGATTTCTTTTGGCAGCAGAGTGGTTGCATGTTTGGCCCAGGCACCACCTGACAGTCCCCTTATTTGCATGGTTAAGGCTTAGTGAAGCACGTTGCCGATCTTCCAGTGCCTGGCCATATCGCTCTGCCCCACAAGGAACCTGGCTCGAACAGTAACCTGTGTCGACTACCGTCGCAAGGATACCCAGAGGAGCTTCGGTTTTCTTGCTAACAGTATTCTAGCGTTCGCAGTGCCAGGAGAGACACGGCTCGGAGAAAGTGTTGAGACGTCTGTGAGGCAAGATCGTCGACGAGGGGAAGCTACAGATGTCAAAATACAATATGCTGCGAGTTCGTGTTCGAATCGTGGTTTTCCAAACTCTTAAATCCTCCTCTTCGCCTACATAACCTTATTTTGACGATTCGCACCGACGCACCGCCGAGTATGGAGGACCGAAGTGGTTCGGTGTTGGCGATAGCCATCACATTCATGATCTTAGCATGGGTCACTGTTGGACTTCGGTGCTATGTCAGGTATGATCCACCTCGAGTTCACATTTCTGACCGCAATACTGACCGAAGATGTAGGATCTTTATGGTCAAAGGTTTCGGCATCGACGACCATTGTATGGTCGTTACCCTCCTCTTCTTCACAGGATATCTGGCATCACAAATCGGCGGCGCAGTCCATGGCACAGGCGTGCGACGTGAGAAACTTTCCGACGAACAAGCGCAAACGGCCCTTCACTTCTGGTTCTTCTGCGAGATATTCTATACACTGTCGACATGTATGCTCAAGATCGCCGTTGGTTTCTTCTTGCTACGCATCACCGTCGCGCCGATGCACATCTGGCTTATCCGATTCATCATGGTCGTCTCTGCAATTGTGGGTGTTGCATACACATCGGTGGTTATCTTCCAGTGTAAACCCATCTCCTTTTGGTGGGACCTGAACCCCAATCACACTGGAACTTGCCTGTCAGGTACCCTGGTCATGAACTTTACCTTTGTAGTTTCTGGGCTTAACGCCTTTGCCGATTGGGTGTTCGCGATGCTTCCCGTTCTCATTGTCAAGGATCTGCACATGAAGAAGCGCATGAAGGTCGTAGTTGCTGGAGTTATTGCTCTTGCCGCAATGTAAGTATTGAGCTCCCTTTTGTGCTAGCATATCTGACCTGGATCAACAGTGGCTCGACAGCAACGATCATCCGCCTTCCTTACACGACCTCACTGAAGGGATACAAGGGAGATTTCCTCTATCGAACAACCGACTTTGCGATTTGGAGTACGGTAGAAGTAGGGTTGGGTATAACAGCTGGCTCTATCGCCACTCTTAGACCGCTCATGAAGCAGGCCCTTGAGATTACTCGATCAGCCTCAGCTCTACCATGGAGTAAGCCTTCGCAGGGTTCACAACCGCTGCAGTCGGGACATCAACTCAGCACTGTCAAACCGTCGATCAAGAAATCGATCACGATCACCACCTCCAGAGCTCGAAGAGAGAGTGCTAGCTCCGACGAGGAGATTTTCCTAGGCGGTAAGAGCCTACCATCCGAGTCGTGGCAGCAACAGCAAGGACTGCCTGGTTATGTCACGTCCACAGTGCTAGATGAACGTGGGCAGCGGCAAACAACAGAGAAGAGCCGTAAACACATAGCGGATCTGGAAAGGAGAGGTAGTCCTGGTGCGGCTAGCGACTCCACGATTGACACGAAGTCATCGGGAAAGGCTGCAAGGGTACACGAACGCTTCTAGACGACAGTCCTATAATACAGTACATAATAGATACCCCTCAACGATATAGTTTAACATAGCCCGCCATCCTTTATGCGCATACATTGAAGAGAACCATACGCTGTTAGTTCAGTGGTAGCTCACTGTGACTTGCCACTGACCAGTTGCCGGCATAAACACTCCATAGTTAGCCTGCTATACTTCTCCGCTCCCGTTGTTCTCCACTTCGCTCCCGTGGTCTCCGTCATTAACATCATTCCGTCGCAGTGCCTTGTTAGCTTTCTTGTGCCATGCGACATGGAAATTTGCCTTGAGCATCAGGCGAGTCACCGCTCGCATTAGTTCACTGGTGGACATGATCATCACATACTTAGCTTCATCACTCGGAAAGTCTATCAGTAGGTCGAGCTACTTTACTGCACTTTTAACCTCGGTAAGAGAATCTGGAATGGGGGACTGTAGACCTCGCTTATTCGTTTTTGTTTGCTATATGATCATACCTGCAAGACGAGGCCATCAACGTCTATATGGTTTATCATGCTCATGTACATATGTACATGACTTGTCTTCATAAGCAAGCCTCAAACAAAAATCGTTGGTGGGGCGAGAGTTTGGCAAATATGTGATGGTAACAAGCGCTGTAGTTCTTCTCGTTGATGATTGGCCAGCGAAAACTAAAGAAACACATGATCTCGCACACTAGGAGATTTGCTCCGGCGGACCGGACATGTCGACGGCAGAGCAGCATAAAAGCAATATTGATGTATCAAATTACATTACTTAACCAGATGGGTTGACGCTGTTGCCACAGCTGTTCAGATCCTATATACATATAACTACCATAGTATGTCCGAAAACGCAGTCCTGAGAACCTCGGTCCTGGTCTTCTGCATCTCCGGTGCGATGCCTACAAGATCCAGGATATCAAGACATCTTCGCGCATCGTCTTTCGCGTCCTTCAGTAATGGGTCCGCGGAAGGAGGTAGGCCGTTGTGGGTGGGTGACAGCGGTTGTGCTTGCTGACCGAGGATGCGTGCCATGAGAAGCTAAAATGAGTGTTAGCAACCAAACAATACTACAGACCGAGTACAACTTACTGCTTCTTCAAAGGCTCGGTGCTGGAACACCCACCACACACTAGCGTCGATCCTGAGGTATTCCCAAAAGTGGAAGAAAGACTGCAACGCCATCCTGGCTGCGTCCAGCGCACCTTTAACGTCGCATGGCACACCCTCAGCAGGGTTTTCATCGGCCTGTATCGCCATGACGCAGTGCCAGAAGTTGCTTCGAAAGAACAAGTTCTGTCGTAGACCGCGCGGATTTGTTTCTGCCATATGTCTTATAGTGACGTCGTCGGATGCTGTAAGATCTGCAGGAAAAGTTTTGTGGAGAGCAAAGTATTCGTTGACAAGCTCAAGTTTATGCTTGATTGATGTAGTCAAGGGCGTTGCCAGTGACCGCGGTATGCAGACAGTACGAGACACAAGGTTAGCCATATGCCACATGGAGCGGATGTATCTCCGATCCGAGAGTTCATACGGAGGATAGAGATCATGGTTCGAAGCGATGTTGCTGATGCTCATGGGGTTGATTACAGGGTCTGTGGCGCCGTTGTTCGAAGCACCATTCGGTATATAGTCATCGAGATCATCGCTGAGGGACTCTGGCTGTATGTCTGAAAACACACTGGTTGGCGGAAGCTTGAGCAGAACAGTAAGGAAAGTGTCCTGGAAATAAATAGCTTGCCATAACTTTCGCCGTTGCTGCTTGTCACTCTTTGAACATCGGGGTGCAATGACATCTGGATCGCGATGTAATCCCATGGCGTATGCTTGCCGTACGAGAACACCTCCAAACGCCCATGCATCAGAGGCATGGTTGTCGTTCATTAGGAAGTATCCTATCAGAACCATGGCCTGCAGTGTTCTCACTGAAGCTCGACTAAGATATGAGGATATCCGTAAAGCTTGCTGGGCAGCTGATACGTAGAACTCGGCAATCTGCGCCCTGTCGCCACCGTCGGTAGTATGAATGAATTGCGTACCCATGGCATACACAACAAAGTGTAGAGCTACTAACACGGGGTCCGCAGTATGCTTCTCTTCTTGTGACAATGACCAGAAACGTTCATAGTCAGCATAGAAGTTCCTACGGTGAACCATAGGGTATACTGGGTCAACAGCATCAAAGTATTTGTCAACGAGGATATCTGCTTGCTCTTTGGCTGGCAGTACGCCGACAACCTCGGCAAGGCCGCCACGACTCGTCCAGTAGTTGGCAAAAGGATGTTCAGTCCCTAGGCCAAAAAAGGGTGCAGGCGTATGATTGGAATACGGTATGTTGGATAGCAGGAATGGTGAGGATCCCGAAGACGACAATGACACGCTTCGATATTGTGTTCTGATTGGTGTTGGTGGCACCTGGATATGAACCTGGTGAAGCAGTCAGAAAAAGCAGTCCAGATAGTTGTATCCGCCAGGTGGTCACTCGTCGTGAAGCACATGGAATTTGTCACGACTTGACACGACATAACGTTGGACGGATTCCCGACGCCCCACCATGGCAAAAGCACGCCCGACGCTCCGAGGAGGTGGGCCGAGATGCGTTCGCAGAAGCTCGGGAATGGTACAACAGGAACAAGGAATTCTTATTACCTGAATAGGCGGCTTGCCATGTGGCTGCGGGTCACTGCCAAGCTGCAACGAAGGCCTCGCGCTCGTTTTCCTGGACCGACCCGCATTGCGACCGGCGCCAACCCTGTACACAGCTGTCAGCAAAGCAAGCGCATTCCAGGAAGCCATGGAAACTTACTTGTCCGCCGAAGAGGCGATCAGGTTGGCGATTTCAGAGTATTTACATGTCGACTGTCGCTTGATGCAGGCCAAGCAATGGGGACGAGTGCGATCGCACTGGCAGGAGTTTAGCCTTGCAGTGCAATTGCGCGCGAGCAATGCAACTCACCTTGGTCTTGCGCTCGACACACTCCTCGCAGCTCAGGGTAGGTTTATTGCGCTTTTGCTTCTTCCTTGGTGGCGCATCGCCTTGAAGGGCCGACGCGCTGGTGGTGGATGGATCAGGACTTGTCGAGGGCTGTGTGCCTTCGTCATCCATCGTGCAGCTGCGGGCGGGCGATCGGGGCGCGCGTGAGCTTGGTCCGAGTGCTTGACAAGCAACAGCAATGCGACAGGATCCAAGCGGGTGCGGTGGACACGACGTTGGCGGGAATAAAAGTGAAGGTTGAAGTATTTCCGCCCTGGAGCGACGCGCCCCATAAAGGACACCGAGGATTGCGTGGGGACGCCGCTGTGGAGTTCACGCCAGCCACTGCTTGGCGCTAGATGCGACAGAGGGCCCAGAACCTATATCTCGCTACTACGTCAGTCCTGCCAGTTACGCGTCGTCCCTCTGAGCTACAGATCATCTCGAATGCAAACACACCGGCCAGCCCATATTTCAAGCTGGTCAATCATTTGTTGGGCAGAGCTGCGTCATCCCCAGCTGTGCGCGGCCTCGAAGCTTCGGCGTCTACTAGATCGGTAAAGGATAATGCCGCGGAGTTCTCCTCCGCCATGCTGCAGCATATGAACATAGTATGGCAACCATATTCGTTCTTCCTGTGCGTCCCGTTTTCCTGACGGGAGATTGCGTACGTCGAGTCGCCTCCCGCGCCGGGTATAGTGCTATACCCGAAGCGCCGGCAGTAACTACCGGGCCTCATGACAGCATCATGATCGATGCAGAGATTCTCGCGCCTCCGTATCGGCCATATCGTGGCTGACGCACTCCCCGAAACCACCTCAAATGCAACCACGCAGACTTGTCACGAGCAACACGTTCGATGGAGAGCAAGGTTATCTGAACATATATTTGATATTTACCAGACCGAGTACAAGACGAGACGTATAAACCAAAGAAAAAAGCCGTTGCTCGAACATTCAGCCTAATAGTATATCTTTCGTCAACCTTGGAGTCGACTTACACCGCCAATAGAAATACCTGCATCAAGTGTACTGCCTCATCGCATCGCGGTAGCCCTTGCCGCCACGCATGTCATCCTCGAACGCCTCAGCAACCTCGAGCACACGCTTGACATGCTCCATGCTGAACACTGACTTCTCCGAGAGCGCGATCGATTGCGACGTTTTGACCGTGTTCTTGATCTGCGATGATGTGTTAGTTGACCTTCCCATGTTTTCCGTGTAACCAGAAGACGTACCTGTCGACCATTCATACTCTTCTTACTTAGCTCGTCAAAGTCCGCTTCCGTGAACGGCTTCATCACCTCCTCAATCTTCTCTACCTTTGTCTTCACTTCCCCACTTTCTTTGGTGTTATTCTTGCTCTTCTTCTTCTCCGCCTCGGCTTCCCGACCCATCTGCTCCACTTTACCAACATGATGCTGCCAGATCTTCTTCCTCGCCTTGGCCTGTAGATTCTCGTACCGGATACCCATGTGAATCCTGCTCTGGAAAGCTTCGTCAAACGTCTCAACACGATTGGTTGTCAAGAAGAGGATGCCTTGGTAGTACTCCGTCAGACGTAAGAAGACAGACACGAGGCTGTTACGATGGATATCGTGAGGTTGACGCGCTTCGAGGAAGACATCTGCTTCGTCAAGGAGAAGGATAGCGCCCCATGAGTGCGTAATATCCATGATGCGATTGAGATCCGTCTCGAGTGACCGACTGTTAGTACCTAGCTCGCCTGCCGAGACGGCATAAAGCGGACACTTTAGGTATTCAGCGATAGATTCTCCAGTCAATGTCTTTCCAACACCCGGTGGTCCGTGTAACACAACATTGAGGCCCTTGCCCTTGCCTTGGATGACGTCGTCGATCGTCTTCGCAGCATTGAAGCGGTGCGACGAGACCAAGCCTTTCAGATTCTGCTTGATGCGACTAGGTAAGACGAGACTGTCAAAGGCCTCAGCATTCCACTTGATCTTGTCAATCCCAGAGAGCGAAAACTCGAGCCAGAGTTTTTCGGAAAAGGCGAATCCAAGCACGACTGGCGACGCGATGATCAGCTCCTCTTCAGTAAAGACCTTCTGCTTAATCTCATTGCCGTCCGCGTCTGTCTCGATCGAATTGTCTGGACTGTCACCCTTCTCCTTGTCGACCACGCTTTTTGGCACACGGATGGGGTGTTTCTTGCCTTTCTTGTCTCTCCACATGACGATACGCATCTTGTCTTGCTCTTCTTTCTCTTCGTCTTCGTCAGATCCACAGCAGCAATCATCGTCGCTCTCTTCGTCATCACATTCGCCATTCTCCTCATTCTGGGCTAGCTCATCTTGCTTGAGGTAAGAGAGCGGATAGTTGGGATTGATGCGGCGGAAGATAGCCGGATCAACCATGACGCGGCCATTGATGATGAAGCGGATGATGTTGTTCTTGTGCTTCATATACGCGATACCCTTTTGTAAGCGGAAATTCATACCTTGAAGAGCGACGAACTTTTTGCCCCGCTCGATCAGTTGATTCCTGATACCCTGGGTAATCATTAGTTAGGGTGCTTCAAATTGCTCGGGCGTCTACTTACCTCCGGATCTTTGTGGTACTTCAACGGATATGCAGAGAGGCTAGTAATCTTCTTGTGGCCCTTGAAGGCTTGGATCGTGATCTGGTGGTCTCCGAGGCCGAAAGACTTTCCGTCGTACTCCAGATACTTGCCGTCTACATACCAGGATTTGATTCCTGTCATCCAGCTCTCGTATTCGTACGCGGTGTCAACCTTGAAGCAGCGAGGGTCATCTTTGTTGTGATATGTCGGTGTATAGGCGATAGTGTTCGGCTTGAACAAGGCCCATACGAGATCATACGTGATTGTACCTGCTTTGAGCATCGGTCGCAGCGCTTTGCGTGTCGCGGAGTAATCTTCATCGATATAGCTCAGGAGAAGTTTGCATTGCGCAATCTGCTGCTTGAGGCGCTTCTGATCCTTCGTCTTCTTCGCCTTCTTCAGCTTTGGTTTGAGAGTCTTCTTGATGAAGGTCTTCAGCTCCTCGTAGTAGTGGAAAAGTGTGTGAGGATCAATCTGCGGTGTATCTTCCACAAGACTAATGCTCTTGCAATCCTTGAACACTTCTTGAAGTGCATTGCGAAGTAGCTTAGACTTGATGTCTAGTTGAGTCTCTTGATACTTGCCTTCCCAGTTGAGTCTCCTCCGTACTGTAAATACACAGTCAAACTCATCTTTCTGATCAGAATTACTTTCAACAAGTTTCCAATCACGAATCTTCATATCAAAAACTTGATCGACACGCTTGAATTCAAGGACATTCTTCTTGACTGGCTTTTCAAGTTTCGTAGTGGATACGGCTGCTGCGGCTGCGGCGGCGTTAAGAGAAGCCTTTTGAGCCTGAAGATTGCTGAGGATACCACTGACTTTGGCCACCTGGGTGTCGAGATCGTCTCCCGGAAGTGGGGGCTCCAGGGGAGGAGTTGGTGGTACGGAAGTATCATCATCGGATGTTGACGATTCTGATGATGATTCAGAGCTATCAACCTTCTTTGCCTTCTTAGCCTTCCGCTTTGCCTTCGCTTTCGCTCGCTTGCGTTTCGACTTTTCGTCTTCAGAATCAGAATCGCTGCTAGAGGAGCTCGAAGTATCTGAGGCGCTGTCATCGCTGGAACTTTCGAGCTTGTTGTTTTTCTTCTTCTTGGCTTTCGCTTTCAAAGCTTTGCGTGGCCTCTTCTTATCGTCATCCTCAGATTCAGAGTCGGAACTGGAGTCGGAAGAATCAGATGAGGTTTCATCCTCGCTCACGGGATTGTGCTTTCTACTCTTGCTCTTCTTAGCTTTCGCCTTTGCTTTCTGCTTCTTCTTCTTTTTCGCTGCCGCTCGCTTCGCAGCTAACTTCCGCTTCTTCTTGCGCTTAGCCCTCTCGTCCTCGCTACTGTCCTCAGACTCACTACTGCTGTCAGAGTCACTAACGTCAGACACAGAGCTCTCGTCAGCTTTCTGTCTCGACTTCTTCGATACGTGCTTCTTCTGTCTATCGGTCTTTTTCTTTGCAACAACCACGTCAACTACTGGCTTTTCGGTTTCAGATGGAGAAATAGAACTCTGCTTCTCTTCTGTCGTCTGACCTTTGTCAATGGTTTGAGTCTCTATAGTTTCCTGTGATGAATCCATCTTTTGCTTGTGTAGAGAAAGATCGTCTGGATCGGAAGTTACTGATGGTGTCGCTACAATGACTGGTGAAGATGACGAGGTGTCGGAAAGTTTCTTGTTTGCCGTTTCAGGCAAAGAAGGGATATCGGAAGATTCCTTGGACGTTTCTGGATCGTTCATGGGTGTCAAACTTGCCAATTCGCGAGGCTGGCTCTGTTTTATACCTTGTCCGCTGAACGTATTGTGTGGTGTGAGGTTATGGAAGAACTTGTAACACTCCGAACTGAGTTCTGAGACGTATGCAACAAAATGCAGTTATAAGTAAGATAGTCTCGGAGCAAGGAGGAGAAAGTGGAGGATCTGTGTCTCACACCTTTTATCCACAAGCAGAGCCGCAAGTGAGGCCTGACCTCGCTCTGTTTCTGTATTCGACCCACAGCACTTGCTAATCAGATCTCTATCCCACCCAACACTACTGCCAGGCTACAGCCTTCTGTAGTACCACTCTCGACTACCCCGCAGCGACTTACTGCGGATCTGGCAAATGACGAGTTCTGCCTAGCCGAACTCAACAAGGCTGATATTGTTGGGAGCGAATGTGCTTGGCTATACCGTTCATTTCCATATCAACACCGGGTCATTCTGGGGCGGAAGCCTCACATACCTGGTGAACACTGTGGTTCGAATCTGCTGCCTAGCGAGCGACCTTCCTGAGCAAGAAACGTTTCGTCAAAGTATTGGCCCGTTCGAGTTGTGGTGCATATATCGGCTGAGAAGATGGTGATATCGCGACCGGTGAGTAGGTAACCAATGTTATGGCGAAGCGTAGCTCAGCCTCGTCTGACAAAGACTTCAGCCTCGCAGGTGTGTGTGCGTGTGTGGATGCGCTCGCTTTCCCCGATTCCAATCAAGCGTCCAGAGGAATCTGCACCTCTAGTGCTCGAAGCCTTGGATCAAAGTCTCGACACAGATCCATCGTGACTGCGTACCGCCCTTATATCTGCAGTAGCTTGGTGGCGCTGCGGCTGTCATCTACATCAGTCTGCGCTGCGCTGCCGGTGCCGCAGTACTACCCTGTCATCGCGACGCACACGCGTCTTGCCAAAATGGCTCGACGATTGATGCTGTGCTACCATGCTGAGCTGCAGTGGTGATGGTGGTTCGTGTATCGTGATCAGTGGCCAGACGGCGGAAGGAGTGCGCCGGGTGCATTAGCGAGCACCTCGACAGCTCGCCTCACTCTTTCCCAATATATGTGGTAGATTCGCATATGCAATGAGCGCCACTGTGACAAGGAAGCTTTCATCGGAAGTATCTAGCATTCTCTAGTGGCTGGAAGACAAATGGTATATCTGAGAAACAGCGAAGCCAACCTCAATCTTAGAGACTCGTACAAGACCAAAGCAGTGTCTGACAACGAAAGAATCGCGTTTTACAACGGCCCATCAATGCATACGGCACCATGCAACATGCGCCAGACACGCTTCGTGCACACATGTGATACGCTGACCAGGCGCCAAACGCAAGCTTCCTAATCTGTCATGCAAGTTCTCCAAATAACGCCCCGCGTTCCCCGAAGCCATATGCAGCTTTATCGATGCAATGCACGAGTTTTGCCGTCGCTGCAACGATACAAGCACTCACGAACTTGACTTCTTCTTGCCAAAAGTCATGTGTCCCAATCCGTGCTCCTTCGCATCCTTCATTTCACTCTCAGGCTTTCCATCAGGTAGATCGTTGGTGTGAGCTGCTCCTGAGATGTGATACTTGAGACTCTCCGCAACTCCACTGACATGACCCCCGCTCTTGTGTGACCCAGTAGGTTGGTCGATGGCCTGCGAGTCACTAGCAGCATTGCTAGAGTTATCTAGGCGATCTGATAGTGTGGGGTGCGAGGCTGGCGCTGTTGGCCCACTGCCGCTAGCCTCTGTACTTGCGCGGGAACCATTTGGCTCCGTCAAAACTTCTTCTCCGTTTGGACCATGTGATCGGACATCCTTGGTGTCACTGTCTCCACTATCTCTTCGTCCGGGAGCGTTGACGATGTTGGCGTTGTTCTTGTTCTCGCTTCGGACGCTATTTGCTCGACTGATGTCTGAATCAGCGTTGGGTGGACTGGCTGTACGAACACCTAGATCTTTGTCTTCGGACGGCTCCACACCCTTAGTACCCCTCCAGTCTGCGGGTCCCGCTTGTGAGACCGGCTCTCCCTCTTTCGGTTCTGTGATGACAACACCAGGTCGACCTTCGTCGCTAGAAAGCGCGCGCCAGACTACTGCTATGCGCTCGAAAGCTTGTGTGCCTTTCCGCGATGAGCCTTTGATGCCGTCCATGGCCTCCCATGCAATCTCGAAGATGCCGGATTGGTCAACGTTGCCGTTCTGCTCAGGGCCATTGCCTTCAAAATATGTATTGAACCAGACGTGCGCGACAGCGGTGACCATGGTCAGATCGAAGGCGGCTTTGTTGCGGCGCTCAACATCGATATTGACATCGTTTGTGGGAAGAACTACACGCTTGGACGGACGGAAGACGACATCGCCGGTGCCCATAGGCAGGCTCTCGCGCGATGCTCTCGGCTCGGCAGTGGTGCCATCGATGTTGTTCTGCTGTTCCAGGGAGGATGTGGAAGCATTCTTGGAGCTTTCGCTAGTCTTTGACGGGCCGAAGCCGTTCTTGTACATGACCTCTTGCACCGCCTGTGCCATGCCGGTAGTCTTGACCTCACCCCGTACAATCTCTCTCTCGTCGCGTGTGAAGGTATGGAAGTTCTTAATGAGCTTGCCGTCCTCGACGAAGCCCTCGACCTGGATCTTGACGCCGTCTCTAAGACCCCAGCAGTGCACTTCGAGAATCTCCACCTGTCGCTCTACATATATCTTGCCGTGCTTCGCCCAACGGTCCACGTAGTCTATCCAGCGCAGTTGACTGGGGATACTAACGCCTTTGCCCATGTTCGGCCGCATGCGCCGCTCAGTGAAGCGGTCCAGAGCCTTGTGCACCGGCCAACCTTCCTCGCTGATCAGATAACTGCAACTAGCAGTGCCCGAACGTCCCTTCCCGGCTTTGCAGTGTACTACGACGACCCTGCCCTTTTTCTCGTGCAGCCAGTTGCGCATGCTGGCCATGATGTTTGGTATGAGGGCGAAAGGCGGCGGATGATGGTCGGGAAAAGGGTAGTGGTAGACGCGATTGTAGACCTCTGAGTCTGGGTAGCCCGTCCCTTCGGCGCGGAACTCCCATATAGCCCAGTCTTCGCCATGTTTGGAGTCGAGAAACTTGACGAGTGAATCGAGCGGGTTGCGATATGCGCGCTGGGGGTAAGTGCCGCTGGGGCCTGATGTAGCGATTACTGGCTGGTGTCAGAGCGCGAACAAAGCTGCGAGTCGTGGAGCGGCTGTACTGTTGTCTGTCACATAGCACAGATCGAGGCCGGCTTCAGCATGCCTGGCGCGAGGCCCGGCTACAAGTTGTCGCAATAGCGATGCCTGCGGTCGTCAGTTCGAACGTCTACGATGTCATTTCCCTTTTATGCGCACCATGATTCCGGCAATCGTCTGTTGTGTATGGGAGCAATATTCCGTGTTGGCACATGGCGAGAGTCGAGGCGTGAGGGATGCTGCCTCTAGGCGGGCAGGCGCGACCGAAAGGTGGGTACGTCACCCTGCACGGATTATGCGCTAAGCTTCCGGTTCCTGCCCAGACCCTCACCATTCCCCGCCACAACACCAACTTTTTTGCTTGCCACACACCACACAGCCACACATCTTTCAGACGCTAATATATGTCTTTCATTGGTGATATGTGCAATGACAACCCATCGCGCATGTTGAGTTCCTTTTTCCTCGCCCGCCTCCTATATCCTTCCTGCTCAATCATTCCCATCAGCGTCTGTGGAAGATCCAGATGAGAACTTCCTTCCCCTAAAATTCTCAAGCTTGTCTCCAAGAATCTCGCCTTAAAAGCCTCCCAAAGTTCATCATCAGCTGCCTCAGTGCCACCTGGTCGGGGGTAGTAAGGATCGTTCCTGAAGAATGCAGCACACGCTTGCTCCAGCCCATCTCCGTCCATAGACATATGCTTCACACGATCAAAGTCCATAATCCACATGACATGCTCGCCGAGATACTCAGATAGGAAAGTTGGCGATGACATGGATCTGGGAGGCGCAAGAACGAACTCGACATCATCCAGGTCGACTCCAGCACCCCAGTACATCAAGGCAAGCGCGTCCGCCATAGTCATCGCATAAGCGAGAATATCGAGGCAGAGATCCTCCATTTGGTTAACATGAAGCGGAACGTTTCGGAGACTGAAACGCTGGAAACGCGATGTGCTTTTCAATCTATTCCCCCTCCGCCGGCCTAGGTAGGGTCGAATGAGACAGTCACCATCATCTTTGTTACCCTTCACAAAGGCAGCGATAGGTGGGTTTCCAGGCAGAGATAGATCTACGATCTTGTCGCTGACTGATCGGGGTACCTTGGGGATTCTTTCCGATATGAGCGCTCTGCACTCTTCATAGCCAGTTGGGAAGCGATTGAGACACAGGTCCCACCAGGACAGGTCGCTCGACTGGATAAGCTGATAACATTGAGGTATTGCGAGCGGCATAGAAATTGGGTGTTGTTCGATGCTCTGACTGATCTTGAGATGCATGTTGTAGTCATTCGTGATCGATCGTCCAGGGCCTCCGTCCTCGCGCTTGACGATGCTTGTGCTGTCTTCTTCAGCAATCCAAACGCTGCCGCAAAAGCCTTTTCCGATACATCGGTACGGATTGTGCCCGTCGAACATGATGAGAACACCAACAGAGTGGTGACTTGTTTGTTGGTGCAGTTGTAGTGGGAGGAAGCGATGATGCGAAGAGTGGTCTTATATAACGAACGCGATTGACTCAGAGTGGTACCATGGTTCTCCAGCGATTCTACCGTGCCATGACATTGTAGTTTATCATGTACGAGACTCTTACAACCGCTACAACACAGATGACATAGGTGATACTATAGCTTTCCCGACTACCGATAAAAGATGAGAAAGTAAAATCATGTCAAATTTTTTCATCTACCCTTTTACCCCACGAAGTGCGCAACGACCATACCGAGTCTTGCCAAGATTGCACAGCCTAGAGAGAATGTATTTCGGGCATGTCGCACACTCCCTGGCTCAAATGCGCCTTGAGACATTGCCGTGCCAGACGGTAGCGTCGTTGCCTAACGACCGTGCCGCGGGTGGCCTGAGTTTATAGACATATAACCAACACCCAACACTCACATGCACCTTAGTAGCCAGAGGAACGTAATCGAGCTTGCTTCAAGACTGTCTCACTCTGTGAAGCTCTAGCCCTTCATCGGCCTTTCGTTACTCAATCTTTCCCGCAACCATGGGTCAAAGCCAGTCTCAAGCAGCAGATCAACCCCCAGAGCCGCAACTTAGCCAGGAAGAGCGCTCACAAATGCAAGCTGAGGTAACTTTCTTGATCGCTCAACCTATGTTACATTGTTGACATGTCTGAAGATGCGCGCAAAGCAGCAGGCAGCCCTCGACAAGCGTTTTACCGGTCAGTCAAGGTCAAGGAAGCCCTCACCCACAGGCGCGCAAGCTAAGAGGAAGCCGACTGCGCTCGAGGAAGCGAGCAAAGAGAACATCGGGTGGCGCAATGCCGATGCGCAGGCAGAGTTCAGAAATTGGAACTAAGGGATGTTGCGAAGGGAGCCATAACCAGGGAGATCGATGCGACAAGCGTTGGCGACGACATGAAAGCTGAGTCCTCCATATATGGGCTGCTCACCACCCGGTATCACCAGGTTGAATCTGAGAAGGCGTTATAGAGTGTAAGAAAGGGGGCAGGGTTGGCTTCCACAAGCGGATACGGCGTTATTGAAGTTCTTAAGCAAAGCGAATAAGCAGATTTCATCCTCCTCTCACGATGTCCCGTTTCCTTCGCACCCTGAGCCCGCTTAGAGGATAATCATTCGGCGGGAGTCGTGCTTCCTCACAGAGCTATTAACCGTGCAAGGAGCCAAGGGATCCGCGGGGAAGCGCATCCGCGCTAGCGGATTAGTCATCATAAGCCGCAACCCAGCCCCAAGTCATCGTAACTTTCTATTGCACTCATGCACCCGACTCGTCATCGCCACTATGACGGAACAGCGCGTCGCAAAGCGCAAGACTCACACCAAGTCGCGAAAAGGATGCTTTCAATGCAAACAGAGACATACCAAAGTACGTGTCCACATTCGATCCTTTCGCTGCGTTCTCCAGCCAATCACAGTGTACCATCCGATATGCTGCCTCTACCCCAGCAAATGGTCCCTCAAGCTTAGATCCCGAGCGCGACAAGTACTGGAAGGCTGCGAAGCTTCTATGTTATGATATGCGCCTCTATACTTACCACATTTCATAGTGCAATGAAGCGCGCCCCCGCTGTGGAAATTGTGTTCGCTTGGACATTCATTGCCATTTTCCATCTATGCCAGACAGCTACTCAACATCTCCACAAAACAGCCCAGGTGTCTCCTCGCCTTTCGTTGATACACATCATGCCGAAAGTCCTGAAGCAAGTCCGACTAATTCCGAACTGCCACTCGCTGATCTGCGTCTGTTGCATCACTGGACAAAGTCGTGCGCAAAGTCGTTGCATCCAAACCCTGCAATCCGGAGTGTCGTTTGGCAGGTAAGATTCTTCTCTCTTTGCCGCCTTATTAAGGCTACGAGGCTGATAATGACTTGAATCGCAGAACGAGTTCATCGAGTTGGGCTTCGAGTACCCTTTCCTCCTTCGCGGCTTCTTGGCTCTTTCAGCAGTTCATAAAGCGTCCTTGCTTGCGCCCAGCGAAAGACAGAACCTCCTGCTCCAGGCAGACTCACATATCAGCCATGCATTAGATACCTATCGAAAGAACCTAGAGACGCCAAACGTTGAGCTGGCGATACCGATGTTTATGCTATCCTCGGTCATCCTAACTTACAACTTCGGTTCAGCACAGCTTGAGCGTCCCGAAGACCCCATTCGCGCGCTTCACCACTGCTTTATGCTGCTACAAGGCATCAAGATTGTAGTAATTCCTCACTGGGATCGGATCAAAGATAGCTCTGTGTTCGCTCACATGACGGACATGGCGCCCCCAGAAGCTTTGGATGCATTGGACACGCTTGCAAGGGAAGAGAACCCCCAAGAGATTCTCCGGCTCAAAGAGCTTACCGAACTTCTGCTGGATAGTCAGGATAAAGAAGCCTGTGCCACCGCTATCGACGAACTCCACGTAACCTGGCTGCGCTTTCGGCACATATCACCGGACCGTGATGAATATTCCCTGCTCTTTCTTTGGCCTGCTAGGCTAAGCAATCGGTTCTTCGACCTCCTTGCATGCCATAATCCGGTGACCTGTATCATTACGACACATTTTGCTGCACTGCTGGCCCAATGTCGTCCAGTATGGTGGGTAGTGAAGTGGCCTCAATGGCTTCTCGTTGCGTCCGAACAATTGCTGGCGGCGACACCGGATCTTCTGAAATGGCTTGACTGGCCGCAACAGATCATTCATGCCCAAGCCTGGACTGCGACGACCACTCCAGCAGCTTCTTGAGGACCGGAGTTGGTACGAACCTTGGCACCATGAACACCGCGCTCATTGTATCATACCACCAATTATTGGGCTTGCGCAGGTGTTTGTACTAGCATAGCCCACCTCCATGCGCTGTTGATGGTTGTTCGTCGTGCTAGCAACGGGTCTACGCTGCGAGACTCAGGCAGACTCAAAGAAGGGCATAGCTTGCGAGTTGCCGCGTTTTTGAAGCAATGTCAATGAGGCGAAGCAATCGAGAAATCCAATAATGGAAGGGGTCCTGCACCGTTTAAGTCCCAAGTCCTGCGGCTAGTCCGGCAAGTTCCATACGGCCGATACGGGACCCACTAAAACTCCCTAAGAGGGTAAGACATCTTGGCAGCGTATTTCGCGAAGCGTATTCCGTACAACAACTTCAATGCGTTCTTAGCTTAGGCTAAGGATTGCGCTGTGGGTTTGTTCTTTAAGATGTCTCGACAACGCATTTTGAGATGTAGGAGGATCGATTCCAAAGACGCATTGCTTTCCTTGTATCACGACTGAACATGTCCGACACCACATACCGACCGGCACTCGACGACCCTAACGCATACGTTCTTTACCGGTACATTCCCTCAACAGTAGCGGCGATTGTTTTTGTGGTTGTTTTCGGTCTCACCACCTTGGCCCATGTTTTCCAACTCATCAAGAAGAAGACATGGTACTTCACACCTCTCGTGGTTGGAGGTCTATGTAAGTTTGGAAGTGACCTGCGTCCAAGACGGCGTCGCTGACGAGACAATACAGTCGAGGTCATAGGATTTATTGGGCGCTACCTCTCGCATGATGATGTTTGGGCACTCGGACCATTTATCATGCAGTCGCTGCTCATTCTACTTGCTCCGGCACTATTCGCGGCGTCTATCTACATCATACTAGGTCGAATCATCCTGCTGGTGGATGGAGAGAGATATTCGCTGATGCGACAGAAGTGGCTCACGAAGTTGTTCGTTACAGGAGATGTGCTCAGCTTTCTGATGCAAGGCTCAGGTACGTACATGATGCATTGCTGCCATTAGATTGCAAGCTGATGTCTGATATAGGCGGCGGTATCCAAGCGATGGGTACGCTAGACGCCTTGCATACCGGCGAGCAAATCATCATCGGCGGTCTTTTCGTCCAATTGATCTTCTTCGGCCTTTTCATCGTCGTGTCGGGGGTTTTCCACTACCGCCTTGTTAGAGATCTTCCTCTAAAGAAGCGCTATAGTCCGTTGTCGCTGTTCAAATCTCGGAGATCTAGCCCAAGCATACACACCTCATCCACCGTATCCAGGGCCAGTCTATCTGAGCTACCTTGGAAGCGTCACCTCTACACCCTATACCTCGCAAGCGCTCTCATTATGGTGCGAAGTATCTTCCGCGTCGTAGAATACATCCAAGGGAACGCAGGATATCTACTCAGCCATGAGGTATACCTCTATATCTTTGATGCCACACTCATGTTCTTTGTCATGCTGGCATTCAACTGGACCCATCCAAGTCAAATTACAGACGCGTACCAGAAGAGACTACGAAGCGGCTCGCCCATTGAGCTCCAACGTTCCCACGATACAGCGACAGGCGCGGATGAGGAACATATGCTAGAGAGTCGGGAGGCGAAGAATAGTGTACGCACTGGTGGCTGGGTTCCTTCCCGAGGCTAAGAAGAATTGTCAGCGACACCACCGATTCTTCATCATGAAGGTGGATTCATTAATCAACCAGATATAGCCAGGAAGAATGCTAAGCAAGGGATTATCTTTTTAGAACAAGACTTAGTAGTATAGATCCATGTCAACGAGTTGTACATATATCGTTATTACCATGTAAGAATTGCCCCATCGTAATACAGCCATTAAACTAGAGACACTGCTCAGGCAGACAACATCATATCAAATACAGCCATTGTAGGCGCAGCGATCACAAGATCTTGATTCTAGCAGGGATAGAACATTCAACGCCACCAGGGCAAGACCATGTTGTTTATGGAATTATGTGAAGGAGAACCCTCATGATGATGATTCATAGGGCCTGCTCCCTCCCTGTGTCTGTAGTCTAGTCGTTCCCAAGAACCAGTGCCATTATGCTCTTGCTGATGCTCAAGGTTCAACCGCCGGTAACATGTGAGTTTCGCCTTGATTGGCGGGCCCAACTCCACCCCTCTTGCGTCGGAAAACATCCCCAACTCTTTGACCAATGTGGGCAGTGGGGCCTGAGTTCGGTAGTATGAGTATTCCCATAGTACGTGAAAGATGATAGTCTTTTTTATCCATGTATGTGTGACGTAGGTCATGCAAGATCCCGATACCTGCCATGCGAATCATGCTGCACGAAATTTGGAGCTGCATGGTGGAGCTCCGACGTCTCTCCGCCTTCACGCCGAAGGAGAATCATTATCTCTAGAGCGCAAAATTCTCCTCGGCGCCGAGTGATACAGGTATCATAGGTTCTCAAAATAATCTTCTTAGTTCTGCTGTGAAGGGCCTGGTTGTCGTCTTGAGCCCAGCTTGTCCGCTTGGTTCTGCAGATAAATGGCTATCCTTTGATCTGGACAGTTCATATGCGAATTGGCGAGCTCTAGCCACTGCCGTCGCTCTTGCTCCAACAGATTCAACTCTGCTTTCAAAACACGATTTCTGCGCTCGGCTTCCCGAGATGTCTCAACCAGCTGTTCCTGCTCCTGTTTTTGTTTGGTCCGACATTTGCTAGCAGCTTTGCGATTCTTTTCGAGATATATAGCCCGCGCTGAGCCTGGCTCAGCGTACTGGTATCTCGGTCTCCGTCGCCCTGGTGGAGGAGTTGTCATCGGCGATGCAGCTTCTTCCTTTGGGTAAAGACTGTCGTGTCGACCTTTGACATCGGTGTCTTCGTAGAATTGCGTCGCATCGTTGGCATCGAACTGGGTTTGCGAAGGAGAGATAGTTGGTGTAGTGTGTGAGTTTGTAGACCGGTTGGAAGGCGTGAACGCCGAAGCGTGGTCTATGACGGGGTATGCGTTCGCAGTCGATGTTAAGTTCGCGTTGACGTCTGCGCTCGAGCCAAAAGGCTGTGCATTAGACGACTGGTGGATGAGCGGCGCATAATTTCCCATATACTGGTATCCCGCGTGTCCCTCATGGTGTGGGGTCGATGTAGTGAGATTCGACATAAGCCCGTAATGATCGTGACCAGCGGAATCTGGTGTTTGCACTAGCTGTGCTTGGTTTGGATGATACACGCGGTATCCTTGCTGTCCGGGCATTGTAGGAGTATGCCCGTCTGGGATATGGGGAAAATGTTGATCAGAAGGCATGAGTACTAAGCTCATGTTAACAATCTTCTGCCTGTGATGTCTTGTGTTTCAGGGTGATCCGCTACCACCTTCGCAGAATCAACACTGAATAATGAATATGGTAGGTTAAACCAACACCGAACGGTACAATTGGCTTGTTGAGAAATAAAACAGAGTACTGAGGAATTTCCACGTGTCTGGAGGGGTCAGAACGGCTGAAATTGTATAAGGTGATTGTGAGATGATGTGGGCAGCAAATGCGTTATGGGAAAGAAATAATTGACTGTTTATCCATGGTTGGCGGCTTCCACAACCGTGGACGGCATGACCCTGCCCAGAGTTATGATACCGAGCGGGGCAGTCTCGACTGGTGCGCTGAGTCGAACGCGTGGTACCGGTACTAGGCACGCAAGTCTACGGTGTACTGTAGTGTGTCGAGGAAGCCCATGACGGTGGGGGCAGACATGCCCGAGCAGGATCGACGCGACATGCCGATTGAGATAGCTATGCGGCAGCTTATACCGCGACCAATAGAACTAAAGTCGCATTGCAGGGCACTGCAAAGAGACGCGCGCTCCGCGAGGTTAGTATATATCACATCGCTGGGTATGCTAACAAAGAGTCGTCCGCTAGCTGAGCAGTCGCGTCGAGGGACGGTGGTAGAAGAAATAATTCAACGAACACGATTAGGCAGTGCAGCTGCCGTCCACGAATAAGATCACGAGATGAAAGCGGGCCCTCAGCGGTGGTAGGAACGGCGCGCTGGCGTTGCAGCGGGGAAGACTAGCCAGCGGCATGACGTCGGTGTGTCTGTTCAGAGGTTCTCAACCAAACCAAGAGCAGCAACTGTTGCATCAGGTACGGTTGAGTGGTCTGCCCTCGTCGTCTCGGTGGATGTTCGACGTTGAACCACGTGCCGTCGCTAATGCGAGTCGCCAATTATGCCACCAGCCACCATACCCTTGGGGTCCCACCAACTGCTCCTGGGATTATGGCTCCAAACCGGTTGCACAGTCGCAAGCGACAAGCGAGAAAAGAGAAGGTCCTACATCCTACAACCCAACACACGCATACTGAGAGTTGACAAAATTTCAAATTCCAAATTCAATGCGCTCACGAGCTCGTTGCTTTTACGCATCCGTCGTACTAAGATTGGCGCAAACTCAAACACGAGAAGGAGACCGATGCTACTTTGGAAAAATCCCTCCGCGGATGTACGTGTGTGTCATATAGGCAGTTCAGCTCGTGAGTCCGTGGTACATTTACTGGGTTTGGTGTTGCACTGTGCATCTCTACCCCGACGTCATTCTGCTTGGTGAATCCTCTCGGTCAAGTCTTCCGTCCCCTACGAAACTTCCGATAGGCTGTTAGTTTTTGACCACAAGCATATGTTCGGACATGGGCTTCCGGCCCAATCATAATACATGATTTTACTGCCTCCAGCAAGCCCATCATCCCAGGAACAGAAATGGGCTTCTCGTGGCGTCGGCCGATCACATCCCCATGCATGGAGCCGAGTCTGAGATCTCTACCTGTAGACCAGGTATCCCCACTGCATCACATCTCCAGGCGTCAACGATCCGCGGAGTAAGTATAATAGCAAACGACCATCATGCAGCTGTCGGGCCCAGATCTGCCGAACTTGTAAGACCCAAAACATCGGAATCGACGTTGATTACAACTTTACGACCCTGTCCCTTCGTTTGGTCGGACACATGCTGTCATGAACACTACAATGGAGCAGTGAAGACGTAGACGTTCACTTCTCGAAGTTTGACCGAACCAAGATGGCTTTGTTGGGAGAAGGGACAGTGCCGGCCAGCAAGAAGACCCTTGCGCTCCAGATGCATCGCCGGCGTCTATCTGGACCTTGGTTCGCCCACCCTCTGTTTTACTTTCGACAAAACCGTAACCAAACCTCAACGTAGACACTGCTTTCTGGAGGGTGCTAGACCTGCGCCATTGACACGTCGCATTGTTCCCGTCACGGGCATTCGAATCGAGGTTTGACCTCATTGCGCACCTACAACATATACGCAGCGCTGTTGCTTTAGGGCTCTCCTTGCTTTTGTGGGCTATCTCTTACCTCGCGCCACACAAGGATGTGCGCCAAAGTTCCTCATATCTATACCCCGCTTCTTTCTCATGACTTCTTCTATTTGATCTGATGCTTCTATCGAGTGATGGTTCAATTTTCCTGGTTTTTTCACTGTATCCTTTCGCGATGATCCATCGATGCGACTTTCATGCATCGAAGATACAAGTCGATTTTGCAGCATATGTCTTACGGCAGTTATATGATTTTATTGAGGTTGACATCTGTATTTATGTCCATCGCGGTAGGAGTATATTTAGAGTGCTGATCGCAACGCTGCTCTCAAGTCGCAATCGGACGCAGGATAGATGTAAGGTCGCACTATAGCAAGAGCTTGTCAAGATGCTACTATGCTCTTTTCAACCCCTAGGTACCCCAACATCCGCAGTAATGTACCGGACTGATTTTCAGGGAAGAAGGGTAGAGATCACATCGGTTCACAGTTTCCTGGCCGAGGGAGCGATTGCCGTTGGTGAGTACGAAGCTATTCTGTTCACAGTCCGACTCCGACTCCGACATCCGACGAAACCACAAGGCGAACCTCTGATTACCGGGACAAGTAAGGTTATAATGTTTGCCAGAGTCGCAAACGCTAATACGGTTCAACAGGCGTCATGCGCCTACCCAGACCCTTAAGCGACCGTTGCGGGTAATGTTTCCCGGGTTTCCTCCCGGCTCGCCAACGACTATCCGACCCTTGAAGATCCGCTTTGACAACCAGACACAGTAGCAGGTAGCTAAACGACCCTGCTGCTACAGAGTCTCACGATTACACCATCTTCGACAAGTACCCAAACTCTGTCAATCGAATAATCGAAACGAAACATCCGTAAAATGCGCGTAATTGTTTTCGGTGCATCTGGTGTCCAGGGGCGACATCAAGTTCACGTCCTGGCTCGAGCAGGTCATTCAGTTATCGCTGTAAGCCGCAACCCCAAACCCGTTCTGGTGGACGAGAAGTCTGTGGAGACATTTGCTGCAGATTTCACCGACCGAGATGCCATTGCAAAAGTGCTCCAGGGCGCCGACAGAATCTTTCTCAACCTCCCGTCTACATCCTTCAACCAATCAGAGCCCATCATTGCTGCAGCCAGATACATCGGGGAAGCCGCGAAGAATGCCAAAGTTCCGTTGATTCTATTCAACACGAGTATGCCAGTAGCCAAAGAACCCCAAGGCATTGTAGCACAGGACGACCGAAGGGAAATGAGAAGGTTGTTGCGGGAGTCAGTACCAACAATCAGTATCGAGCCTGTAGTCTACCTCGACAATTTGCTCGAAGGCTGGGCCCTACCTCCCATCCGCGACCGCAATACTGTTGTCTACTGTCACAAGCCCGATCTCCGCGTATCGTGGATCTGTCACTACGATGTCGCCCAAATCATGATGGCAGCGATGGATCACCCTGAGCTCGCAGGCCGCGATATCCCTATCGGCGGTCCTGAGACCGTGATGTTGTCTCAGCTGACTGAGAAGGTATCGAAAGCGTGGAGCAAGCAGCTGAGTTATGAGAACCAGACTGTCGCAGACTTCTGCGACAAGATCGGTAAAGCGATGCAGGGGCGTGGTCTTGAGACGGATACAATTGTGAGCCAGATGTTCAAGGCGTATACTTATTACAACGAGGCGGAAGACGAGCCGTTCAACGTTGATATGAGACCCTTAGTAAAAGAGCTCGGTGTGAAATTGACGCCGATCGAGGAGTGGGCGAAGAGAAGGAGTCCATGGAATGACAAAGGGTACTACTAGATGCCGGAGAGGGAGACGTTTGCGAGCTGCAACTCGAGCCTAGAACTGATCAGTTCGCAAAACTCTGGAGGGGTAGACGGATGCTTGCATGCAAGCTGATCGGCTTTGCCCAACGACTGCGATTTCAGTTCACGATATTCCTTACTTATCAAACACGGGTAGAATCACGACTTCACTCATGAAAGGGGGTATGATGAGACAAATATATGGGTATTCCTTACGAAGTCTAATCGCTTGTTCCACTACCCCACCACATTAAACCCACCTCCCATCATTACACTACTACTGTCATCCTGCGGCATGCCAAACTTCCCAATCCCTTTGCCCCTCCTCCTCTGCACCCCCAGCGCCACCTCGTTAGCTTGCTTGAGCAACTCTTCACTACTACTCTTCCCCGGCACAAACACTAACCCCGAATCCGGTGCCGGAGTTCCCGTACCCACAAAGTTTCCCTCCGCATCTTTAACATAGTGGGCTAGGTACTGCGAGCGCTTCATTTGACGGACGATTATGGATTGTTTCACTTCGCCTTGTTTACGGGAGAAGGGGTTGTAGTTGTGGATTGAGTTGGCGACTGTGCGGGTAATCATGGGAACGGGAATGGTTTCATCAAGGTCACCTTCCGAGAGAGTAGTTAAGGCGCGGGCGACAGATGTATAGGATGGAGGGTCGCCTTTTTCTTCATTGTGGTAGCTTGGAGGTAGCTCTTCTTGGTTGGCGTGAGTGGTGCTCATGCTGTGTGGCTTTGGGTTTTTGTTTTTAGGGTTGTAAATAGTGGAGGACTGTGGACTGTGGACTGTGTTGCGAAAGAGTTGATAGCCTTGATGTGTCTCGTATGTTGTAACAACACCCTCAAGCCACAGCGCAATGAATGCTTATATATTCAACTTCACGCCATCGCGAAAGCAACTCATGCCTACATTCTGCTTCGGGGCCTCCAACTAACCCGCATCACATGGCTTAGACGCCGAATACGAGGCGTTGCATACATAGCCCCAGGCTGTGGTTAGCGTACAGCTATTCGAGCTTGACGATGGGCAACCAAAATCTCGCACCACTCAACAGAGCTGGACACGCAAGCGCGACATCCAGAGCTGTTGCCAGGCAGGTTAGATTATTGTGGTGCTCAACCTATGGCAGTGCCTCGGGGGCAATGGCAAGGCGGGGTGGCGCAGTGCGGGCTAGCGGTGCAAGCCTTTTCTCTGCAGATCATTTGACGTCATATGGGGAAGCGTTAAAGTAGCTTCGTGTCACGAATGGAGCAGGAGCAGCATATTGACTATGGTGCTTACAGCGCTAGAAGAAGCTTCCTGCCGTCGATTTAAGGCGTCCTGCTTGGCCACGAAGAGGGCTGAAATTAGCTACTAGACGGATGGTCGATCTCGGGACTACCGGCAACGGCCAATCCTGCGGCCCATTTTGTTCTTCGTGTGTTCTTGATCGTCTCGTGATGATGAAATCCCAGTCGCTTTGTTTTGTACTTTCGATGTGCACTGCCTTCGTCTGAACAAGAGAACAAAAATATGAGACGCAAATGGAGGCTTAAGAAACCCTGTTGCAAAAATGATGAAGTCACAAATATAAGACTAGAATACCGCTCATTTAAGCGCTTTACTGCGATCTAAGCAGCATCAACTTGTTCACAAATCTCCTAAATATCAGACGATGTAGGTTGATTAAAACTTTTACACAGCACAACATGTTCCCTCAAAGAGCAAAGCTGTAGATCATTCGTAATTCATTTCATATTCATAGCATCGCCTTTATTCGCGATGATCTAGACACTTCCGCTCCTTGGACTGACAAAATCTTATCCTCTACAGAGCGCTCAGCGCGCATATTCCTCCTCATCCTTAGCGACCTTCTCGAGTACATGGTCGGTCATGAGCCCGCTAGTAAAAGGCTTCCTTGACATCTTGACGATGTCGCGAACGTTCTTGCCTTCTGTGAACATCATCTCTAGCTCCTCCAGACTGCGACCCATAGTCTCGGGGTAACCGAACCAAACGATGGGCAGGATGATAGCCGAGATGATAAGGAAGACGAGGTAGTATTGCCAGCCGATGGTTTCGATGGCGACAGGTGTTACCATGTTGACGACGAAGTTCCAGAGCCAATGGTTAGCAGTGGAAATACCCGCCATCGGGACACGAAGCCTTGTGGGCGCGACTTCAGTGCAGTACAAGAAGTTCGCTCCGAGGAAACCAATGGGGATGAAGAAGTTGAACAGGAACACGAAGAGAGCACTGGCGATCTGTGCAGACTTGTTCGATTTGGGGAAGCTGGATGCGACGGCTAGAGCCAGCATGCAAGATGCCATACCCGCTCCGCTGAACATGAAGAGCTTGCGCCGACCGAAACGATCGATTGTGAAGAAGGCGACGAAGCAGGAGAGGAACTTCCAGGTGAGGGCGCCACCGGATAGAATGCGGGAGGTTTCCGAGTCAAGACCGAGACCTTGTTGGAAGATGATCTATTACATGTTGTTAGTGTGTGATTTTGTAGTCGATAAGAAGTGGGACTTACAGTCGAGTAGGTGGAGATGAGGTTGCTACCGCACATCTGCTGCAAGAACTGGAGGAAGATACAGAGCGAGAAGCGGTAGAAGAGCTTGTCTTTGCCCATGGTGAAGATGTCGCTTATCTTCGCTGCGCTGCGACCAGTCTCCTCGAGCGCAAGTTCGATACCGCTAATCTCAGTGGTGATCTCGGGGTCGTGCAACTCCAAGCCCTTGAAGCTCGACAGACTGACGCGAGCCTCCTCTACACGGCCCTTGGCGACCAGCCAGCGAGGTGATTCAGGGATGCTGAATACGGCGAGCATAGGAATGACGGAGATAACGGTGGGAATGGCGAGAGGAATGCGCCATTGGAGAGGCAAGTTGTCTTGTTCGAAGAAACCGAGGTTGATCCATGCTTCGAGCAGGTAGCCGAGAGAGATGAAGCAGCCGTCAAGGACAACGTGCTTACCACGGTTGGCAGACGATGAGCACTCGGACTGCCAAACAGGAACGGTGGCACTGAGAGCTCCAACTCCCCATCCTAGGATGAAGCGACCGACGACGAATTGCGCGAGCTGGAAGCTGGTGCACTGTAGGATCTCACCGACCAGAGTCAGAAAAGCGGCACCGAAGATGAGCTTTCGTCGACCGAGGATGTCGCCAATCCATGAGCAAGAAAGAGCGCCGAAGAGAGCACCAATGGTGAAAGTAGCGACAACAGCACCTTGCTTGGTCGAATTGCTGCTCTTCTCCGCGCCGGTGGTATCGATAGTGTTGATCTCCGGGAAGTGGTCGTTCCAATCACGAAGTGACAGAAGACCACCAACACCAGACTGGTTGTATCCGAACAGCACAAAGGCTGGCAGAACGACGAGCAAAAGCTGCGCCGTCTGGAGAGTCTTGCCGCTGAGTCCCATGGTGAAAATTGACAGAGGGAAATGAGACAGAGGAAGGGGAGGAGAGGGACTACAGAAGGAGACGGGCAGGACAGTAGCTCAGTACTTGTACTCCAGTCCCCTTCTCCACAATATCCTGCAGCGTGGGCACTATCATGGAGACACTCCAGTCAGTGCAGTATTGAGCACTAACCTGTCTCCACCTTGGGGTTAACCACCGGAGATACAGTGAGTGTAGCCTCTGCAGCGCGCCGGATGCCTCGTTTTAGCACCGACCCCATACACCGACCCAACAAACCTCCACAAACGGCATCTGATGCTGACCGGTATGGAGTCCGAGCTTGCGGGAATTGACTCGTATGTGACCAAAAAGCAGGGCGCGTCGGCGGCCATAGTTCGGCGTCGCTCGCCTCGAGACCAGCGGCTGAGGAGTAAAATCCTTCGCCATGTCGCAACGCTATCATGCCGGTTGAGGCTTGATGTGGGCCAGATTGTACGAGAGGCTCTGCGGTAAGGATTGGAAGGATTTAAGCTTTTCCAAGAAGGCCCTAGTTAGCTTAAAAACCTTGATTCGCGTGACCTGTCATTGGCCAAGGCACAAGCCTCGGTAGTTGTTCTATCCCCACCATTGTCGTGCGCGCTCCGTAACGTCGGAAGATGGCAGCTTGTGCGAGTAACGCAAATTGCTCAACGTGGGTAGTACGCGGCCCAGATTTGATGATGAAACGAACAATAGAATCAGGGAATCAGCCTGCAAGCTCCACACCGTGGGGTCGGCTAAGAGTTGATGAGAAAGCAACTTTTGCTGAGGTGATGTAGCTGCGCATGCGGCGAGATAAGAGGTAGTGCAAGACGATAGCATAGCTTGTTATTCTTGGCCGAATCGCATGAGATGCCACTTTTTGATAGTCCCGCGTGATGGTTCCGATTCTAGCACCGTTCGGCGCCCTTGCTAGCTTTCATAACCGCAAGATCATCGGCCTCTATCCTTCTCCGTCTCCGTACTCGCACTCGAGCTTCTTCCTTAAGAACTCGCCCCACTTCGTTTCTCCGACAGTTCCGTGTCAGCTCCAGCATCTGGGGTTCTACCAAGCTCCGACGTTGACCTGACATGTTGATCTTCCACAGCGTCGGATGCTGTGTTCTCGGTCGCTTCTCGTCCGACGTCCGCAGGATCTGCGCTTCGTATGATGCCATACTCGAAGCGATCTACTACTGCCTTTTCTATATTCCTTCGCGGTTCCTCAACGCCATCTTTGTAATCGTTCAACAGTGCGACTGCTCTCTCATCACCTTCCTCGACGCACCTATAGATCAATGCCTCCCAAGTATTCCTTCTGGGCTTCATAGGGCCCTTTTTACCGGCTGTAGCACCCGTTGACACCATCTCTTCGTAGTATAGCATAGCATCGTCCAAGTCGCCAGCGGTGAGGCAAACCAGGATCAGACGGTCATATGTGAGACGACTGGGTCTGAGACCCAGCTTGACCATTTCGTTAGCCAAGAACATAGCAAGCTCTTTACGCCCTTCCAAATGACATCCTCGAAAGAGGATGTTGAAGGTGCCGGTGTTGGGGCCAGCATGAGAGACAGTATGCAGAGCTTTGTAAATTTCAATGGCTTCGTCGAGGCGCGTACGTGCGATACTGGCTTGAATACAAGCGTTCACGGCTGCGGTGGGTATCTTACGGCCTGCAGCCTCGAAGTCTTGCAGATGCCTAAAGGCTTGCATAGGTCGGCTATCTTCGTCGGGTGTTCCAGCCGACAGGTACCAGTAGAGAGGATCACAGGTCCCAGGGCCGACCTTCAAGTTGATATCGACCATGATGAGGATAACGGACAGGGCTGCTTGCAGGTCGTTGGCATTGAGATAGGCGGATATGAGCAGCTCGTAGTGGTGTGTGCTCAATGTTGTCCCTCGCTCCGTCAGGATGCGGAAAACGTCGGTAGCGAGAGGGACGTCTCCGTGTCGCGAGGCGAGGTTAAGGACGGACAGACAGGCCCCGGTTCCTGGTTTGAGGTAACCCGGTTGAACTTGTGCCGTCCATACGAGGACTGTCTCGTCGAGCTTCTCTGGCGTCAGTACGTTGTCTTTGAAAAAAGGGCCTGGCAGGTCTCCCACTTACAAGCAGCTTGTGCGATGCGGCATCGAGTAAAGCCCCCCACAGAGCACTACTGAGCTCCACAGCACCTGTCCCGCTGCTCTTGCCCTTCGCAGCTTCCTTGAGGCCCAGCACGTGGAAAGCTTCTTCGACTTCCCCAAATTCCAGCAACATCCACATAGCTTTGTCAAACAGCCAGCTCTCGACGCGCGCCTTGTTCCGAACCATTTCTTCCAATGTCATGAGTGCGTGTTCGAAGTGGCGATCGCGCAGCATTCCAGCTACGACAAAATTGCGTGCGCGATCCGAAAGGTTGAACCAGCGCGACTTCATGTATTCGAGTATTTCGTCGCGGAGGAGGTAATCGGGGTGGACTGCGAGCACTTCGAGAACGCATTCACAGCCCCGTGCATCCAGCTCGATTTTCGGCTGTCCAACCAGGGCTCCGTCCGTGTCGTTCCAGAAGCCCATTTCTTCGAGCACTTTGCGCAGCTTGCCCGCCGTGCCTGTTTTGGGGTCGACGAAGCTATGCAGTAACGCTGCATACATTTCCTTGTTTGGCTGCTCTCCTCTGTCTTTGATCAGGACTCTGCAGATGTTCATCACCTCGTCCCAGTTGCCCTTTGCGCCCTCATCTCGCGCATGTTCGTAGAGGATATATGTTGGTTGCTGCGCGAGTGCAACATTATCTCGGGTACCTCGGAGGCGCGAAGGGCGCAGCTTCTCTCCAAACGGGCGGAATCCAGTCGCAGAAGTTCCAGGCTGTGAGAAGAAAGAGTCGTTTGCGGTGAAGAGAGGGTTGGAACTGTTGTAGGCTCGTGATTGACGGCTGCAGTGGGATGCGGCATCTTTTCGCGATGCATGGCCATGTGGCAACCTAGGCCCTCCTCTGGTTATGTATGGTGTTGCTACAGCATTTGACGGAAATCCCGGACAGAGACATCGCCATAGTCCGTCGTTGACGAATGGGCGGGGTGGCATTGGCGTTGACGGTGTACAGTGCCAAAGTTTCAATGCGGGAGCATGAGATGCAGCATCCGTGCGCCGCCTCGGTTCGGCGCTGCACTACATCATACAGGATCACTAGCTGCATACAAAATCACAGGTAGGAGCTTAGTTTATTACTATATGCACACACGCACTTTTCAAGTGCTTTTCAAATCCCGTACCGAATCGCAAAAGGGTATATACGCCCAAATACCATCCTATCTCATGCATAACCCGTGCCACTCTCCCCATCATATTATGTCGAAACAGCATCCTGCGTAGCGTTTCGTACCCTCCCTAAAGTGCCAAAGAAATAACTGTTGAAATCTTCACAGCCATCTGCTCATCTCCTTACGATTTGCTCCGAAAGAAGCTCCAGTACCTGTACCAGTCAGCTCATGATCGCATGCAAAGAGAGTTAGCACATACCTTTGGTGATATTACGTCCTGGTTCACCAAGTGCTTGCTCAGGATCTTGACAACATCCATTTGCTCCTCGTAGGTCAGTCCGGTGACGGCTGCTTCGATCACTCCACCGACGGTAGTGTGGTGAACAGCGATGAAACTCGAGTAGTAGAAAAATGCAATAGAGCCCATGATGAACTGACAGTCCATGCGGTCAGTCATTCCACCGTGACCGGGAATAGAGTCACCAAAGTCCTTAATCTTGAATGTGCGCTTGAGACCAGAAGCGAAGAAGCCACCGAAAGGCGCGATGAGAGACGCAAAAGTTCCGAGCATGATGACGTGGAATTGCACAGGCATGATGCTGAAGGTGCGGGGAATCGGAAGACCCTCGGGAAGGAAGGGAACAGAGTAATCGCGCGCGACGAAGACAGGGTTGGGTCGGCACTCAAGGCCAGACCAGATGTTTGCGCCAAGGTCGTTGACAGGGCAGATGAAGTACTTGTAGCGTGCAACAAAGTGGGTAACGAGGACACCCCAGAGAACGGTGAAGAACCAGGCGCCTAGGAAGCCTTCCCATGTCTTCTTGGGCGAAATCTGGATGAGGGGTGTCCTTCCAAAGGTGATGCCGCAAAGATAGGCCCAGATGTCGTTGCAGATGACCATGGAGACGGGGAGGATGAACCAGATGAAGCCTTCGAAAATGTTGTTGATGACAAAGTGTGCCTGCCCGACGATGAGGAAGAGAGCCATGTGCGTCCAGGCGAACTGGGTGAACTGGAACTTGTAGTGGCCCTTTTGCAGTGAGAAGACGAAGAAGATGAAGCCTGGAGGAGTTAGTTTAGGTGGCATGTACAGGGTTCTAGGACATACCGATAATGTACAGCATAAAGGAGATGAACCTGTGGTGGGTAGCCAGGGGGAGCAGCAGACGGTCAACCATGAGGACATGCTTGAAGTAGTATATGACACTCTCGCCGTAGAGAAAGTACATGGCAGTGCCCAGGAAGTACCAGTTGAGCGACTTGGTGAAGCGCAGGCTGCGGGCCTTGCTGGGAACGTTTGCGATTGCGATGACCTCCTTGAAGGATATGACCTGGACCGCCGTGACGATGATGATTATGAAGAGGTGGCCGGCACCCAGCGCCCAGAAGAAGCCGGCAATCATGACGAGGGTCCATACGGTGCGCGTTATGAAGTTTGCCTTTTTCTTCTCGTACTCGCTCTGGGGGGATTGCTCGGCGGACTGGCGCGGTCAGCTGGTGGACGGGTAGGCAGAAAAGCAGCAACATACCGGAGGCGTCGTCTCCTCCTTGATGGTGGGACTGCCCGGGTCGCTGAACTCGGACATGCTCTGCGAGGGTCTCCGGGCTCTTCCATTGCTGGCGCTGCGGACCTGGTGGTTGAACTTGACGTCCTTTCTTGGACGCGCCATGGTGGGCGAGGGAGCGCCGGGTTGCGCCGGGTGTGGTGTGGGAGGATAGGGGGCAGCCGGGGGAGGACCGGACGGGAAGGCGCGATGGCGTGAAGGGTGTGTAGGGTGGAGGAAGGCGGGGTGGTGAGGGTCGAGTGTTGGCAGCAAGCTACTAGTCCGACTGACTGGGCAGGTTGTGAAATTGCGGACAAGTAACATCGGGCAGACGTCATGGCCGCCTGCGCTTAGCGACACCCTGCATGTGAATTTCCCGGCCCAACACAGCAAACTACACAACGCGTCGCGCCCCGCATTGCGACCGCTTTGGGACATGCACACGCGGACGCCAGCTGGCAGATGGTCCGACAATGGCTGACGACGACCTGGACGACTTCTCTGACGATGACTTCGACGACCTGCCCGCCAACGCGCTCGACGACCTCGAGGCAAGCGCCATCAGGGCGACACAGCAGCCACAGCAGCAGCAGCTACTGTTTGACCCAGAGGCCGACTCTGACGACTACGGCCTTGAAGATGGCGACGAGGTAGTCAACTTGGACGACGCGTCTGGTCCCCCGCGTGCGTCGCAGGACTACGACTATGCTTACGACTACGACCACAACCAGAACGGAGATGGGCAGACATACAATGGCCAGATGGAAGTGGAAGAGCAGCCGCGCCCGTCGCAGGCTGACCCCAACGCGCTACTTCAGCGTATCAAGAAGGTGCGATGCCTGCCCCTTCGGTTTCCACTCGTCTCACTAAACATCGCAGTTAGAGCAAGACAAGGCGCGCGAGAGAAGAGAAGCCGACGAGCTGAAAGGGAAGCTACAGACAAAGTCGGGCGAGGCCGACACCCTTCGAAGACGCTACGATGCCGAAAGTCGTCGACACGAGCGCCAGCTGGCCGACCAGCAGCAGGCCCACGGTACTGAACTCGCCAAACTGCGTGCCGAGATGGAGAGGCTGCGCCAGGAGAAGGAGTCGGTACAGACGGACAACATGTTCAATCAGCATGACGCACGAGAGACGAGCATCGCGCGACGGCCTGGGAGGACCATGCCGTCACGGCCAAAGTCGGGTCCGCCCGTCGTCAGTCCAGCCGGCACCCCGAAGAAGGGGCAGAAGACAAGAGGTCCGCTGGGCGATGGCTTCGCCGATGACGATGTTATCATGGCGTCACCGTCCAGGCACGGCGAGAGGCAGAAGACGGCGACACCCAAGCAGGCGGGCAAGAGGAAACGACAGACGATAGACCAGAGCCCCATACCATTGCCTGCGCTGTCGCTGAGCCAGCCACGAAGCCAACCAAAAGAAGAAGAGCCAGCGCCTGTCGCAGCACCTACGCTAGATGTTGGACTACTCGAGCACTTTCGACGCGACGATCAACGATTCACCCTTCTTCATCGTCTGCTCTCACATACGTCCTCGAATGGCACCGATCGCATACTCGAAGCACTTACCCTGCATGCATTTCCGTCTGACGTATCCAAGAAGCTGTCTTCGATTGTGTATGATGCACTAGCGAACATAGCCACTGCTGATGTGCACGAGTTAGCGCTACAGATATGTCACATCTTTCTTGATCTATGGAAGCGCTGTCAGACTGAGAAGTACTATGCTCCGATTTCGTTGATCCTGGATGCGCTGCACTTCGTTCTGGCATGTGAACCGACCGAGACTGCGGTCGGCATAGCAGACCGCGTCGTACCGCTCATCATCGCCTCCGTTGATCTTGTAGCCGATCCCATCTCGAAAGCAGCCAAAGGAGGTGAGAAAGCTATTGCCGACCTCTACTCTCCAAAGCAACGGGAAATTGCGTCTCGCATCGACGTCGAGGACTGTCTTGAACTACTGTATCTCGTTGCGAGCAGCTGTCTTTCGTCAGTAGACTCTGAAGCTATAATCCGTTTGTGGCAGGCAATACCCTCGACCTTCGCTATAATGCTCCTTGTCAAAGAGCAGCCACAATCACAGATCATGCTCATGTTGCGCATACTTGATACCTCTGCACTACCTACCTCAGTAGGACCTATAACCACTGCGGATTCTCCTCAAGACAATCAAGCAAACAACGAAGATGCTCTCATCAATCGCCTCACCAATCTTTTCACCGAGATACCCAAGCTCATCCCCGATCCTGCGGCTTCTCCCAGTGCACTTCCAGCACTCTCCGAAGCAGACCTCTGGGACCTCCGCTTTCTTGTCATCTCAGTACTTACACAATTTTCTGTTTCAGAGTACGGCTCTAGTCGTCTGGCCCAGAATCGTCTTTGCATTGGCCGATTGATCAAGTACCTTGATCACTGCGTTACAAGCCTCTATCGGCATCCCATCTCGCCGACTCAAGACCGGAAAGTCGATTCCATCAATGCCACGATGAAGCTGATCTATCACGTCGCGACGACGAATGCCAACTTCGATGTCAAGAGCAAGTTGGTGAATACGCTGGGCGGGCAGCATGCCTATCTCGTTGCGCTTACCCGCTTGGCGTTTAGCGAGGGACTAGTGCTAGAAGCGGGAATTGAAGACGAGGTCGTGAACATGGCGCATGACATCCTAGATGAGGGACTGAGCATGGAAGAGGGTGATGCTTTTGGAAAAGTGTTTAGTAGTGGAAGCACTGTCTAGACGCATTGGGTAGCCATCCTCCGAACATGCGCCGCAGGTGTCAGACATGCAACGTAGCACCCACATCCTCAACTTCCAGTAGTATCACGACTCCGGCGTTCCCCCTACAGGAGCAAGCTCACACATGATTACGACGTCTATTCCTTATGGTTGTTGACAGAAGGCATAGACATCGACATCTTGTATAATCACTCATCTGGTTCACACATAGTTGTATTACTAGGGCTCATGACGGTACTGCATTGGGCGGCGTTCAGGACATTGGAAACATTCTTTCATATCCAAACAGCGAATGTCCAACACCATCTTCAATACTAAACATGTTCCTGCGCCCATCCCAATACCTTCTTCAAAACCTCATCCCCACACTCATCATGCAACAGCTCATGCCTTCCCCCTGCATAAACACCGAACTCTTTATCCTCACTTCTTATCTCCTGCACAAACCTCTCACTACCCCTCCAATCACAATACGTATCTGCATCCCCATGCAGCACCATCGTCGGCACAGTCCAGTCTCCCACTTTCGCCATGACAGCATCCGTAACATCCACAGCCGTAGCAGCAGTCAAGAAGCAAATTGCCTTCTTCGAAAACAACGGATCAGCCAGATATTTTTCAATCTCAGGTTTACACCGTGTAAGGCCTGAGATGTCGACGTGGCGACCCGGTATAGAAACTGTTGGCATCGTGCGCGCTGCTACGCCTACCGCTAATCTCGCTGCGTAGGGGAACGGACCTGGGAATGCGGGACCGGTGAGAATTACCCCCTTTATGTCATTTGAATCCAGTGTTACGCTCCCAGCAGTAATGAGGCCGCCGAGTGAATGTCCAAACAATATCACTGGCTTCCCCAGCTTCACGGTGTGGTCGCGTAGTTCAACGTGATCAACGACGGCTTTTCCCACGTGAGCTACTGCGCGAACATCACCTGGTGAGGAACCGTGACCCCAAATGTCCATGGCGTAGACGGAGTATCCGGCGGCGAGGAAGTGTGTGATGAGGTTGTGGTGCGAGTATAGGTACCGGGATGCGTATTCCGCGTAACCGTGCTGTAAGACAATAGTTGCGGTGGGTTGGGTGTTGGGTGTCCATGTGTGCGCTATTGTGCCTGATGAGAGGGTTATGGTTGTATGGTTGAGTCCTTGGTTCGGGTCGGGGTTTAGTGCTGGGGTTGGGGGCATGTTGTCGTGGTGATTTGGAAGAGTGGTAGGTCTCCGATACAATGAAGGGACGTTCAACATGTTGACGATTGGAGTCGGTTCAAACTTTGTCCATATATCAGTCTTGCCTGGCTGGTCGTACGAGACCACTCTGTCGCTTGTCGAACTAGGCTCTCGGTCGTCTTAGGCTTCCGGACTGCCGATTTTGTGGCTGCGCTTTGTCGTTAGACATTGCAGATCATGTCACCATGTTACTACTTGTACAAGACATCATTTTCGTTGGGTACAGACGCGATGTCTGTCAGAGTGAAGTAGATTCCGTCCATGTCAACCACGTGGGGAGGGGCACAATGATGTCTAGACAGCTTTAGGCCTAGCGTGTGGGGCGCTTGCTGCGTCTCTACTCTCTGAAGCTGCAAGTTCAATGTATTGTCTTTCGACACAATCGCGTGGGCTGGCGTATGCAATAGATCCTTGGATCACAACAGGTGTAGGGGCACGATCCTTACCTCCCCACTCTTAATGCGTTCTTCCGCGTTCCCTTCGTAATACATCATACCATCGACATGAGCTTCACCAACAAGCTTGTAAGCATCTCCTGGGATGCCAAACTCACTGATGTATCTACGCTTCTCTCCCAGGCGGCATTTGCGCAGGACAAAAGGTGTCTTTCCGCCCATCAATATGGCTATGTTATCACCGCGCTTGAGGTTCCAGGGCCCAATACCGAGTTTCCCTGAGCGTGTGACAAAGAGCTGCCGGTTTACACAGGCGTTGTTAACAGCTTGGCTGTATCGCTCAATCCATGCGGCTTCTTCTGATGGGCTGTATTGCTTCCCGGGCTTGGTCAGACAGTCTGCAGCAACTGTGCAGGTGAAAGCTATTTTTCGTTCTGGGGGTGCTTCGTCAACAAAATTCGACCACTTTACCGTGTCCAAAGTGGCTCCAGGTCTATAAACTCCGGCTACTTCCACTATTTCGTCCATACCCAAGCTGAAAAGAGACAAGACTCCGTACTCAAGGCTGAAATGATATCGCAGGGACGAATTGCCTGAGGCACAGTAAGGTCTCGGCCTTCCAGGTAGTCCATGGAGCGGCCGGCTTTCTTCCACCCCAGCGATATTCAGGCTGTAGTTGCGACACCAACTTGCGCTCCTCAGTTCGGCATTAGCCGCTAATCCTAGTACTCGTAGGTTTCCGTAACAGCGGAGACAAGAGACAGTGAATTGCATGAAAATTTTCTCAGGGGTCATGGTGTAGTCTGCCTCCAGAAGCGAAGGTTGTCCAGCCTGCACCAAGCCCATTAGGCTGTATATCTTGTCTGGACCAAACGTGGCAGACTGTCCGCGAAACCTTTCGACTAGATCTAGCATGGAAAGTCGAACCTTGGAGTCTTCGTGCAGGCTGGCGCGTAGCATCTGCACAGCTGATGCGAACGCAATCCCTTGTTGATAGCATATGATGTTGGAGAAGAACATGAAATTGCTGAGCTCTCGCCACGTAACGTTAAGTGGACCCCTTTGCACGCAAACATTCTGACTAACGACCGCCTCTTGAATTACCCACACCCGCTGCCACCACTCGTGGCGCAAGACAGCATCGAGTTCTTCTTTGATACTTTTCACGTGCAATTGTGTTCGGAAGCTGCTCAGTAGCTTCTCCTTCTCGTGAGAAGCCGCATTGCTAATATGAAAAATGGTTCTGAATACGATAGGAGTCGTAGATGTTGCCTCGCCAAACCATATGATCGTTCTGGAAGCCTTACTATAAATGTCGCGCATCATCTGCACTTGTGATCCTCTTTCGACAGTATTGGATTGATCAATACACATTGCGTCAATCCAAAGAATACGATCGCGTTCGGTAAGGCGAAGCTCTCGAAGTGCCGTAAAAAGGTTGTGCGTGATCAAAAAAGGCTTTTCGTTGACCTGAACTTTGTAACGCTTTACAGACACACCCCAAACATAGCTCAATGCCTCGAATTCGAGATTGTTCAAGGGGCCAGTGACTAGCTCACATTTAATGGCATCATTGTTCTCTCCACTCTTAAGACGGACGACTCGAATGCTTCTAGAATCAATCGCAAGCGGAGAATAGGCGTCTGAGTTCTTTTGCAAGATTCTGCGAAGCTGTCTAGGATATATGACCTCGAATAGCGGGTATCTGTATGTCGAAACCCAAATAACGAAGCCGACCGAAAGCAGTGATTGTCGAAAAAGTCGGATAGGGATATTGATAGTAAGGAGAAGCAGACTCCACCCGATATATACAATCCACATGGAATACAACTTAATGGTTCCGTATGCTGAATATGGGCATGTCAATGCCAGAAAGACGAGTCTCGACGTCCATGAAAGTGTAGACATCGCTTCGGGTAGCCCTCGCCAACCTTGCATCATTGTGGGATGGAAAGACAGCGCCCACATACTGCGAGTAGCCTGGAATCTCCGTAGCAGATCTTTCGAGAAGGTAGAAAGACTGCTACTGTCTCGATCCGAGCTAAAGTGATAGATCGAGTCAAAGATAATGTACGGCGTAATCCTGGTGCCGACTGGACAACGCTCCCAGAATGTTTTGTCCATTCTTCTTATGATCCATGACATGGCTTTGATCGGATAGGTTACAATTTCTTGAGTAAAGTGTGCGAAAACAGTTGTACAGTGGTTCGGTCGAGACACTCTTTCGTGTTCCGCGTTCGGGGACGCGGTAATTTTGTTGTGAAAGTCGTAGTCGGACGTTTTGGACGCGGAAGTTTTGTACGAAGCAGTTGACATTCTAGAAATATTGATGGTAGTAGATCCACTCGTCGACTATCTGCATTGCTTTGTAGGTTGAGGGCGCGATAGATTCCCAGCGGGTACAAAAGCAACAAGAATGAAGTCTAGGCATCTACAGCAAAGGCCCGTACTGTGGTTCGAGCAAGCTCACATCAAAAACTTTATTTGTTAGGTGGTCCGCCTCAGGTTGCTCGAAGATGGTGGGTGTGCTGCGCCTTCCTCGGCATCCAGGCATACTACCCACCACGTCGCCGCCAACATAAGCCGCCACTGACGCACTGGGTCTGCACGCTTAGCGCAGGAAAACTCATTTCTTTCAACCGCATTTATTCTATAGCGATTGCGATGAGAGAGAGAGAGAGTGTGTGTGTGTAGAAAGACCACAAGGAAAGAGCTTCGCTAGCATTACAACGTAAGGGCTATGGCCTGATCGTGCTCGGATATGTATTTATAGATATAAGGCGTGCCGCATTGCTCGCTCCATGCAAGGCCTGCGATTATCGTTTCAGCATTGGTGCGAAATCGCGTTGCTATGAGCAAAGTATGCAACGCATGCTGGATCGAATGTTTGGAGGCCTTCCACTTTCTTGAGGTAACATGGGATTGCCCGGTGGAAACTGTATGACAACATTCATGGATCTTATATCAAATTGAAAATCGTTGGAAACAGTCGCTTTTGACCTCTTCTGATGTTATCCCTCATTCATAAGATTTTACAACAAGAGTCCTCCAATCACGCCAGCAACAACAGTAAGAAGGCCACCACCGACAACAGCATTAGCATCCGCAGCGCCCGTAGACTCAACCACGGAACCTGAGCCAGTTGGGCTGACACTTCCAGAACCAACTGCAACACCAGTGCTTGCAACAGATTCCAGCTTGGAGCCAGACATGCTGTGTGAGCTCTTCATCGTAGCAGAGGACTCTGCAGCCTCTGTGGTAGTGGTCTCCGCTTGAGCGTTAAGCTTGTCCGCACCAGCTGTGACCACTAAGCCAAACGTGCTAACCATATCGGCGTCATATGTCGTCGTGCTGGTGCCGGGGAAGTTGGCTTCGGTACCACTAGCACTTTCCTTGCAAACCGCGCTCTCAGCAACCACGCAGTCCATCGTAGCGGTGAAGTCCGAGTCTGGGCTTGGATCTCCCATATTGATGTTGTAAGTCGAAGGTCCGACAACGAGAGTTTGAGCAGGGAAGAGACCACAATCGAGAGATTCAGGAGCGCAGGCGAGTGAAAGAGTAGTGGCGGTGGGATTCGCCGTAATGACGGAGGCGTAGAAGTCGGTAAAGACGGACGGGGCGTCAGTGGAGCCGATACCAATCCATGGGACTGAGATGGTTGTTGAAGCCTTTTGAGCAGCAACTAGACTGATGAGGGAGGCAAAAATATATCTTGAAGCCATGATGATATGTTGGTAGTATGTAAGTTTTAACGAGAGTAGTTACTGATGCAGCGCACAGATCAAAACGAGCGACTTGGTTGGCAGAATGAGCGACGAAGAGCGATGCTTACCATTGACTTGCTAATGCGGCTTCTTAAATATAAGACTTTCGCGAAGTTGTACAAGCTATCATGAATCTAGCTCTTTGCCGGTTGTGGCGTTCTAAAGGGGCTGGCGCCTGATGTTTAGCGGCCCTGAAAATTTCCCCCTCCCGCGGACGCCTACAACACGCCAATTACCGTGCTCAAAAGACCATTAGGATCGTGAGCTATCAGGCGAAGCCGGGCCGTGCGGCCATTGTACGCCTGGTGCGACTCACTGGCTGTGCAGAAGCAATGCATGCCTGTCTGCTTGGACGTACATGAGATGCGACGTGAAAAGACCGGGCAAGGTTCGTGCGCGATCATTCAACATGCTCTTTTGGGCTATGTCCGACTCGGTCCAGAAGGTTATCCCACCAAGTAAAGTATGGCTCGTAGCCTCCGCCGCCTCGTGCATGATGAAGACTATGCTTCCGCGCACCACCGCCCCAACCCTTGGGTAGAATCTTCTCATAACCCCATGGCAGATCGAGTCCTGAATGCAGTTCGACTAACAGCCAGACAAATATAGGCACAAACAACGTTCGTGTGAAGACATGACTCTTGATTATATTTAGGCTGAAGTTGGCCAGCAGCACCAAGCCCAGACGCTCAAAGATGTGCAGCTGATTCGTGATCTGGGGGTGTATCTCGGCGTGTCGATGATGTGGAGCGTGCCACCGCTTGACTACAGGTATGACGTGTAGCGAGAAGTGGAAGAGGAAGAAGAGGGTGTCGTAGAGGAAGAAGCTTGCGGCAAGCTCGAGGGCGACTCGTCGACTTGAAGGGGGGAGGTCTGGTAGAGCACGTTGTGTTTGCAGCGGCGAAGAAATCGTCATATTATGCAGGGTCGGCACCAGAAAGGTACTGCGATATGTTGAGGTGGAGTTGTTCGCAGCGATTGCAGCGGCTGCGGCGTGATAGTTGCCCGACTCAAGCATCGCCGTGAGCGGCACATCGGCAAACTTCTTGATCATGGTCAGGTCCATGAGCAGCAACGGCGTCATGTACGTGGCGGCCTCACCCCATCGCCGCGAAGGTCGTCGCATGCCGTGTGGTTTCTTCACGTCTTCCCCGTTCTTGCCCTCCTGGACGCCAAACCTCCATTGCGGGTTTCGCAGGAAGACGACTGTCATAGAAACTTCGATCGCTGCATATAGAGAGACGGTCCAGATGGTCTCGAAGGTCGAGAGGCGGTACACAGGATTCTGTATCAGCCATTGCCACAAAGGCGTAAGGACAGGCTGATACACGGCTGGGAAACCGACAGCAGAAAAGAACAGAGCTCCTAGGACGGTTCGGTACGTTGCAGCCATGAATTGTAGTATTTCAAGCGATGAAGAGCTCCATTGTGTCTATCATTGTTCTGATAATTGCCTTCGGTAGGCGTTGTCTGGGCATTCACTCTTGACGTCATCTGAATTGGAATCGGAATGGTTCCGACGGGATTCCAGTCTCTCGCCTGAACAACGATTATCGTTCTACGTTGAACTGGTACCTACAACAGCCATGCTGGACATACAGCTTCGACCGATCAAAGACACGTTGTTCGATTCTATTACACATCTCATCCCCTCCTCTCTTTCCCCGCTCGCCATCACCATTCTCGCCTTCTTCTCTGGTGTCATTTCCTGCATCTACGCCGCTTCCAACAACATCCTACTGAGCACCGCATTTTGGGCACTCAACAGAGCACTGGATTGTCTCGATGGAGCCGTCGCCCGAAAACGTAATCAGTCTTCAGATCTTGGTGGTTACTTCGACCTTCTGGGCGACTTCATTGTCTATTCAGCCATCCCAATAAGCTGCGCCTTAGCACAGAACGAGAACTTTAATGCGAGGAGGATTTGGTTCTCAGTGGCTGTCTTGGAAGCCTCTTTCCATGTCAACAACTTTGTCTTGTTCTACATAGGCGCCATCCTGGAGAAGCGTAAAGGCAGTGGCAGAGGTGAAAATACGACCAGGGTCAAAGAGCTGACCAGCGTCGCAATGCGACCAGCACTCATCGAAGGAACTGAAAGTGCAGCTTTCTTCACGGCCATGCTCGTATATCCTTGCTACTTGCAACAACTGTCTTGGGCAATGGCTCTTCTAGTGTGGTTGGGAATCGCTCAACGAACAAAGTGGCTGGTGGAATCGCTTGGTTAGATAGACAAACAAGCTACAAAGATGAAGAGGGTCTTTCCTGCTTTACAATACCTTTCTCGCACAGCCGCGAAATAACACTTCGTGCGTCTCCTTTGCACGCTGCAAGCTCTGAGTTGGTCATCACCTCCGTAAGGTTACCGCTGGCTCCTTTCGATATAATGGTCGGGTAGCGGATGGTATTGGATTCAACGAAATCCTTTATCTACGCATATTTAGTGTACAAACTCAAGAGCGTTGCATCTTTCAATAACAGACACGTACTTCATCAGACAGCTCATCCCGGTGCCACTGGACAATCTTATAGCCAGAGTCGGCTTCGATCACCTTCTTTGCTTCAAGCCAAGTTGGTGTCTCCTTCAGTGACAATCCGCCATGTGTGATATCGCCTGGTTACATCAGCATACGGTATTCTCTATTGATCACCTTAGTAAGTGAAGCGTACAGGCTGCACATGCTGGATTCTCCTCAGTAGAATGGCAAATCTTACGATATCCATATCGCAGCTTGCCAATGATGGATGCGTCGGCATTGTATAGGACATAAAGTGTACCCGACATCCTCGAAAATGCCATGTATTGAGAACCGTGTGATGATAGGCAAACCGATGTCAAGCCTCCAGGTGGTTGGGATGCAATGATCGATGACGTATATGCTGCACGGACCTTGAGTGTCTGTCAGCCGAGTGGTCTTCTCAGCAAGCCACCAAAGTCATCAACCTGGTCGTAAATACTCTCCTGAACCCATAATCGGCGTAACGCTCATCCTCTTCGACCGACAGATCAAACTCCGCTTCAATCCAATCTTTGGTCAGACCTATGTAATGCCCTCGGATCCTGTCAATCTCAACAAGGCCTTCTCAGCAGCGCATGCTACGACAACTTCCATCGCTGCATTACTGTTGTTACGGTATGCATCATGGCCAGTACCTCTGCCGAGGAGCGCATCTACACAGGACACGAATGAGAAGGAGCAGCACCTAGACGACACGCAAAATCCCATGATCAATGGCCACAATCGTATGGCCAACGCGCTGACCGCATGGGAAACGGTATACCTACTATACGATACCTACACTATGGTTCGCACATATCGCATGAAAAACCGATTGTCATTTCGCGCTGCTTTGGGCGTTGCGGCTCGCTCGTCGCCTGTCGCTTTCGCCCATCATGTGTTGCTCTCATCCGCATTCCTCGTATTGCAAGCATATATTGCAGCGGGCAAAGAAAAAGGGATGTGGGTGATCACTGCATTCTTGCTAATGAATGGCAGTACACCATTGATGCATGCTCGATGGTGGAATCGGCAACAGACAGGAACATCAAATACTGCAATCGATGTTGCTTTTTTGACTACGTTCGCCGCTTCAAGATTTGGTGTTGTTGTTTGGATCTTGACAAAATACGGCCAACATCATGGTATCGGCCCATGGCAATCATATACAATGCTGAGGAAACGATGTCAAATCGGGACTGCTATGCTAGTAGGGTTGAATGGTCTCTGGTGGACCATACTGGCTGTCAATGTAGTAAAGAGGAACATCAAACGACGACTATATTGAGATTGTCTCATGTGGAACTACGCGATACACGAACCATGATAGGCTCCGATGGTCTTTGCGTGGGCAACTGCTTCATATGCTGAGCCCAATCCTCTGGCCTCACCGAATGATTCGGTTCCCACCCCAGCCAACCGCGCACCCCATGCGATGCAACATTGCCATGTATACCGATTCCGAGACGTACGAATGTGTCTGCTACAACCAGAGCAATCTCGCGAATCGCGTCGCGACCCAAACATGTCTTTAGACCCGCCCCGAAAGCTACACCGGGCGGTACACTCTCGTCCAGATATCGGTTCGCGTCAAACACATCCCAAGACGATCCATAAGCCGTCGGATCACGGCCACTGCCTACGAAGTAGAGCCAGCAGTCCCATCCTTTTGGTATCTTTATGTCAGCCTGATCTCCTGGTGATGAGATGATATTATCTCTTGTGGACCGTCTCATGATGCCTACAATGGGTGGGCTGAGCCGCTCTGTTTCCATGAGTATGGCGCGTAAGCGTAGCGAAGTTCTGTCAGGATCACCTCCACTAGCCAAAGACTCTGCTAGCGACTGGCCATCATTTGTTTGGTACAAGAACAGGTTCAACAGCAAAGCTGTTAAGAGAGACGCCAGCGCTTTGACTGCAAGGCTGCTCGTGAAAAGGACAGAGTGCTTTGCTACATCCTCCAACTCGCTGTCATCTGCAGTAGCAAATGGGCACGCACTTTTTTTCTCTTTCAGATGCTGCGAGATCCTGGCTTGCAGCTTTCTGTTCGCCTCTTTGCCCTTCTTGCGAGGTGAATGCCAGAAGCCTGTGTTGACGGTCACCGGAAACAACGAGAACTGGCCTCGAAGTAAGTCTTCCTGCAAACTTTCTATCGTATCAAATAAACTGCTGTTGCTGCCGAGGTCCAGAAATGTTCCAAGCAATATCTTCCACGAAAGCGTCTTTAAGGACTCGTACATGTCGATTTCCGATATTGAAGGTTCAGAGAAATGCTGATCAGTGTGCAAACCCACTACAGAACGGAGCATCTCTTTCAAATCCTTCATTCTTGTTTCCCATGTTTGACGCATGGAAGTATGTTTTTCACCATCTGTCAGTAACAAGTTCGGTGACGGAAAGAATGGTGCCATCAGCTCAGAGTACGCGCCACAGGCTTCATATCCTGCCGCATCCTGGGCGAGAACTTGATGGATCTGCGCATATGAAGAAACAATAGCGACATTGCGATTTAGCACTTTCGCTCGAACTATTGCCCGGTTCTCCACAGCTTCTGGGTGTTCTTTTTGGAAGGCGAGGATACGCGATGTGATGAATGACTCTGGCGAGTTGTGAAAAGAAAAGCTCTCGGCAAACCCTCGCAGTGTCGAGGAACTACCTAGAGGAAGTTGTGGTTCTGGCTTAGACATTGTGAGCTTTGGAATTGCCCACTGAGTCCAAACTGCGGCAACGCTTGACCCCATATCACGACGGTTGTATCGGCTGCGGGGTGTTGTGGTTGTTACGTCATCGACTTTGCGCCACGGCTTGGTAGCTACAAAGTCTATACATGATCCCTCGATATCTTTGAAAAGTGTTCGCGTGTTACGAACGTTGCACCATGGCATCCGACACCAAACAACCGTACGATCATGCAACAAAAGGTCCTTCCGAAGATGAGGCAATACCTTCCGCACATCCGATTACCCAGAAACGGCCACTACTCTATAACATATACGCATATATCTGCATCCTACTCTTATTAGTCAACTACTTTCTCGCCCAGTACGACAAGTTCATATTATCATATTTCCAGACTTCTGTACTAGCTGATCTTTCACTGAGCTCCACACAATATGGGCTCCTCTCCGGGTATGCAACAGGGATTGTCTACGCCATCCTCGCTTTACCTATCGCTTTCCTCTCTGACTACACGTCGGCTCGTGTGTGGGTCTTATGTGTCACGGCAGCATGGTGGAGCTTATGTGTAATTTTTCAGTCTCTAGCGAACAATTTTGGTCAGTTATTTTGCGCCAGACTTGGAATGGGTGTTGGGCAGGCGAGCGTTGAGGCAATATCTATCAGCCTCATCAGCGACTTGGTAGGATGGAGAAATGTATTCATTGGAGAGAGCATACTCTATGTGGGGGTATACATTGGCGAAGCCATCAGCGGTCAAATCGCCACTGCCTTTACAGAGACTGGTACAAGCTGGCGCATTGCCTTGCGAGCGATCGGCATCACGGGATGTGTCGTCGCAGTACTGTTACGAATCTTTCTGCGGGAACCAAAGAGAAGAGCAAGCCTGGTGCAAATGAGCAGAGAAGATCGTAACAACAACGTGAGCATGGAGTTCGCAGATGTGCCAACCCACTCTCGAGGCACTTCAAGACTGCAGGCCGCCAAGTCTGATCTGGTTGCTACCTTCACATACATCCTGCATATGAACTCATTCTGGCTTCTTGTCCTCTCGGCTGGTTTCCGTCAATTGAGCGGCAATGTCTTCGGATATTACATGCCCAGCTATCTCGGCGACACATACCCTTCACACACCGAGATCTTCTCCCGCTATGGCATCATCGTCGGTGTCGTAGGATCAGTCGCAGTGCTAAGTGGTGGCATCCTCACGTCGGTGCTATGGCCACGTACCCAGCTAACACCAGTTTACCTGACCGGCATCGGAGGCATGATAAGCGCGCTTTTCGTCCTCCTCATGGTCTTCTCGCGCGATATCGCCGGCGGCTCGGAAGACCGAGGCATCAAAATTCTGTACGGCGTCATGAGTCTTGCATATCTCACTGCAGAACTATGGCTAGGCTGCCTCTTTGCGCTCATTGCGTTGCTTCTTCCACCGCGCTACAAGACGTTTGGTCTTGCCATTTGGGGCAGCGTACAAGTACTGATCTATTCGTCAGGACCACAGATCATCGGTCTAGCATTGATGAACGAGGAAACAGCAAGTGAGAGCTACAGGAAGGCTACGCAATTGTGCTTGGCAATCATTATCCCTGTTGGATATTGGCTTGCCGGTGTCGGATTTTTACTCTCCATACCATTGGTGAAGAAAGACTTGAGAGAAGAATTTGTATCGGGAAGGTTGAGTGGAAGAAGGAAGATTAGATCAGCCATCTTTGCTGGAGTATTGGCAGTTGTAGTCATAACATTGTTTGTTGTGAGTTTGGTATACCAGGCGTGAATGCCCTCGTTGGTATATACATGTAGCAGATCAATAGTGATCGACACTCCCAGTAGGCTTTTCTACATACGATGCAGAGCTTACTCTCATCGCCTACTTGAAAGATAATCCCAAGAGATCTTCAATGCCGGCATAGAGCGGGCAAGCGTAATCCGCCTCAAGTAATGGCCTGACGGTCACCCCACTACTTCCATCCTTTCCTAATACACCCAGTTCCTTCCCAAGCGCACTGCCAACCTTTGGCCATCCTACGCCTCCAGCGGGGTTCTTTGCAAAGTTCGCCCATGTTTTTTGCATGAAAGCACTGAGTTGAATCTGCTGTTGCGTTGCAGTGCCAAACTGGTTCGAAAGTGGATACGTGCCAAAGACCTCCGGAATCTCGCTTGTGTGGTATGCACCTGGATTGGGGAAGATACCAATAGAAGGGAAAACAGGGGTGAATAGATACCGGTAAGTTGTGCGTCCGGATATGGCGAGGTAATTTGCCAGCCTACCAGTCGTGCATGTGAAGACTAGATCTGTCCCAAGCCTGTCGGCTACTTCGTACAGATCGGTGATACCTTGTGCGGCATATGCGGCGATGATGGAGTCGCGAACAGCTTTTGACGTGATGTTATATTGATCAAAGAAGCTGTCTACAGCGGCGGTACCGTCGGTCAAGCCGGCCACGGCTAGGAAGACACGCGCTTCGTTGAGGTTAGATCCTAGCATCGTCGGCACATTGGCGAACTTCCCAGTGGATATGCTAAGTCTGACATCAGGTGTTGAGGTGCCATCGTTATTGACTGGTGGAAAAGAAAGCGATTGCGACTCAATATACGCTTTGATATCCACTGCAGGTACCTTGCGAAGACAATCGATGTTTGCGCAGCCGAAGTTTAGCAATACCTGCTTATAGTTTACCAGGCCGTTTCCAGGGAGTACCGCATTCTGAGACTCAAGTATGGCCGACGAGAAAGGTAGTGGGTTCGGTGGGTTGGCTAGCAATTGCTTAACTGATTCGCCGCCTGCGGATTCGCCGAAAATCATCACACGATTTGGATCACCTCCAAACTGAGCAATATTTTCTTGTACCCATTGCAACGCGAACCTCTGGTCCAAGAAACCAGCGTTTTGAAATCCAAACGGCACTTCGGGTGAGTTGGAGAAACCGAAGACTGAGATTGAGCGTGTTAGCCACTGATCATCGGAACGTAAGAGGACAAAAAGACCTACTATTCGTGCGGTAGTTGATAGTGACTACAACAACGTCTTCATTGATCGCGAGAGAGCTTCCATCATAGTATGCTAGTCCGCCAGTACCAAAAGCGAGGTTGCCCTGCACTGATCAGTATCGTTGCAGAAAATAGAGGAAAGGACAACGCTTACCCCGAAAAGCCAAAACATCACTGCCTTTTTGCTGGAAGCCGTAACTCCTGGAGGCGTATATACATTGAGGTATAAGCAGTCCTCGCTCTCCTCAGGTGGTGGATAGGTGGGGTTGTTGAAGTACTCCATAGTTCTGGCACGAATTTCGCCAGTACCTGAGAACTGCTGAATGCATGCTGGCTTGATATTTTGGGCTTGCAGAGGAGTAGACCATGGTGTTGCTGCTTCTGGCGGAGAGAATCGTACTGGAGGCGACTTCGCGAAAGGTACCCCCAGATAGGCGTTGGCTGAGGCTGTCAACGATGGCTGGTTTGCAGGCTTGGTAGTAGTTCCTATGACAACGCCTGAGGCCAGAGTGACTGTCGGTTCATTGTCGACGGGTGCTGAGACGACAGTGGTAATCAACGAGCATAGTAGAAGCGCCTTTCCTAATAATGAAGGGACGTGCAAAGCCATATTGCAGATGACAGAAGGCTGATAGTCAACCTCGAAAGAATTGTAAGAGGTATAAATCTGCTTGATTACTCGACTTCATGATGTGTTACGTCTTATACTGCAATGTGACAACCCACTAAAGGAATTGGAATAAGGTACTAAGCTAAGAGCTCTTTTCGATAGTGTATCTTGCATCGGTGTTTGAATGCGGATCATCATGGGTTATCGTTTAGCCTCGTTAGAGTTGCCTGACTGCAAAAGCAAGATCCAAATTCCTGGAAAGGAGCGCCATCCGCGACTCGAATGAGAAAGGAAGCGAGGGCAGGGAGTTTGCTAATGGTCCTTTGTGTGGCTCTTCCGGACAGTGTCACTCGTCTGTGATGGATGTCCGAAGTTAGAGCGGCTTGGGATCGACGGATGGCGTAAATAGACGCGAGAGTCAGCCTCCTTTTTGACAGACTGAGTCGGTCTACAAAGATAGTCTTTCGGCCTGTCCCTCATGCGAATCAGCTACCAATCAGCTTGCAGACGCTGCCTCGGTACTGCGCAAGCACTCCGCTCGACGCAGATCATCCGTTCATTAGGCCAATCATCGCGTCCGGGTGCCTCGGCAACTTTCAAGGGCCTTTTTCCTAGGCAATACCGCGATACGATGTACGCGATCGTTGCTCGGAAGAGCCCGCAAATGCCAAACGGACTGAACGGCTTCTCCGCATTTTGTCCACTGAACTACAATTTTCGTAGTCGTAGCATTGGCCTACGAGGCATCATGCTGAATACAGGAGCCGAGGCTTATCATCCAAGCTTGCCTAGGTAGCACCCACGATCAGGTGCCTTCGCTGTCGGTGCCGTGGTGTTTCTCGAATTCTCATGTCGCTGTTTTGGGATCTTTACAAGCGCACGTAACAGACATTATCTAGAAGGAGGGTTGCAGTATCTTGAAGTGTACTAGAGTTGTTCTAGTCATAATGCAACAGGGCAGATCTCTTGTCGTCTCGCAGGAGAAATCACGGATCGACGCGAAGCGCCAATTACGTCAGCTGCATCCTTCTTCCATGATCTATTAATTATCACCCCTCATCGGTGTAATCTAACTTATTCGTTCTGCTTCAGTTCTTATCACAGGCTATGAGAATATTGTTTTGGTCGCCCAGAAACTATTCACATTGAAAGTGTTCAATCATTTTCTTTTTATGCATCATTCCTGGCGATCTTGAAACGAGCTCTGGCGAACCTAGAGTGTTCAGACCGCAGGCTGCATGTACCTGAGAGCTTCGCGTCGATAGCGATGACGGCCCAAGACCTCTAAATCTCAGTTTAACCCTAGGCTCTTCTAGTATCGCATCTGTCACGGTTCGTGGCACTGGTGCCGTCGTTGCAAACATCGAACCACCCCAGATCTCAATCATGCGCTGGAACAACGCACAGGAGGAGAGTATATCGTTTATTACTAGAACGAGGTAAGAAGTAATAGTCGATGCACTATTATGACGAAACTATGTAAGACACGATTGTGTTAAAAACTCATTTGCAAAATCTCCAACCAGGTGTCAATTAGACATTGGGCGTAAGACGAGATATGTCAATCCCGAGGGCCTGGAAATTGATGAAACCTATGTTATGGTCGGTATCTTCCCAACAACACCTCGGTCAGTTTGGGGCGATAGAGCAGCCTTTGCTACTGGGATATAGACTCCATATGCTGACATACCAATCTATTGTCATCAATTGTATTACAAACAGGTCACCCCTCCATCTTTCACCGATGAATGTCTCATGAGGATGTTGTGCACGTCCATAGCTACGGCAAGTCGTGCTTATCAACACTCAAGAACTGCTCATCGTCCGCTATCTGAATAGCTGTTATCTCATCAACTCGTACTCCGCCTTTCACGCGATGCTACTTCCGGACAACATCGCTGCAGTACTCGGAGGTGCGTGGCAATTTCTCAACCAGACATCGTAACATTCCGCTCCCCTAAGCCTGCATAGCGTGCTTTTCTAACAGCGCACCAGGAAATATCTAAATGGTACTGATCGTGTCACGGGCGGTCTCGGAAACCATCCTGTGGGGATTCTCATCTATCACCCTCTTGGCTATGTCTCCGTAAATCTGTGGTCCACTGATCCCGGCGCCATCCCCGCTCCCGCCGATGAATACAATGACGCCGAGTGGGCACTTATTGGACATCATACGCTATCTTATGCAGGGCCTCTGCAGGTATGGGAGGGAAGCAATGAGACAAGAGGGACACTCACCCATGGGCCTTTGGTGATGTCATCATATCCGAAGTGGGTAGTGACAGATCAGACCAGAAATTATACTGTATCGGCAAAGGCGTATGAAGGAAGGGATGTGTTGTTGTTATGGGCGCAGAACATCGAAAAGGATTCGTTGTCGAGGTTGCATTGGGCAAGAGCTGCAGAAAATGGATCAAGCTGGGCGACATGAGTCTTGGTTGTAGGAATACGTTCGAAGAAAGAAGTTTAGAGAAATAGGTGACGAGGGTATTGAAGACGATTTTTAAATTGGATGCCGCGGATGTGGTCATGCGCGTCTACTCGTCTTCTTCGGCGATAAAAGGAATGAGGCAAACCAGTCCACCATCATTGATCGAGCCCCCTCATCGCCGTTCATTGATCTTATCTCTTTACGACTTCGATCCTCTCCACACCAACATTTTTCTCGTGTCCCGACTCTAAACCCTTGTTTCTCGCGATGACCTCCTCTTCGGTCAAGATCGGCTTGCCGCGGAGCTGCGCCCACACAGCCTGGTGCATAGGCCTCAGGAACAGGGCGTCCATCTCCTCAAGACTGATACCTTTCGTCTCAGGTACAAAGAAGAAACTCCAAACACCCATCATTAGGAGGATAGTAGCAAAGAAGAAGTACGCGCCATAACCAAGATCCGAGATCATGTATGGCGTGCTGCGTGCGATGATGAACGAACCAAGCCAGGTGTCGGCGGTTGTTAGCGATACGCACAGCATGCGGATGTCGAGAGGGAAGATTTCCGATGCGTAGGTCCAGGTGATACCTTGCCATGTTGCGCAGATGATGAAGGCGTTGACGTAAACGCAGACCATTGCCAGGTAACCCCAACCATCGCGTGAAATATCGCCTCTCAAAGCAGCTCCAGCCGGATCGGCTTTCATGACATAGCCACCGATATACCACATAGGAATGCAACCGAGCGCTGCCCCCCAAATAAGCCCCTTGCGACGCCCAACCTTTTCCACAACGACGAAGGTAAAGGTGAACATGCCGAGTGTCTTCGCGATACCGTAGAAGCCAGTGGAGAATAGCTTGGTCGAAGTGCCGGAAATACCAAGTGTTTCGAATATGCGAGGTGCATAGTAGGTAATAATGTTGACCTGGACAGTTTAGCATCTATTCCGGTATATGTATTGCGTATACTTACACCTGTGAATGACTGTAAGAACATGAGTGCAAGACCAATGGCCATTCGGTTTCGCACACCCTTCTGGAACAGCTTCATAAACTGTGCCTTCTTGCTCTGACGGTTAGCGCTACGCTCTTCGACCTGCGCCCGAATCTCGCTCATCTCGTGCTGAATATACGCATGAGATCCGTCCAGGCAGCGAATCTTACACAAGATACGTTCTGCTCCTTCGAAGTTATCCTTCTTTGCGAGGTATCGCGGTGATTCTGGACACCATGCGACACCGAGAAGCAATAGTAGACCAGGAATGAGCTGGATCGCGAGAGGTACTACCCACTGCGTCTTGCCTTCGACACTGATGGTTCTATCACAAGCATAGTTGATCCAGAAGCCCAACATACCTCCACCTTGGGAAGCAATCTCGAAGATACCGACCAGTCTACCACGAATAGAAGGTGGCGCAGTTTCAGAAATGTAGACAGGTACGACCATACTCGATGCGCCAATGCCTAGACCTGCTACAGCTCGTCCACCATAGATCATATTGAGACTGCCTTGAGAAGCAGTCATGAGTGTGCCACCGAGTAGAAACACTGTGGAAGCTATTATCATTGTCTTTTTTCGCCCAATGCGTTCGGCGAAAGGGAAAGCGAGAAGCGCCCCGAAAAAACATCCCGCCTGCCTATTGTCAGTTTGTGATGACAGGGGGCTAGCGGTACCAAGACTGACCTGGAATGTGGAGACGATATTGCCCTGAATTGTGTCGCGGTTGCTCTTTGCGATGTCATTCATGCCGAAGTCACGAATGAAGGAGGTGAGAGCCATAGTCCCACCGATGACGGCTGTGTCATATCCCACTACTCATGTGTTAGATTTCCACACCCAAATCACTTCACCGAGACCTACTAGCTAGTGCAGACATCGAAGCGATGAGTGCAATGAGGTGGATCCGCCAATTGCGGACCTCTGGCGGGTCCAGAGTACCCGATGCATGAGTGTTGAAGCAGCCCATTCGTTTGTGATAATTGGTATGGGTCGTGAAACGGTCAAGTAAAATTCAGAATTCAGGGTTCAAAAGTTCAGCCGGGTGATGATTCTCTCGAGCGAAGGGTGAGTTGCCTCTTATCCTCGATGCCTCGTCTCGAAGGCATCATTGCCGAGCCATACTTCTGATGCTACCTCACCATCATTACAGTCATACCCCGCGGGGAAATGCACGAGGACTACCATCGTCCCATGTTTACCGCAACACTTGCTGTTCCGAGCTATTTCTCGGATTATCGCAGCGAATCCGGGGAAGGGTCCACTTGGCGTTGGACAAGGTCAAGCCTTACCCCGTAGTTGGCACCCGGGGTCGTGATTCTTTATAGGCAGAAAACGCATGAAGGATGCATGTAAGGAACTTGGCAGTACGACCGTTATCGACGGTGTGGTGGTGAAGCTTGACAGATCAGCGGTTGCTAGTAGCGTGTGCGGGGTAAAGCGGGTCGGTGGAATATCTGTGCCCGTAGCGGAATGCCTTTTTAGACCACACACTTAGTCACCCCAAGCTCTTAATCCTTACCTGTCCGTCATCTAGAGACGTGAGTATACACAACGCACATGTTACGATTCAATAATAGCATGCAGAATACCGTTATAATCATGTATAGTGGTCTGCTGAGCAGCTACAAAGGCATTTATAGCGTAGGCCGAATAGCCCTGGAACCGAGTGTCTAGATTCAGGGTATCAGGCGAAACAACCAAGCTTTGCAGGATGAGCATTTCCGCCCCAAGATACCAAGTACCGACTCAGCCTCCGCCCACATGCAGACAAGGCGAAGGAGCCGCTAAAGAACGATAATATTACGGGATGGACCGTCGAACATGGTGCAACAGGGCGTGGCGACAAGTCGCTTAATCCGCTACCGGCGGCTGTAACAGCATCTCTAGCTAGTCTTATAGTCTTGTATGCCCACAAGAGTATTGGCAGATACATTTAGGCTATCTTGGAAGAAGACCGCGGCCGGTAACGCTTCTTACCTTTCACACGCGCGCCATATATCATTACGATGGAAAGTACCTGGGTGCCGCAGTGCGGAAGAAGATGCAACGCCGCTATGCGGCAGTGACGTCGCGTTTGTCGCTCTAGAGCAACTCCGGATTCTTTGACTGAGTTCAGTTCACGATGAAAGCGTGGAGCATATATCTTTGCGCTGTGCTAAGAGGAATCCGATCACTGGCGCATAATGCGATCATGTAAAAGCCGAGCCATGATGTGGTTCTACCTGACCATCAAGATATCTCTCAGAAGGTCGTCATCGATGAAACATACATCGGTCAACATGTTTTCTGGAATGCAGCCATACGAGAGACATTGTCTCAGCAATCATTTACGCAAGTGCTTGATATAATCATTATGGTCAGAAGATGTCTTCGTCATCTAAGTTATATGCAAGGCGCGAGAAGATCGCCCATGCTATGAGAATAAAGCTGTCGAGAAGAAGCAGAGGCCATGGAAGCTCTTTACGGCTCAGTCCGATACACAAGGGTATTCCCGTACTGATAAAAAGCATTGAAAACAGTACATGATATCTTGCAGGACTCAGCGTAAGCTGTGCTGGTAATCGGATCCATGCATTGTCGTGCTGCCAAAGGGGCGTCCAACTGTCTAGGTTTCCGCCTAAGAGCGATGTCTGCTCGTTATTTTCGACATTCTCGACGCGACTAGGCCGACCCTCTGTGGACATAACTCTGAGGCTAGTCAGCTTGAGGCAACAGGGATCGTTCGACAGAGGCTGTACTCTTGTGAACCGGCCTCCTTCACCTACAAAAGACTCATCTTCTTGTTCTCAACTTGGTTATGAACGACGTCGCGAAGCCCATCAAATCCGTGGCTGTCAGTTCAAATGATGTTTGCAGCTTCAGGTTCTCAGCCTTCTTAAGCGCTTACCCCACCATCAACAAAGCTATACCCTTTTGAGCGATGATCAGGCCAGCAACACCATCGAAGGCTGCCATCTCAGCTATTGCAGGCTGAGCTTGCGATGCCTACCTGAAGCTTCCTTTGCCTTCTCGCATCCACTCTCCTTTCATAATGGCGGAGGCACTAGCCATTGTAGGCCTCGCGTCTAACATCATCTCGTTTGTTGATTTCGGCTTCAAGGTCGCTTCCGAAGCGCGTAATGTGCGCGATTCGCTACACGGAACTACGGCTGAAGTTCGTGAGCTCGAATTGATCGTAGATGAAGTTAGTCGTTACAACAAACTCATCACACAGCAGAAGGATGGTGGCCGACGGCTAACAAACGATGAGGAACGGATATTGGAGATGGCCGGACAGTGCGAAAGGGTAGCGAATGATCTACGCAAGGCTATCAAAAAACTACATATGCGTAAAGGACGCTCGAAAACATTGGAAAGCAGTCGTGTTGTTTTCCAGGGATGGTGGAAACAAAAGGATCACATTGCGGTCCTGCTGAGAAGGCTGGACAGCCTGGATCAGAGGCTGCGAAGGCATATAGAAAACGTCATTCGAAGGTAAGCAAACCGAGAAATCTCCCGACGCTGATGTGAGGTGTCGCGCCTTTGCTTGAACTATACTGACGGACCGCATAAGTGAGCACCACTCGGCCATATCCGCCGAGCTGGATAGTATCAAGAGGGCGCAGCAAAGTCTTAACATCAATTACGATGCGAAGATGGATCTCCTGCGGGATGAGATACTTGACATTGTACATCAAACAGGAGCCCAACAAGCAGATACTTACCAGATCGATCCTCGTGAGATAGATGCTCAAGAGATCACCTTGCGAATTGCACAGCTTTCCAGCCTCAAGACCAAATTCGAAGTACTTCCCAAGGAACACCAGGCATGCATTCAGCAGAACAAAGTGATTAGGAGTTTATACTTCCCAGTCATTCGCAGACGGTGGAGCCAGATACCACACGCGGACGAGGCCTCGAATGCCTGGGTGTTTGATGATACACTCACGCCATTCAATGACTGGCTAGGTAGCAAGAAGGATTCTGATGGTTTATTTTGTATTACTGGTCGGGTAGGTTTAATTAAATTGCCGCGTACGATGATGAATATATGTTGATAATCGAATCTTACAGGCAGGAAGTGGAAAGTCCACGTTACAAAAGTTCATCGCTGAGGATCGACGCACGACGGAAACTCTAGAAGAGTGGGCTAGACCAGCCCAACTTTGCACCGCCAGCTATTATTTCTGGAACCAAGGCTACGAAATGCAGAAGAGTCAGGTTGGAATCTTCCAATCGCTGCTCTACCAGATACTCAAGGCAATACCCAGGTTAATACCAATTGTGTGCCAAGAAAGGCCAGAGCACGAGATCTGGGAAACTGATGAACTTAAAGCGGTCTTCGAACGTATCGCTGCACAAACCGACCTTGAAGTCAGATTCTGCTTCTTTGTGGATGGCTTGGACGAGTATAATGGAGCGGAGGAGGATATTGTCGAAGTTCTGAAATTCCTCTCTGCCTCGAAAGCCATCAAAATATGTGCTTCTACGCGTCCTCGGTCAGTGTTCGAGAAGTTCTTCAGTGACACTTCTCGTACATTTGATATCGCGAACTTTACGAAGATGGACATGGGAAGACATGTTCGGCTTCGACTTTATGAGAATGCGAATTTTCGGCGACTGGAGACAACAGAGTTCGCATGCGAAGATTTAATGAAGCGTGTTGCGGAGCTCGCACAGGGCGTCTGGTTATGGGTTTTTCTGATCACCCGTGACCTCGAACACGCCATTAATCGAGATGAGGGAGTCACGACATTGTGGAAGATTGTCAATCAATTCCCGTCCGACCTGGAAGCGTATTTTGAACGCATTATCCAATCGGTCCGGCCTCAATATCTGGAGGAGATGTCACAAATCTTCCTGATTACGGTGGATGAGCTACAACCTCTCCCGCTTTACGCCTTCTCCTTACTTGAGAAACAGCGCCTGGACGATAGCTTCGCGGTGAAAGCACCAATACAGCCTATATTTGAAGAGAACCTACTAGGCCAATATCCGCGATGGAAGTCGCTTATCCAGAACAGATGCAGCGACCTCCTTGTAGTCAACGACGAACTGTACGTAAATGTTATTTCCAATTACACTCGAGCAGCAGTGACAAGACCCCCCATTTATGTCATGTATAGAGGAGTCGTTGACTGACCACAAAATCGGCACTAGACACCCCTTGTTCCTTAGTCACCCAGTCGACTTCCTCCATCGAACGGTCCGTGACTTCTTGCAGGACAACTATCACCAACAGTTGAGAGATAATCTCAAGAATGAGTTCAGCGCTACAGCTACGTTGTGCAAGATCTGTCTTGTCTTGCTTAAATCATTACCGATCATGGACTTCAAGAGCCCTAAATCGATAAATCAAGTCATCGGTCTGACGGACGAGTTATTGTACTACGCTTACGAGACTGAACGCTTGGATCAGTCGTCAGATGTGCCTCTTGTGGATGTGCTCGATGAGGTAGACCGCACTAATTCTCACCACGCAAGTGGAATCAGAAATCACTGGACGCATGCCCGTGACTCAGTACCTGCGCGGGGTCTGGACGTATATCGAGAGGGTGATAGCTGTAATTTCCTGGCTTTGGCAGTACAATCGCGTCTCGTCAAGTACGTCCGTGAGAAGTTGAGGGCCGAACCGAGCAAGATGCAAAAGCACGGACGGCCGCTACTCGATTATGCGCTTCGACCGCGCCGATCGACCCCAGTAAGCATGCCATATCACTCTAAACGGGAAGATCCTAGCGTCAACGTCGAGATGATAGAGTTGTTGCTAGAGAACGGTGCAGATCCGAACCAGGCCGTGCATCCGAATAACAGCAAAACCGTGTGGGCCCTATTCCTTCTATCAATGTACGAGTCTACAAATCGTGCGACGGGTACCACTAAAAGTTCAAATATCCCGCCGAGCTTGACAGAAGCATGGTATCAAGCTTGTGAACTGCTGATTCAACATGGTGCCCATAAGAACTGCGCGCTAGTGAGCAAAATTCCGAATCTGACAAGACAGGCTATTCTGGAGGGAGCTTTTGGAACCGCAAGAGCGGAGGCTTTGGAAGAGCTGTTAGACGAACACGCGAGAGATGTCAAAACGTCGACTGGGTCATGCGCCGTCATGTAGGCTTGTCTTCAATCTGAGCTGTGAAGCTTTTCACGCCTCTTTTCTTCTGCCACACGCTCATTACTAGCATCCATGCTTCGCTGTTTGGATAGCGCACGTGGCAAATTCGAAGCACAGCATTACGAATACAATCATAGTGGACATGAGTCTTCAGCAATGGCAACTCATATGTTCCCCGTACCCGACATCAGGATGTGTGATATCTTAATGGATTTCGCATTCGAGGGCTTCGCATTATTATGTTTTGTTCAGGTGGGTTGCCGACCATAACATGTCCGAGCTCATACACATCAAATTCACACACAGGCAAAGCAGGAACATTTTCTTCTTCATGAGACACCGGAATGTTCCTATCGAAACCATCGCGAATGCAGAGATTACCACTATGCGAACGAAAGATTGCAGGTCATCAGTCTTTCAAACGAGTGAATCTGATAAGGGCAAATGCTGAAAGCTGGCAATCTCTCTAGGACCATCTCTCGCTTTTCAAGATGCTTAAGTCAATCCATGAATCCCCATGAATACAGTAGATGTTTCAGTCTTGACATCATGCTGGTCGAGCGCTTAGTAGATACTGCCCTGCTTGGTAACGATAGGATACACATAGCTTCCGTTCGAAAGCGCCGGAGTTACTCCATACCATCTCACTAAATTTGTTCGTTAGTATATCTCTCTTCATCGTCAAAACACCATAGCAACCTACAATTCACAGTAAATTCTCCACCGCCAACGGGAGCAGGCAGCCAGTTGTTAGTCCAGTTCGAGCTCGGTGCCACATCCGCCGGCTGGATCAAGATCGAGAACGCTCCGTCGCTGTCCAAATCCGCGTAGATTAGCGTACCGTCTGGATAGGTCAAGTTGCTACGATCGCCCAATGCGTATCGGTTCAGATCGTTCGGTACTAAGTAATTCGTGCTATCGTATGCCGTCAGGCTCCAGAAACCGGTAACGGGCGGCCTCCCAGAGAAGGTCATGATGTATGATTCATTCGCTGTTAGCTGCATCGTAACCTGCGCAGTAACGGGAAGCGCTGGATCGTTGTAGGTAGGATATGCTGCTACGTAGTCGGCGAGCTGCAGGTAGCCAAACCATGCGATGTATGCGCGAGCGGTGTACTCTATCCCGAAGTTACCGCTCATGCTGGGAAGGAGGGTGAACCAGCCGTTTTGGTTGAATGCATGGCTTGAGGGGTCCAGGAGAGACATGAACTCTTTGCCCATGATTTCGTAGACTTGGGCATAGTTGAGGCCAGCTGGAGCAGTGTAGTTTCCATTGTTGATGCCAGCGGCGGCAAGCATAGAGTTGACACGATCCAGGTCTGATCTTTCCACGGGTGGATTCGCTTCATTCAGCTGCGCTAAGAGCTGGAGAGTCTGGGTCGTCTGAGCGACGCTGAAGTTGAACGGAAGGAGGAAAGCAGCAGGTGAAATTTGGCCATTACCCAGAAGACTAAGAGTTAGAGCTGAGGCTATCGGCTCTCCCACACGCTCAACTGTCGTCATCTTGATTTGAGATTGAATGGCTTTGACTTCATCGACGTCGGTTGTGTTATTTTTGAGCACGATACGAAGCATGATCCCTCCGTACGCAGTGGGCGATTTGATGATTCCCTTGTACTTGGAGCCTCCATAGTTGTCTTTATCGAGCATTAGAAGGCCTGGCTCGTCGTCTCCCGCGACCGTGATAAGATAGTCTCCCGGGGGACTGTTGATTACAGTCCCGAGGTCGGCAAAGTTGTTCCCATACCTAAAGGTTCGAACAAAAGTCAGCTGAGGGCTCTATGATTGAAGCCAGTTGAGTGGGAGTGACTCACAAGTCATAGAAGGGAACGACGTAATATCTGTTCGCGGGAACATCAGGGAGAGACAGTACTACATCCGCATGCGAAAGATCAACTGCAGCTTTAGAGTACAATGTGTCGACGTTCGGTCGGACCAGGACCTCGAGATCTTGGGTGGATAGGCTTTCTTCGTGTTGGATAGCGTTGACGCCAACTGCCTGGAGGGTCGGCTCGAAAGTTTGGGCGTACAAGGTAAGAGGATATCCGTACTGTAACAATTAGCTACCTTGGTCGTCGTGTAGTGTGTCTGTTTACTTACCATCAACGCAAAAGCAGTAGCGTTGATACTGTCAATGGACATGTTATTTGGGGGCATAGCTGGTGAACAGGACATGGCTGGATCGCAAGGTATAGACGCAGCCGTTGCGCCTACAATAAAGGTGAGAGCCATGTACATGGAAGGTGATCTGAGATGCATCTTCGGGAAGACAAAATGATGGATCAATGAAGAGGGGGCTGTGGCGATAGTGAGGATTTGTTTGATGCTCCATCTATACTTTGAGGTTTCATTGTTACTTATATATCTCAGAACTCTCGTTGTCCGCAGCCATAGTATGGCACGTCGACGCTCGGAAAAGATATCCAGGCTGCCAAGTGTACACTGAGTCTTGTCTCTCGAGGCTGACTGCTTTCCAGTATGGTAGTGCCTGTAAGCTCAGAGTAGCAGCCACGCTCGGCCAGCTACTGCTCGGCCGAGGGTACGGTTCGGCCCGAAAGTGCCTCTCAGCCTCCCGAATAACACGATTGTACTGTTTGGAAAGCTGTATACTGTCAGCACTACGTGGTTTGCATGAAACCTTACAGGTAGAAGAATGATGTATTTGCATGTGTCTCTGATATTTACCACCATACCTGCAACGCATCAACTCAACCTTCCCCGAGGTAACGGGCACGTCATCAACAACGCTCAGTTTAACCCAGACGACCCTTACCACCTCCGTATTTGCCCTCCGGTCCCTCGAGGTGCGCGTCCAAAACTGCTGATGTTCCACTGAGTACGCTCTTGATGGCTTCTGGAAGTAGTTTGCTAAGCTCGTCCGCAGTACTCGCATGCGCAGCCCAAATGTGCCCACCGCTTGCCGCCTTGGCGATGCCTGAGTAATCTGGAGTCGGCGCGAAACTGATATTGAGCTCTTCATTGCTGACCTTGGAGCCCTCTCCGTCGGGATGTACTAGTAGCATAGACCTTCGCGGTGCGTTCCAGCCCTTGTTGTTCAGTACGACAGTAAGGATGGGAATGTTGTAGCGTTGCGCAATCCAGTATACTGATCCAGGGACGGAGAAGAGGTATGTGCCGTCGCCAACAATCTGGCATACAAATTGCTTCTTGCCTTCTGTGTCGGTCGCGAGCTTGACACCAAGCGCGCCACCTCCAGACCAACCAAGACCTCCACCACCACAGTTTATCCATGAGCCTGGAAGTGTGGCTTGGATCTGATCCGCAACAAAGCCAGTCTGGGTAACGGCCTCGATGGCCCAGATGGTGTCATTCGGGCAGAGCTTCTTGAGTTGGGAACACAGGTATGGCGTGCTAAAATGGCCGTTCTCATCAACCTTGGCCTCACCAGCGATGCCTTCAAGTTTCTTCTTGTGCGACTCCTGCAGCGCTGACCACCGCTGGCTAAAGAGCTGGCTAGAAAGCTTTTCCTTGAGCTGCGACTCGAGGTATTCGTTCAGCTGGGTCAATGAGGTATACGAGTCAGCTCGGTAGCGTTGTATGGCGTTTAGGTAGAAGACGGGCATCTGCTGTTTCAGGGGATCAACATCGATATGAAGGATCTTGGCATTCTCTTTGGGGTGACATTGAGTGTTGATCCACGGCACGTCGCAATCAAGAACTAGAATGACATCGGCAGACTTGATGGCGGGGTCATTACCGTATCGTAGACCAAGCCAAGCTGGGTGGTTTGCCGGGAAACACATGTCACATCCGCCAGTGTCTAGCACGCGTATGCCTTTGACGTTGTCGGCCAACCGCACAAGCTCATGCACTGCATCGTGGTTTCGACCAGAGTACCCAGTGATGATGAGCGGCTCCTGAGCATTGACTAGGGCTTCAGCAATCGTCTTGACGCCCTTTGGAGGAAGAGCAGCCGGCTCGACGGGCTGCCAGTAGTCCATCTGCAGCTTGTAGGGTGTCAGATCCTCTTCCATGGGCTCACGGGCACCATAGAGATAGACAGGCCCCTTGGGATCGCTCATGGCAAAGGACAAGGCCCGATTGACCATCTGCTTGACGTTCTTGCCCGACTTGATCTCCCCAGTGTATCGGCAATACTGCGCCACGATCTGCTTCTGGTCCGGCACGTCTTGTATCCAGTGGATGTATTCGGTTCTGCTGCCGCGCATCTCGCCTTCGATGGTGAAAGGCGACAGGCCGGCGAATATAAGGACAGGTGCGCGACCGCATGAGGCATTGTGTACGGCGGCCCCGAGGCCTTGAGTCCCAACATCGACGTGTACGATGACGCATTGAGGTTTGCCCGTCAGTCTGGCATATCCGTCTGCCATGGAGAGGGCGACCATCTACACTCGCCAGTCAGTCTATGCGCTTAGCCAAATAAACATGGGGCACCTACCTCATTGGGACATGTGATGATCTTGGGGAACTGTCCTTTCTTCTCGTTCTGGCCCTTGACGATAGCCTCTATGATAGAGGGATGGTCCGACCCGAGGTTGACGAAGACATGGCTGACGCCGTACTCCCAGAGCGCCTCGAAGAAAGCGAAAGATGCTGTGTAGCTGCAGATAGTCAGTATGGAGTGAGCCTCTACATGCGTACACACGTTGTACTTACACCATGATGTTTGCAGGACCTATGTTGGCATGTGTTAGATGTCAGGCTCGAAGCTGCCTTCAGGGCACATGTGTGGACCAGTCCGATGACGGCGTGCGTCGGAGTATTGTATACCCCATGGCTGTTATCGTGGAATAGTGCACCGAATGGACAGCGGCCCCACTAGGACGCGGGGAAGTTGCTGTCACGGTTGGGGTTGACGGCATGCCAACTCGTTATCGGCAGTCTGAAGGGCGGTATCGGCTGTCCACGGCTCAATCGCGACGTCACATCATCTCCCTGGTGCAAGAAAATCAGCGAGAGATGCGCGTCGTGATACGTCTAGGCAGGTGCAGACGATGATGGAGCTTGCCAGGCCGCGCATTTTCGCGTTTGATTACGTCGCGGCTCCATTCCGCCCTGTGGGGAAGCCAATCGATGGTCCAAACACCATCATCGTTTCTTCACTTCACTCGGCAGCCACATTGAACAACTTCGGTCATCGTGTCAACAGCAAACTTTGCAGGCGCTCAAGATGGCTTTCACCTCAGAGTCACGACTCCGGCACCGTCGCTGCAGGAGGGCGGCACTACGAGACATCAGTATGAAACGCGTTTCACACCGTGCTTCTGTATAGATAGTCTCGGGTACGCCGTCATCATATCCGAGTTGTCATCTGCTGCTCACGTCCTAGCCCTTCTCATCATGCTTTCCCATGTCATCTACGTTCTTCTGTCTGTTTCTCCGTCAATTCTTGCATATCCAACAAAATGCCCCTCCGATTCCGCAAGGCACGTCCAGCATCCCATTTGCCTCGGGCCGCCGCAAATCTATGTTATCGAAGCCAGTGAGGGAAAAGGTCTGGGAGCTTTCGCTACTCATGATATGGAGATTGGCGATATCGTCATGCGCGAGACACCCGTTCTCAAGATCCGCTTACCAAAGCTAGCCAAAGGAAGCCCATATCCCATGGCTGCAGTGGCGAAGCTACTTCATGAGCAATTTGACACACTTCCACTCGTGGCAAAAGAGGAGATTCTCTCGTTGACACACGAATCCAACACTGTGGACCAGAAGAGCACGGATTCTCTAGGTACCATCTTTCGCAACAATGCTTATAATACCGGGAATCAAGTCGGCCTGTTCCCAAAGATCGCTCGCATCAACCACTCGTGCCGACCAAATACGAGCTACTACTGGAGCGAAAGGCTGAACAAGCGCATCGTGTACGCGACACGCAAGATAAAAGCAGGGGAAGAGTTTTTTGTGTCTTACATCTCCCTACTGCTCAGCCAGGAAGACCGCCAAAGGCAGCTTGATCGGTTTGGATTCAAGTGCCATTGCGAAGCATGCGCACAGGAGCGTGCCGCTCAACAAGCCAGCGACAATCGCCGAGTCACGATCAAGAACGCATTCACAAAGTTCGAGCCTCAACTCGTTCTCGCGGCTCCGCAATCCAAGGCTGGGAAACGCCAGGCGCGAAAAGATGCTGCAGTGAGCGTGCAGCTCGCCCAACTCGTACAAGACGAGGGCCTTGCCGATTACTACGCCAAAGCCTACAGGATCGCAGCCATAAGCCACGCCAGAGCGGAAGATTGGGCGACGGCAGCCAAGTGGGCAAACAGAGGGTACGAGATACGCTACATGGAGGACCCAGAATCGTCGAGCACATTGGAGCTGCACCACCTCACCAGCACTTTCATATCAAACTGGGAAGCAGAGTTGCGGAGTGGAGCCTCGACATGAAATATTGCAAGCGACTTCCATGCTCGGTTCGCATTGCCCTGCATATCATGCAGAGGATTGGCCGTTCCAAGCCTGCGGTTCGCACCTGCGGCCCTGTTCACCCGGTCGCCCGCTTATTAGCCTAATGCATCACCACGCCTCTACATCGTCGACTTTCAAGAAACGTATCTTTACCTGACGATTACAACAACTACTCGAATCAATAAGGGAAACATGAGTCTGTCGCAGATTACACCAACAATGTCTACGCAGAGGCTGATCGACCGTGATGAGCGCACTCGCCAGAAACCCATGCGCGTCCTAGTCCTGGGCATGTGTCGCACGGGGACAACATCGATCGCCATCGCGCTCCGCAAACTAGGATATACTTCACATCAGATGCGCGACGTTCTTGCCAAACCATCCGAACTTGCACTATGGGAAGAAGCCGTCAACGTCACTCTGTTACCAGCTCAAGACCGGCCTGCAAACCAACAGAAGATGGAACCCTACGGCAAAGAAGAGTTTGACAAACTTCTAGCCAACTACGACGCTGTTATGGACCTACCTGGCTGTGTATTTGCGTCGCAATTGGTAGAAGCCTATCCGGACGCTAAAGTCATCTTGACAAAGAGGAAGTACGAAGACTGGGAACAGAGCATGCAAGAGAGCATATGGTGTCTTGATACGTGGCGACTCTTCACAATTTGTCGACAACTCAACCTCACACAGCTGGCTCCACTGATGCGACTCGTACACTCGGTGTTTCAAGCGCACAGTAATAACAACTACGGTGGTCCTGCGGCGAAAGCAGCTTTTGACAAGCATTACGATACTGTTCGATCACTGGTACCCAAAGACCGCTTGCTGGAGCTTGACACCGATGAGGATTTGAGTTGGGAGCCCCTTTGCGATTTCTTAGGCAAAGAAGTACTGAAAGAAAGCTTCCCAAGAGCGAGCGAAGAGAAGGCTATGCGCAAGGGCCTCGAGAATGCGTGGTGGGGTATGGTGCTGTACTTCGTTTCAATGGTTCTGTTCCCCGGTGGTGTGATATTTGGCTCATATCTGCTATATACACATGCAGATGATTTGAGGGCATATCGAGATGGGTGGTTGATGGTAGCAAAGAAGTACATGGACACAGGGGAATTGTGAGATAGTGTGTAAGGGCTATATTGTGCTTGGAAATGTAATGTCAATCTCAACGCTTACTTCGTATCGAGAGTTCTTGCCGTCTCAGCCGTGGTCATGTCATATATCTATTTGTCTATAGTCATCCCGGAACCCCATCAATCATGCACGCGTTACATGCCACAGAACACTTAGGCCTTCCATCTCAGCAGAGTGAAGGAGTGTTTGCCAAACTTGAATTTGCCTTGTCCATCCCAGCTACTCTCCTTGATACCAACATTTTGCACACCTTCGGTGTTGACCACGTCAACGTTGTCACCAGTGACAGTGTGCACTTCGACCTTGTCGGCCTTCAGGCCAGGGATGTCAACCTCAAAGTCCAGCTTCTCGTTGACATTGGTAACAGCAAGGTTGATGAAACCATCGTCGCTGAGCGTGGCGCTGCAATCCAGGTAGGGCGTCTCGATGGTGTTGCGGATCCAGCTGGGGTTCGTGCGGCCGGTGTATTCTGAGGCACGAACATTGAGCGCAATGGTATGGCCGCGCATGTACTTTGAGAAGAGGAGCAACGGCCACCAAGAAGTCTGCTTGACAAGACCGTCCTTGGTTGTCATCAATGGAGAGATGACATTAACACTTTGTGCAACGGTTGCCATTCCCATATCCTTTGCTTGGCGGATGAAACCGTTGAGGAAGTTGGCCACGGCGAGAGCATCGGAAAGTGTATACTTCTCTTCAGCACCAAGCTCACCAGGGGCGCGGACGGGATCCCAGACGTTCCACTCGTCAAAGCAGATAGTTTGTCTGGGTACTGTCTCCGGAACCTTGTTCTCGATACGCGCAAGGTCAATCAAGCTTGCTGTCATTTGTACTGCCCGTTCAGCCGCACGAGGCGCTGTCGCATTGGGCAGATGCTCTTTGTCGGCAGTGTAGATATGGATGGAGTGCATGTCGATCAGCGACTTGGTGGTATCGCCACTGAGACCGTGGACATCCCATTTGACGCACTGGTTGAGGACATAGTAGTCCCAAGAAGAGTATCCGGTTTCACCACAAAGAATAGTGGTGATGGAAGGGTCGAGTAGCTTGAGAGCTTTGGCCCACTGGTACGCCTTTTTGGCGTAGTCTTCTTTGGTCATCTGCTCGACTTGCCACGGGCCCCAGCATTCGTTACCGAGAGCCCAGTACTTGACCTATGTGGCTGTCAGTATGGCTGTAGAACATGAGTTTAGGACGTATGATGTCGATGAACGTACGTTGTAAGGCTTCTCGCGGCCATTTTTCCGACGAAGGTTGGCATAGTATGTGTCGCGATCCGAGTTACAGTACTCGAGCCATCCAAGTGCTATATCCAGTCAGATTGTACACGACTAGATCGAATGCGCTGCGCATACCTTCGTCCAAGGTGCCGGTTCCAAAGTTAAGGCAAAGGTAAGGTTCTGTGCCGACTTCCTCACACCACTGCATAAACTCATCTGTGCCGAATGTGTTGGGCTCGATGCCAATCCATGCAAGCTCAGGCCTAGACTCGTAATTAGCTTTTCGTGTTCAACATGTTGAAGGAACGATGGCTCGATTCGATATCACATGAACAAGCATCTGACGCCAACGCAACAAGCAATAGATGCACTCCAGACCGAGGCTGCATGCTGTAAGGCAGGTGTGCAGACCAGAGCACGCCACGCACTAGCAAATCCGCGTAGAAATCTTACCTCTTTGGCCTATTCTCCTTGGGTCCAACACCGTCAAGCCAATGGTAAGTGGCCACAAAATTGCCGCCTGGATACCGTACTACTGGCACATTGAGTTCCTTAAAGGCTTCAATGACGTCTTTGCGGAAGCCTCGCTCATCTGACAAGGAATTGCCGGGGTCATATATGCCGCCGTAGATGCAGCGGCCCATGTGCCTGGTGCGTGGTTGGTTAGCCGAGAAAAAGCATGCACACACAACGCCATCCGAAGGGCGTCTATCCTGAACTTACTCGGTAAATCCTCCATAGATGTTGTCGTTGATCTTAGCAATCTTGTGGGAAGGATGAATAGTGATGGAGGGCGTTTCGCTCTCCTCAATCTTGGTAAAGGTTGCCATGGTGTTGATGAGAGGGGACGACTATGTTTGTGAAATGGTTTTGTCTGGATTATCAGAAGAGGATTCCAAACTCAAGATCAAATGTCACGATGGTAGTGGCATGACCTTCTCGACGTCGTTGAAGGCTCCATGGCGTTCCTGCAACATTCCGGCTCGGCACCGGTGCCAGCACCAAACTGGCTGATGCATCCGACGCTGACGCATTTTCCCATTCGTGGAATTTCAGCAGCGTACACTAACTCATCTCATTCCGGACGCACGCCACACTACTGTTGTTTGCAGTTAAACAACCGTGCCATGTCACGGTGAGCCAAGAAGCATTCCACCAGTCGAAAGGTAGCGCATCTCGCATATGCATGTCGACTATGCACGTGCTAACGTTATCGCGTTGGCGGTAAAGTGACAAGTCGGGCTACGATCAACCGAGCAAGTGCCGCTGCCTCGGTGTTGACGCCGATGGTTGGTGAAGCAAGGATGAAGAGGCGGGTTGCGGAGGTAATAGACGCGGAGGCGAGTCAGTGTCCCCGCTCTTTGCGGAGACCGTGGAGTATCCTCGTCTGATGCGTTCCCCAGACCGTGGTCAGCCATGCGACAGTGCAACAAGGGCAGGGCTATCCAGCCAGGCATGGAAAATTAGAGCATCAAGTATAAAGGTCCAGCATGCTGCTGATAGTGGGTCTCTTCACGCATCGCATCTCCCTCCCCACTGCAGCTGTCAACATCGCCTGCAGTCGCCATGGCGCTCCCTCCCAAAGTATACCAGTTCCTCGTGGGTCTGTTTGCATCCCTTGGTTCGCTGCTCTACGGTTATGATCTCGGTGTCATTGCCCAAGTCATTGCTTCCGGGGCTTTCAAGCGCGAGTTCAATGATCCCGATCCAAATGCAAAGGGAGCCGTTGTGTCAGTCTTCACAGGCGGTGCCTTTTTTGGCGCCATGTTCGGTGGTCCCATTGGTGACTACCTTGGACGACGACTGACCATTCTCATTGGTGCCTGTGTAAGCGACCCACAATGTCTTGTATTGCGCATCCTTTTGCTAATAAATTGGTTGTTGTAGGTTTTCATGCTTGGTGGTGCTCTGCAGACTGCTGCCGTGAACCTCAACTACCTCTACGCCGGACGTGTCCTCGCTGGTGTCGGTGTCGGTCAACTTGTGATGATCATCCCCTTATACCAATCCGAGTTGGCTCATCCCAGCATCCGTGGACGTATTGGTGGATTGGTGCAGTTCATGCTGGGTATTGGTGCCCTAGCTGCCGCCTGGATCAGTTATGGAGTTGATATTGGTTTTGATGCTAGCCAGAACGCTCAATTCCGTGTCTCTCTGGGTATTCAGGTCGTACCGGCCTTTTTCTTGGCCGCCCTTATCATGTTATTCCCCGAGTCACCCAGATGGCTTATCAGCAAAGGCAAGGTCGAGCAAGGTCTTCAGAACTTGGCCAAGCTCCACGCTCACGGTGATACATCCGACGCCTGGGTTCAAGCTGAGTTCGAGCAAATCCAGGAGGCCCTCACATATGAGCGCGAACATGAGGCTCAATCCTACATGGAGCTTTTCCGCGACAGGTCGTGCTTCCGCCGTCTTTTCCTCGCTTGTGCACTGCAAGCCTCTGTCCAGATGACTGGTGTCTCAGCTATTCAGTACTATTCAGTCACTATTTACAACCAGATGGGTATCAGTGGCACCGACGCACTCAAGTACCAGGCCATATCTTCCGTTCTTGCTCTTTGTGGACAAGCGCTCTGTATCGCCTTCATCGACCGATTGGGACGCCGCTGGACCTTGATTGGTGGCAACCTCGGTAATTGCCTTACCTTCATCGTTTCAACCACTATGTTGGCTGTTTTCCCTCCTGGTGCAACAGGTAACAAGAGTGCTTCTTGGGGCTTCATTGCTGTTACCTGGCTGTACAACTTCTGCTTCAGCTCCACCTGCGGACCGCTATCTTGGATTATTCCTGCCGAAATTTTCGACACCAAGACTCGTTCTAAGGGTGTGTCCATCGCCACCATGACATCTTTCGCCTTCAATACTATGATTGGTCAAGTCACTGAGCTCGGCATGGAAACTGCAGGATGGAAGTTCTACCTGCTGTTCGTCGTAAGTACCTCTGCAATTCAGAAATTGTGACTCAATACTAACAAAATACGCAGATCTGCAACTTCACCAACGCCATCTTCTTCTACTGCTTCCTGCCCGAGACTGCCAAGCGCCCGCTTGAGGAGATGAACTACCTCTTCACGAACGCTCCTCTCTTCGTGCCCGGTATGAACAAGAACGACTTTCCCACCGACCTCGAGCGCCGTGTCGAGGAAGTTGCTGCCAAGCAAGGCTCAATATCCCATGCCGAGCATGTGGAGGCCAAGGTGTAGGAATGACACAAATGGCGCGCTGTAACAGCATATGTACTTTAGTTTGCTCATGATAAAACACGTAGACAAATCTGTAAGGAGCATCTCTACAATGCCTCGAATCGAGCATCTTAGTTCGACGACATCCTTGTCTACTGCTCCCAGCGGTTTATGAACAAACACTGGGAGAATATCAATTCTTGACTCACAGACTACGATATTCCCACATACCACACGGCTCAAAATAAGTTGATTCCAGATCATTGAGTACCATGCCAGCGTTGCCGGAGTTCATCGGCTGCAATGAGACCGGAGCCACTCATATGCCGAGTGGTTCTATCTCTTCAAAGAAGCCTGAGAATGACGATCGAACCGCTGATAAGCGATTGGCAGGGGTAGTTTGTCACCCGTTGCCAGAAGTGGCGATTGCTCCCCACAATAAACCAGCATCTCTTAGCGTATCTCACGATGCTTTGCGCGACAGCAGTCGGTCGGCTAATACTCTAACCTTAAATATGATATTAGTTACAGTGACCTCCATCGAAGAAGGAGTACCGATACGCATGGCCTTGAACACGTCGCAGCCTCATTACAGCAAGCAAGGGGACTGCCATATCTCTCCTACACCAGGTACCTTGTATGTCGTAAACGTTGCTCTTAAAAACCATCCCTTCACTGTGATCCGTTTCGGTGACCAACGTTGAGACAGAAGAAGGTTTTGATGAAAAGCATGAGTAATCTGTCATGGTTGTGGTCGGTACCGATGTCTAAACATGCGCCGTTTGCAGGTGACTCGTTAACGATGTCAGGACATACAGCATTCCCGATGGGCCTGAAATTTGATTGAACTTCCATTTCAATCGGGTCTCCTGCACATTGTGAACACACTACGACCTCTAGTTTGACAATGTATCAATGCATCATTTATAACATTTGTCTTTCATACTGAACCAAAAAAGTGCGAGAGTCCTACAGAGCAAGTGTGTAATAAATCGACAGTCCACTTGGACAAGACAAGAATCAGCAAAACAAAGTCATATTTGAGTTTCAGAGAATAAAGCGAACATAAAGATGGTCCTAGTTACTCAGTTCACAACTGTATACGCTACGGATTTCGTCCAAGCTACGATCACGCCGTCCGTGTCCTCGACGTCGACATTAGCGACAACAACAGCTACCAGCTCTTCAGCTGCTCTGCGCAGCGATGTGCTACAGTCTACCATCTCGACCTTGTCAATGGTTGCTTCCTCTCAAACGTCGTTACCTGCCTCCTCGGAGACCGCCATAGCCGTTGCTCCAAAGCCAAAATTTAACGATACTTTTGCGTACGTTTCCCTCGCTGCAATTATTGCTCTTGCTGTACTACAGATCGCTATGGTCGCGTACTTAGTCTATCTACGATTTAAAGGTGAGTGTCTTCATTGTCGTGACCTGCAGCAGCAGCTTCGTAAGTGGAAGTCCGGGGAGCTGAAGCCTATCACGCCTCAGATGGTTTGGAGACGCGATGCGCTGAACAAGGTTGCTTCGGCCAGCAATCCTTCTTCGAATCTCGATGTCGAACTAGGATTTGTTGCACATGAAATGTCTCGTGCTCCTACTCCAAATCAGTTCGAAGCCGACAAGAAGCCGACGCTCTTCCAAAAAGCTAGAGCCAAAGTCTCACGTAAAGACAAGTCGCCAATTCATACCCCAGATCCGTTGCCTGATGATGGTGTTGATCGATTCTTCACTGTCGATCCGGATGCGCCCATCAATAATCCGGAACCTTCTCGTCGTACTACGGCTCTGCTCTTACAGACTACGTACAATGCTGGTAATCTGTATGCAACTCGCAACTCTCCGTACCCAACTTCTTCCATATACTCTCAGGATATTGACCCTGTTCGTACTGATGGCAACGGATCGCGTGTCTTCAGCGACATCTGGACACCGGATATTGCCAACATGCGCGGCCCTCTTCGGAAAGAGTCGTATGAGCCAAACCCATACGCCGGGCACGCAGCTACTAATCACGATCCGCACGACGCTCGTCACAAGGAACGTACCATTCCAACAGCTCCAGCTACGCTAGAGTCTGGAGAGTACAAGGAAGCCGAATTAGCCCTGAAGCGCGCATCTCCCACGGACTCCGAAACGCATCGCGCGATAAGCATTGTCAACCTGACAGACCAGCAGTTGAATGTTGCCCGTCATCCCAGCGCGTATACTGAGGCTGGTTCACCTCCAGACCAGTCTTCAGAACCTGAGATACCTATGTGCCCTGAATCTTACCAGGTTTTGGATTGGCGTAAAGAAGGCCTGAGACCGTCAGAGCTAGACGATATCCAGGAGGATTTCTCACCAGGTTTGGCCCGAGCGCTGGCCAACAAGCGTAAGTATATGTGAACACGAGTCCTCGTTAGTCGAAAATATCACGAGAAGCTCTGTTGATAGGTCCACGAAGGTCAAAACCCCTGGATAGCCGTGCCAAACGTTGCAGCGCTGTAACGTTGGCCACAGAAGTGACTTTCGTCTGGGAAGTTTCTGCATTCAAGTCTGGTTTGTGTGGGGGATTTGCTTTCAGCACTCGAACACTTGTGTGCAATACATACTAGTAGTAGGTCTTGGGATTCCAATTTTCTACAATCCTGTCCGCATCTGTGCTCATATCGTGATTCGCCCTCGCTGTAATTGCAGTTTCCGATACTGTTATTGTGTCGCGTAGAGAGATATTAGGCGGAACTAGAAATAGAGCCAGAATTTGGAGTCGCTATTCGAGCATATACATACGATTTGAAATCAGGCGTGTTCGAGAACTTCAACGTGGACGTTGGTGTTGGTGCTTTCGAAGTGGTGTTGCAGTCGCGATCCGGGCACTTGACTGAACGCCGCGGCTGGCCGTGAAGCTGCATGCCCGCCGACCACTACCCCTCAGCCAACAAACAACCGAATCAGCGAGCTATCGCATCTAATATATATGCTCCAATGCGAAGTCGCTAGCAACACCGTTTTGCTATCAAGCAAGGTCGCGAAAAGGACGAACTTCTATGCCCAGAGTTTGGTTGCGCGACTGAGCGGGCAGTAACTGCGAGCGATTATGGACGACGCGCTAGTTTTCCCGCTCGTCTCCTGATGCAAATCGCGTCCGCCATCAAACACACGACCAACTCCATCATGAGCATCTCCAGTTCCATCGGCACGACTCTGTCTTTTCTTAGTTTAATATGGGTCCCAGCCACACTGCTATGTTGCTTGCCATGGGTTCAAAAACGTTAGAAAGCACCTGACGATTAAGTAAATCAGGCCAACGCTAATCATGCCAGAAATGCTGTATCTCCATAATTTCACCTTCTTCCCAGGCAAATGGTTGGTGCAGCCCGAGAGAGCGGGATTCCTGAGTACGTCGGCTCCCCTCGTCCTCCACCACAGGATATTGTGCCGCAAGGTTTCTTGGGCTTATGCAATCAGAGAACCAGGTCGTCCCCTTCCGCATCACCTCAAAAGACGGACAGCGGCTTTTCGCATGGCTAATAGCTCCATTGGGAGTATATGCTAGAAATTCCGACGCCTTCATACAAGAGAAGACAGGCACCGATGTAGAGCATACGCTTGCATCGAGATTGCTGCGTGACGATCCAGAAGCAAGACTCCTCATCTATTTCCATGGCAACTCTGCTACGTTGGCACAAGAGCGCCGTACAATAGAGTATCGCTCGTACTCTGCTGGGGCGTCTGAGAAGATGTTCGTCTTAGCATTCGACTATCGCGGCTTCGGCATCTCAACAGGCGACCCCTCGGAGAGTGGCTTACTGAACGATGCAGAGGCTGTAGTTGACTGGGCTTTGAACACCTGTCTTATACCGCCAGAGCGGATTGTGCTCCTCGGGCACTCACTGGGAACGGCGGTCGTATCCGGCATCGCACACCGTTATGCGACCAATCTCGGCATCGAGTTTGCAGGCCTGATCTTGTGTGCAGCCTTCACGAATGCTGGCAACGCATTCTCTTCGTATTCAATCGGTGGAATTGTTCCCGTTCTTGCGCCTGTAAAGGTATTCCCTGCCTTCCAAGCCTGGTTTGCCCGTAGGATGGTAGACACTTGGCGAAGCGATGACCGACTGGCAACAATGGCGCGTAAGTCGATCAAAGCCCATAATATTGTGGGACTATCTCAGGAGTTTTCAGATATTCAAATTTCCTCAGATCCGTCTGTTCCGATACTGATGACTTGGCCAGGTACTTGCTCGAGGTTCAAGTTGGTCCTCGTTCACGCCGAGAGTGACCAGACTATGCCATGGCACGAAACGGAGTCGCTGTTCCAATCGACACTTCGGGCCGCAAAGGACGCGAGTCCTAATGAAGACAATCTCAAGAGTCTTGAGGTCGTAGATTTGGGCGAAGCCGGTAGACAAGAGGTTTGGCAGAGCAATTCGCGGAGCATCTCAAAAACGATTGCTAAGCACGGCGGTACGTACTCGTCCTGACAGTTTGATCCCTGAAGGTCGGCGCTTGCAGATTGCGCGTTTCGCCTATTGTCAGATGAAATCGGGTTGCCCCACATCCGTCTAACGAGGTCGATACACTCTTGCACCCTTCATTTCCTGGCTTCAACGACTCCATGGAGCGCATTGCATAGAGCCTCAGGCCAATGGCAGTGTGCTCAGGAAGATCCTGATTTCACGCAATGCAGACGTCTACCCCACACGTGGTGATCGGGACCAGGCTAGCCTCACACCCATGCGGTCATCGCCGCGCCTTCCGGTCCCGCTAGCTGGAAACAGGGCTAACGCTTCATATTAGGACACAACACGTCAATGACTTGGTCGCCTGTAGCGCTCACGATCCTTCAGGTTTTCGGCCTTACGGCTGATACGGCATGAGTTGTAGGCTGTGCAGCCTTCTGTGAAGCATCCGATGCAGCCCCTGGAGATCAGGAACGGTCTCAGGTTCCTGGTCGCCTCAGTATCAGGTGGGTAAATCAGGATAGCTGACGAATTCCAATGAACGGTTCATTCATGGACCACATCACACCCTCAGGAGCATCTGTGAAAAGAAAGACTAATGGGAGTCGGCTTCGCACCAAGAGTTGTAGCGTAACTTTAGTGCGTGAACGCGCAAACGCCACGAGTTCTGACTTCTCGGCATAGCGGCCATGTGCGTCAGTCCATTCTCCACTGCCCATGACGTCTCCACGGGTGGCTCATCCAGACCCGCATACAAAGCGCTTCACCGGCAACTGTCATCCTTTGCGTTTCAGTACCTGTTCATCGTTCCAGACGCCCCCGCGTCCAACTGTCGCTTCACCACCCTCCGTGTCCAATCCACCCTAGTCGCTTCTGTATCTCTTGACTTCTTTCGACTGTGACTTCTTCTTAGCATTGACATCACGCATAAGACCAAAACTCTCGCCGCCAAACCAAACATCGAACCCTCACTCTACCGAACAATACTCTCACAACAAACATGCCTGCTATCGCCCACCTCCAAGCACGCTTCTTGGAAGACTCCAGTGGTAGCGGTGGAATCTCGGGAACAGCCATCGCCCTCATCGTGTGTCTTGGAATCGTACCGTGCATTGTCTTGATCTGGGCTGTTTGCTATCTGTTCTGGGCCTACCCATACGACCGTAACTGCTGCTGCATCAAGCGAAAGCGCCGCCCAGAACCCCAAAGTGTATTGAACCAAGCGCCGATGAGCGAAGAGACACTATACGAAAAGCCCGGTGTGGCACCACCACAACGACCATTTTCTGGCCAGTACAGGACCGACACAGGAAGCTCAAGCAACAGCGGACGTCTGCAGAAGCAGCAAAGGCCTGGTAGCGGAGTCGACCCCCGGAACACGCGTATGAGTTTGAACAGCGTCGTCAGTGCCAACACTATCACTTATGCCCAAGAGCCCAAGCCATTTGTGTGAGGATTCAATGCAAAGCGATGATTGCAAACCTTGTCGTTGGCAAATCCTCACACGGGGATTATCATGACCAGCGAAACCATGACGACGCAGCCGCGGCTAGTCCGATCTGACTGACGGTGTCCTGACGCCACGTCGAGAAGACGTAGAACTCGAAGACCAGCCAGCGGGTTTGAGCGGATGAACGTCAACACGAACAAACCACAGCCACAGGAATCTCGAAATCGCAAGGCCTCAACATAGCGGCTACAGGCTGCGACGCAGCACTTACAAGACGCTTTTCCTCCCACGATGGGCATGTGAAGAAGATGAGGATTGCGTCGGATCGAAAAGCTCAGTACAGGGCTAAAACCTCAAGGACGTAAGACGTCGAATGTACACTATTATTACTATGCATGCAGGACATTTGCATTTGGGACGGAGTTGGCGGCATAGCATTTGACACGAATTAACGATACATGACAATGAACAAATTTGATTATCACAATGAGGTTAGCATGCCGGTGAGATTAGCGTAGGTGGTGAAGGCGATGAAAGCGGTGACATTGGGATGATGGGATTCGAGGTCAGGCATGCAAATCACGAGGTGGGTCTGGGGCATGTGATAGGTCAAAGGGCGTCAGTATGCGGCGGCGATGTATGAAGCAATGTAGTGGGGTAGTGGGTAGGCATATCAGGCGCAACTCCCCAATGCTGAAATGGTAAACTTGAATCTATCTCCATCCCGCGTATTCGTTCGTGTTCCATTGCATCGGGGACGGCCAGATTACTTGTCCGACACGCGCAGTAAACGTCGGCTTTCTTATCTCCGCGTCACAATCGCGTTTCCGCCACCGTAACTCGTCCAGAGGCTACGTCAACATCTCGTACCAAAACAAATTCGTCGCAGGCGGCGCCTTCAAGGGCGCTCTGCGACACGACCAAATACCGCCACCATTCCACCTCCACAGCATTTTCCGCGTTCTTTCTTCCGCGCATCCCACTCGTCGCTGCTTTCTGCGCGCCTGCGAATGCTTCGAAGTTACCTAGCCCGACCCAGCGCCCGAAGCGTCATACACAAGAGCGTGGGATTTGGTGGCGCAAGCTACATCAGTTTGAGCCTAAGTACGCCGATTAGAATTGAGAGCAAAGCGAATTCGACAATGGCAGGACACGATGGCGAAGAGGCAAGGCAGGGCGGTCAGCAGGCTATGCTGGCGAGCCAACGCGCAAAGGAGCAGGGAGAGGCACAGGGGAGGTTCTCCAAGTGGTTCCCTCTGTCTGCCAAATCGGGCTTCGACCAGTGGTGGGCGGGACTATCGCCTATGGCGTGAGTAGTGCCCTGTAACAAGTGTATTCCACATATGTACTGACTTGTGCCGACCTTTAGAACCGAGCATCGCGTTCTATCCTACATTCCACATCTCCAGAGCCCGCCCACACATACGCAAACAGGCTCCGCGCCTGCTTCGGCTGGTCCGTCCTCGGTAGACCTTCAAGCGCCGCCCAAGCATCCCGAAGACCAGACGACCACCAATGCCACCAACGACCCGTACGGACCGCGAAGATGGAATTCGCAAATGGTTCAGCTAAGTGGCAGGGATCGTGCACTGAACGAGTTCTCCGTGGAGCGACTGGGCGAAGAGGTGGAGAACAACTTGGTTATGCTCCACGGGTACGGTGCTGGACTTGGCTTCTTCTATCGCAATTTCGAGTCATTATCGCGTGCCGAGGGCTGGAAAGTCTTTGCGCTGGACCTTCTAGGTATGGGCCGGAGCAGCCGGCCAACCTTCAAGATCCATGCCAAAGACAAGGAGGGCAAGATCTCAGAGACCGAGTCGTGGTTTGTGGATGCTCTGGAGGAGTGGCGGATAAAGAGGGGCTTGGACAAGTTCACATTGCTAGGACATAGCTTAGGAGGGTACCTGGCTGTTGCTTATGCGCTCAAGTACCCGGGACATCTTAACAAGCTGATTCTTGCGTCTCCGGTTGGCATTCCAGAAGACCCGTACGCAGTCGACGAGGAGATGCCTGATCCACAAGACTCGACCATGGCGAATGAGTTTACTCAAGATGCTGCCGAGACGAACCAGAATGGTGTACAGCCATCGACAGCGGACAACAACAACTTCATGAACCAGCGGACAAAGAATGGTACGTTGTTCAGTAGCAGAGTTGTTGCATCTCGCTAACATTCCATAGCCGACACCACAAAAGAGGCTAAGCAAGCACCAAAGAGGCGATTGCCGTGGTGGCTGTATTCTCTCTGGGAGGCCAACATGGTCTCGCCCTTTACTTTTGTACGTTGGTCCGGGCCTCTCGGTCCTCGTCTGGTATCAGGCTGGACCTCACGCCGCTTCTCGCAATTACCAGAAGAGGAGGCACAGGCGCTGCACGACTACAGCTACGCTCTATTCCGCCAACGGGGTAGTTCCGAGTATGCGCTTTCCTATCTGCTCGCCCCTGGCGCTTTCGCTCGCAGCCCAATGATCCGCAGAATCCAGGCTGTTGGCAGGCAATATGTCCAACCACACGAAAGGCCTACCGCAGATGGCGACGCCGCAGCTAGTTCTACTACGCAACGCGAGACTGGCTATCCAGTCATCTTCATGTACGGAGAGAACGACTGGATGGACGTGGCTGGTGGATATGCGGCTGAAGAGAAGATGAAGCAAGAACGCGAGCGCCTACTAGCAAACGCATCGGCTGAGGAGAAGAAGAACGACCATGGGGTAGGCAAGGTGATCATCATCAACAAGGCCGGTCACCATGTATACCTGGATGGTTGGGAGCAGTTCAATCGCGTAATGTTGGAAGAGATGAACGAAGTTAGACGCAGAGAGCAAGGGCGGGGTCATGCATAGATGTCTGCGTGTTAGAAGGATTGCATTATTTGGCGTTTGGTTTCTGTATAGCGTTGCGATTTTGGGCATGTCGGATCATACCACTACATTTCAGTATAGGGCCTCTTCAACAATGGGCATTCTTCCACCCACAATTCAGTATCCCCTTCACACCTTGACCGACCCATCTGTTCGGTTTGCATGGGTGAATGGGACCCCTCACTTCCGCGAGACGATCTCACATGAGCCCCTGCATATTTCACCCCCGCTCCGTCCCGTTGACATCGTTGACTACTGCAGGGCCAAGGACGTGTCAGCCATCTCAGTGAAGGAGCCTGCCTATACGAAGCTAGCATTGTGGGGTAGAGCTGTATGCCAGCAATCCATGTCTTCACCGCTCCGGCTAAGCGAGACAGGTGCATCATCGGGAGCGACTGACCGACTCGCGCCGGATACACAGCATTCGATATAGGCACGAGTACCCCTCCCAACGCGTTGCGCATTCTTCTGAACGTGTACGCGACCCGTCTGATGATGACAGAGAGGAGAAGAAGACAGGCACGAGTCACGCATAGCATACCCGCATCACTACCATCTTCGTAGTCGTCGCCAGTGTCGCATTCACATGTCATTGCCAAACGCACCCACAGACTAATTGATGGCGCCGCAAACACTCGACCAGATTGTCAAAGGCGCACCGGCGCCGAGCACAAGCCTGAACAAGGTGGCCGAGAGCGTCGAGAGCGACCCGCCGCCGTACTCTGCGTCCATCCTCCAAGACACACCCCACAATGCCAACAACGACCGCCTGCCCACCATCAAGACCCCGCGACCGCCCGTCCTTAGCGATCCGACATCCCTCCTCCCCTCGTCGCCGCCGCAAATCTACCTGAATCTCCTCATACTCGAAGCCAGTCTTCGCAGCCAATACCTCACCCTACGCGCCCGCCGGCGGCAGAACACTTTCGTCCTCACACTGTTGGCGGTATGGATAGGCTTTTGTTTCTACCTGTTGTGGTTGCGCCCACGAGAGGATGGCAAGGGTATTGGAGGTTCACAATACTGGCTCGTTGATATGCTGCAGAAGGTTGGCTTCATAACAGGCGTCGTCACCGCTCTGCTCTTCTGGGCGACTGGACAATGGGAGAGAGGGGTTAGATGGCCGCGCCGGTGGATCGGCGTTGCAAATCGAGGGCTCAGAGGCATGAACGCCAAGATTGTCGTCATACGGGGGCCGTGGTGGAGAGAGCTGGTAGAATGGGGTCACTTTGTCGTGCCTTTCTCTGGTGGGCTGTGGGGTGGGGAGCAGGGAGGCAGTTCCTACCACTTCATCAACGTCGCGCAGGAAAACAAGCATGCATTAGACGGCGGCCGACCCCGCCATCGCATCGTGGAAGATGGCAAGGAATACGCCGAGGAAGACATTGCACCGGGAGGCGACTACATCAAGCTACTCCTCCTCCCGAAGCCCTTCACACCCGACTTCCGTCAAGAGTGGGAAGTCTACAGAAACGAATACTGGGCCACGGAGAACGAGCGACGAGCTGAGCTGCGGAAACGCGTCCGCGCCAGACAACGTGAGATTGCAAGAGAAGAAGGAGGATGGCTATGGTGGACCGGCTGGCGAGGCTGGAAGCGCGCACGCGGTCTCAGTGGACGAAGCGCCGACGTAGAAAAGAGTGGCCATCACCATGGTCACAGCCATAGCCTCTCGCATACAGGCTCACGGAAGCGACGACAAAGTTTACTGCAAAACCCAAGAGGAAGGGACGGGTCGCATTCCCGTAGCTCTTCGCGAAGCACAACGCCCACCCCCGACCTCGACATGGACGGTCGTCTCCGGCCTGCCGAAAGCCGCGAGCGTCGATGGAGTAACACGTCCACCAGTACAACCACGAGTCGCAAGTCATCTCTCCGCTCTAACTCAACCATCACACAGGGTAACGCGCAATCGGCAAGACAACCGCCACAAAGAAGCAGCGTGGGGTCCCGACCTAGTACGCCTAGTGAGGGGAATCTACCCTGGCAGAGTAAGAGAGCTAGCATGCTGAGTAATGCGTCGAGTATGAGTGAGATGGAGGAAGATGGCGGGTATGAGGCTGCGACTGAGGGGAGGGGTGATATGAGACCGCCGGTAAGGCCGGTCGGGAAGAGGAGGAGCAGTCGCGAGGGTGGTAGCAATAGTAGTGGAAGGGCCGAGAGCGCTTGATTATGTTTTGATCATGAGGTGTTGGGGGAAGTGGCGGGTTGATCGTTACGCATCTATGTTCTGGCCATGTTTTACGATACTTTGGTTTGGCGATTCCATGTTCAAATAGCGAGTGTTTTACTACGAAGCGGGATTATAGTGAGAGTTGGTGGATCGTATTTGAGAAATTCCATCACGGGCATGTGCATGGAGTCACTTTTGTTGTGCTTCCTTGTAGTATTGTAAAAAGGTTGACTACCCGTACCATTGTCGGCATGCATTTTCTCTCAGCCAGTGAGATGTTTGCAGGATTTGAGTGTCCCCGTCAATTCATCGGACTTTTTAGGAGAGGAGAAGTCGTGTGTCTTATCGATAGTAGTGGTCCGCCCCACCTTCCATTCCCACAAAACCATGCAAAAAGAGAGCCTATGGTTCTATGCGAGCTCTGCAAAAGGTTTCCATTGATGGAAAAGGCAAAAAAAGCGACCGATGTGGGACTCGAACCCACAGCCTCAGCCTTAGGAGGGCTGCGCGCTACCATTGCGCCAACCGGCCAGTTGCTTGTTGTTGAAGAAATTGTTGTTTTTGTACATTATATCCCGCGGAATTTTTCGCTGTGCAAAAAGCTCCACGAAGCAACCAGTTCTATCCTTACGGTCATCGTCCTTTCCAAAATCAGTCGGCCAAGTTCGGCCCTCGACATTCGGACCTTCCATGATCGTGAGGGTCTTACTCTGACAATACGGCAGGTAGGATTATAGTTTTTGCGGCACTATCGTCTTACAGTCACAGAATCACCATCTTAAAGAGAGTAACTGAACATCTCTTTAGAGGAAAGTACTTATACCTACTACAATAACACGTGTTAAGGCCTTTCTAGATATAGATAGAGAATCTAGAAGTCTATAATGCTACTAATCTTGCTAGAATTTCTTCTTAAAAGCTAACGTAGGCGGTAAGTTAGGGAATGTCATCTCTATACCCGTTCGAATTTTCTATTGTCTACGGTGGAATGGATCGAGCAATGTAGCAGGTTCGATCAGAGTTGTCACGCCTTTTGGGTTGCTTTGCAATATTCGGGTAAGGAAACAAGATCTACAAATTCGTAAGACGCTAAAGGGCGATGTCAACGGCAAGCTCCCAACAGTGTTGTGCCATTTCTTTCATACTATAAACGATTATGCTAAAGGTGACAGGAGTCGATCCAGGGTGTCCAACAGACACGTCAGCTGGTAGCATGGCGTTTTGCTGCTTCTCACTCTTCTTGAGTTCTCTGATTGCACAATGTGACGGCATCGCTCAACCTGCATCTCGACTTGTGAATGCTTAATTTTCTCCTATCCGTACTTCACATTGTGCGTGGACGATGCGGAACAATAAATAATTTTAGTAGTACAACTCACCTCTTTACAGCTACCTAATCCTTGCTTTACTTCGAGATCAACCTTGCAGCTGACGATGGCGACGTGGGATCGTTTCCGACACATGGATTTGATCGAAAAGGTCGAGGAGATTCAGTCTCAGCTTTCCCTCTTCGCAACACGTAGTAACAATAGCCCGAAGTACAGAGCAGACTTAGTCGAGCTCCAGCGACGTGGTCACGAGTATCGCCAAATCCTGGCCCTTCCTGTGACTCCAGCAAAATGTGAACAAAAGATTGATGACGGAGAAGTATGGAGATGGATTCGTGAAACCAGAGATCTCCTGATGCGATGTGAGAATTGTTACTTTTACACGATGTTTCACCTGCAGGACGCGGATTCGGTTTTCAGGATACACCACATCCCTAAGGGTTTCGCAACGCTCGATCAAGGCAAGTCAATTGGAATTATGTCTTGACGTTCGCTGACCTATCACCTGTATAGCACAACAACGGGAGCTGTACGACGCGTGGATCCGTTTCGATAAACATCCACAGAATATACGCAATCGGAGCAAAATTGAGTTTGAGTCCTTCGTCTACATGGTTCGTCTTCGTCTCCAAGCTTCCACATGATAGGTAGGTAAAGAATCTTCAATAGCAAGTTACGGCAATCGCAGGTCAAGCGCCATCCAAGCGACGCCGCTGGTCACCTGTACAAGGAGAGGAGACAGTACCATCGAAGAAAGCGAAGCCTGACTCTCCTGGTAGGCATGCGAGTGGACAGAGGGTGGTTGATCGGAGCAGCAGTTGAGTACCAATCGAGTTCGAGGACTGTTCCCACTGACCGTGTTTGAGGGATTGGTGTCGGGAGTACGATAAGGGAGTAGGTTGGCGGCTCCATTTCAGACTGATGCCTGGCATTGTTTTGCGTTGATCATTAAGATCGTGCTTTCAAGGACGGAGTTTGTCGCGGCAACTGCATTTAGATGACGGCATGCATACTTGGAGTATGTCCATGGAAGCAGTACACGGCAAGTACTAGATTCGTAGCCCAAAGAATGTATTGCCATCACGCGGGCTCGCTGTGCCGTCGACCCATATTCTCGTACCCATGCTCTTGGTCTCTTTGTAGCGGCGGACTCATGAGAAACGCAGGTGTGACTGGTGTCGGTAACTCTGTCAGGTATATATTCGTCATTCTGGCTCCAACAAAGGTCGTTCTTGCCGCGCTAGGTGTCACTGGCTCAAAGCCTTTCCATAGCTTGGCCTGCCGGTATCGTCTTGCTGGTTGTGGGCGACGGAGTCTCCATGCGCGGTGAAGTAATAGTACTATAGTCAGGATGAATATGGTACCGACGATGCCTATAGCGACGCCGATTCCGATGGCGGTTGGAGTAGAGAGCGAGCGGCTGTTGTCTGCATCGGAGTTTACCAGCGACGTCGTGATGATCTGAGCGGTGCGACGATTTAACGAAGGCATGCGGACGGTAGATCCCGCAATGGTGGGTAGCATGGCCATGACTGTGCTTGCGTACTCGGCCTGGCTGTCGCAGCGTTGGTATACAAATTGGAGCCATCAATAAAACTATTCAGGTAGGCCATGAGCCAAATTATGCAGACAGAGCAAGATTGCAGCCAACAAAAGCCTTCACCACAAAGCTGAGCACTACATTCGAGTCGTATGCAACTAAGCGCCATCTGTGTGGACCTCAATCGATCACAGCCTTGGTAACCCACATGTGGAAGCCTCCTGCGCTTGCGGCAAATGGTGCCTACATTGACATGAAAGGTGTGGCTTAGTGAGTTCATGGGTTGACAGACTCATTTCTTCAGAAGTCATCGCACTCGATCAGGCTCTGGAAGCTGCTCCAAAAGTGGTGATAGCGATCCATCACTGCGTTTTCGTGCGACTTCGAGAGGGCATTGTATTAAATTGGCCCTGTGCAAACCTGAGCGAAATGCGTCCAAAAGCGGTTGAGATTAGACAAAACGGGCGTGGAAAAGCGAGACGAGTGCCCGAAAAACACAAGTTCCCGACTCAGTGCGTTCCTCTGGCGCTTGAGGCGGGCCGCACAAATTCTTATTCGATGTTGTTGCGATGCGCTGTCACACATGATGTTGGTGTATAGCCTCAGCGGCTACGACGACACCCTCTGTATTTAGCTTCGGGCGTCCCAAGTCTGAAAAGATATGGTAGCGGCCTTTTATAGATAATCAAGCCATTTACGAGAGTGTTGATCAACAACTTTGGGGGACAGGACGAGAAGTAGAAGTGTATCTCCGAATATGCTTGTGAAATCGAGGAAAGCTTGCGCAAATTGGCTGGTAATCGCCAAGTTGGACTATCCAATCAAGTAGATAAGCGAATTAGGCGCTAACCAAAGATGCCAGCGACGGATCAACGTCTCTTGTACAACCAAGTCAGCTTGACTACGAGACGACCAGTCAGCCCACTCGGTAGCTTACCTACGAACACTACGGCAGCCATCAGCTTAGCGGCTGCAGGAATCTAAATCAGCCGGACCTGTAAGACCGAAGCGACATGTGCTCACTACGACGTATCGAAGCGTCTCTAGTAATGATGAGAGGGGGTCCACGTGTTCGTGGGAAAGAAAATGTGCTTAGCACGCGTCTCGTGGCATAATACCTGCTATGGCATTTGTCAAAGCGAGCGTCGTGGGGGCGAGGGAGATACTTTTAGTCATGGCAATGGCAAAGCGCGCGGCAAAAGAGGAGATGGACTGCGTCGGCGCCGGAAAAACATCGTGACTCGAACCACGATGAAGGAACAAGAGTGACATCAACAACGCGCGTCGGGAATACGAGACGACGATCAAAGATGAAGATGTTCTGATGAAATTCTACGGCAAATGGGAGAATCCGGTGGGCTAGAATTAGGGTACCGGCAAGAACGGGCTTGGCGCTAATCCTGAATCGAGCAGGGTTGCGACGCGAACACCCGAGTAGGGATGCGTGGCCAGGCACCACCAATCTCAACTTGCCGCCTCGAATTCATGGTCTGCTCGAACCACCATATTCATCCAAGATTACTCTTCGTCATAGTTGTCGGCTCGGCTTCTCCAGTGACGTGCGCCCTGGTTTCGGGGGAGCGTTGGCCGTCTCAGAAATTGCTGGCCTCGGAAGACGAAAGAAGGCCGGAGAATGACGACATGCTTGTCTCATAGTCGCCCTGGAACGCAAAACACGCACCCAGCTCCGGGGGACCCAATCGATGCGGCGGTGACGGGGATGGTTGCCTTGACAGCAGGTGGGTCACGCATGTACAGCATCGTGGTACAGATGCAGAGAGCTGAGCATCGAGACACGAAAACGTCGGGCTAAAGAGAAGCGTGCTGCTGGTTGCCAGAGCGGTCAATGGCTGGACGTGGGCCCAATTGAACCTGCATTTCAGGGACCTGAAGTTCCACCTCGCGTTAAATCGCGCTGGCGGTGGTCGGAAAGCTTGGCCAGACGACAAGACAAGTGCTTACTTGTTTCAGAGTGAGTTGATCACCGCAACGCTGGAAATAGCATCTGGCACGCCTCAGCGTGGCCCAGAGTGGCGTATGGGCAACTGCAAATGCATGGCCTCGCTGTCTGTTAGTCAGACGGGGCATTGCAGGACGACTGCAGCAGGGCTTGGATGCTTCATGGCACCGCCTCCCGCCCCGATTAATCTCGATACAGTGCACGACGGACGAATTGGAGAGGCCAAGCAAGACGTCATAGACCAAGACGGTGAAAGAGCCCCGGATCAAGCTTCTCTGGAAAAAGCAGGAACGGGTGCCGATGACTGGGATGAGCTGCGATAGTTTGCCGCATCTAGTCAAGCACAAGGCCAGTGCGGGCCATGTGGCGTCACTGGCCAGTTATTTCCTTGCATTACGTGGCTAAAAAATGTGGAGGAGGCGCAACCGAGCAAGGGCCGCGACCGCTGTGTTTGTTGCTGGCTGCTGGGGCTATGGCGAATGGCGACATGAAAGCACGCTAGCTGTTATGCACTCACTTGGTATAAGAGCCCTCACTTCGCCCTGCCCTCTATCCCCCATCCACAACTCACACACACTCTCCACATCAAACAAACTACTTTCAACTCTTATCCACCCAACCAAACCCACCAAACCACCACCATCAAGATGCGTTTCTCCACCATTGCCACCGCTGTCATCGCCGCCGGCGTTGCCAACGCCCAGGTCGACTCCATCATCTCCCGTGTCACCTCTGCCGTAGGCGGTGTCCCCTCTGACATCGGCTCCGTCGTCAGCTCCATCACCTCTGACATTGGCTCCGGTGTTGCATCCATCACCAGCGACGCCGCCTCTGGTGCTTCATCTGTCGCCTCTTCCATCGAGAGCGACGCCTCCTCTGTCCTCAGCAGCCTTGCATCTGAGGCCTCCACTGCTACTGGCTCGCGTGCCTCTGAGATCGCATCTGCTACCAGCGCTATTGCCAGCCGTGCTAGCTCTGCTAAGTCCGCTGCCAGCTCCGCCGCCGCCAGCGCTACTGGTGCCGCTGACTACAACAACGTCCCCGCCATGGGTGCCGTCGCTGGTGGTCTCCTCGCCATCGCTGGTCTCTTGTAAGCAGCTCGACCTGCAAGGGTTTCCTTCGACTCCGGACATGAAAAGTCTCTTTCGACAGTTTCTTTCATCGGCTAGCGACATCAGCCACGAGCTGAACACGCTTCGTCTCTTATGAGACATTTGCGGGATAGGAATGGTTCGCGGCAATACTGGAGAATATCCAGTCGGTCTATAAACTTATAATAAGTCATTTCAATGAAACATTCAAAATACCCATAATATTGCCTGCTTTGGGCTATTTTCCATATGCTTTGCTTCAATTCACCTGTGATGTTTGTTCCATCATTTACTCATTGTACTTTAGCTCAAAACTTCATGTTTCTTTGTATGGACCTCGAGTTCAGCCGCATTCGTTTGTTGTCATGGAACATTGCAGCTGCGATGCATGGTGTGAGGTTCTCGCTAATGACGTAGGGACGCGTAACCACCTCGGTGGCGTTTTCCGAGACCAAAATTAGCCTGGTTCCATATGCACTCCGCATCCGCGCATGAAAATCCTTTGTCTAAATCCGTCCAACCACCTCACCACCGCTGATCAGACAGGAGTCGCGACACGTCAGTAGAATCGAATTTTCCGCCTGGCGTATTGGAGCCTTGGAAAGGATGTCACCCAGTCCGACGACTTGCACTTGTTAACATGCGGGAAATATACATGAGACGCGACGCTTGGGCGACACAGTGGCTGGCTCTGGGCTCGTGGCACGGCCAAAAAATGATCCCCGACATGCATTCACCCGGGTGATCTGCATTGCGACACCGCAGCGTTGCATACACCCGCCACACTTTCGGTGCGCCTCCGGGGGTACCTAGTCAATCTTCTCAACAATGATCAACGCGGAGAAAGTTCCTGGGGAAATGGACGGCAGACTACGCATTCGAAAGAGCGATGCAATGACCAATGGTTTCCTGGTCGCGCCATTAGCTACGAAAATATAATACAGGTGGATGAACGACTGCGGCTCATATGGAATTGCTTTTCCGTAGCGCTTCGCTGTTCCTGGACAATCGCAATAAAAACGGCGCACGGTATATGGAGACAACAGAGTCACGACACTATTCACGGGCGACATTGTTCAAGTACATGATGCAACACTCGCTTGATCTGAAAAGCAGTTCAAAGCTTCTTGACTTTGCATAACTTCACCAGCAGATCTGACAGGTCACCTCAACACACGCAGTAGTAATAGCGTTCCGACCATCGCTGACATTTCACATACATCATCAGCAACTAAGATCGCAAGTACAGCAAACATGTCCAAGGTGTCCGGTTTCTCATGGCCGCAACTCGCCCACGCGAAGCTTTTCGGCCGGTCCGAGCCCAACTCTACTCCTGACCAGCCCCTCATGATCGTCATTGGCATAGGCACTGCAGTTCTATGCATTACCATCGCTTACACATTGTTATTCTTTGGACTTAGATGGCGCAAGGCTCGCGCAGCCCAACGGCGTAAAAGTACCGAGGGTGAAATCAAGACTATCGAGCTCGTAGACCATGAGCATTCTTGTGGCGGTTCTTCACCATATGTCGGTGATGACCATCAGGGCGGTCACATAGGAGATAGTCGCAGTGCGCGTTCATCATCCGAACTGCCTGCACACTATAGTCGCGTGATTAAAGAGGATGGGAAGCATGACTTTGTGGAAATCGACATAAGCAGTGGGAAGGTCGGAGAATAGTTTGTGGATGGATAATGATAGACTGAAATGGATGTATAACACCTGGCTGTTCCGTGTTATCACAAAAGCCCAGGTAGGCTGTTTATGTGAATAATACGGCATTGGCGAGATTGAGTATCATGAACATGACAAACGTATCTACATAACGAAGTTGCACGGCTTCAACGTCCAGTAATTAGTTTCCGGCACCCACTCGCAACCAAGTCCCAATAAAGAACTACAACGCTCATCAAGGCAATGTCAATGCAACGAAAATCCATGTTAGCATTGCGCGATGATGGAGAAGCAGATAACACGCCATTGTTATCGTCTAGATAACTTCTACAAACTTATGATCGCTCTATACCTCAACACCCCGATACCCCCTCTGCAGTCTCCCCGCGCGTCTCTGCTGCGTCTCCATCTGCTCCGGCAGCACCAGGGGAAGCGGAACAGGTGGGTTATCGCCACTCGAGCGCGCAGGACGATAAGACTTGTAGCCCTCTCCAGCACCAGAATGAAGGACATCCGGACGCGGATACGTGTCGTCTGACCGTGAAGGTAAACGTTCGCGACCATTTTCATCGTCGTCGTGGTGTTTGCCACAACAGCCGCCGAAACAATCACATACGTTGATGCCACGGGAAGCAGCGAGAAGAGTGTAGATGATGAGGCCGAGGATGATGAGGCCAAAGACGGAGCCAACGACTATTCCGCCGATCTTCCCTGCGCTTAGCCAGGGTCCGGCGTTTGCTTCTGGATGTGAAGTCTGGGTTGGGACAGTGGTAGCTGTGGTTGCTGATATTCTGGCGGAAGTTGTACTAGAGATGCCATCAGTAGTGCTGGAAATCGGGGAAGACAGCTCTATAGTGCTAAGTTTTTTAGGTGGTTGTTCACTACTCGTCCGCGTTCCTGCTGTGGTCGATGGGACTGTGGGCGGCAGCGATAAGGTATCAGGTTTAGTTGATGTTACGGTAACTGTGGGAGTCGGTTCTGAAGTTATGAGAGCTATCGACGTAACGAACTGGATCGATGTAACAAGAGGCGGTGGCGGCGGCTTTGCCTCGTCTTGACGGGCTATCAAAGTGACGGAAGAGGCCGATAGTAGTAGATTGTTTGTGGCAAGGTTTAGATCATTGAGTTGGGAGACGGCAAGAAGGCTTGTAGCCGTAATGACAGTATTTAACGGAAGGTACATGATGAGCGGCAGGGATGGGGTGTGTGTTGCGAGGGGAGAGAAGAAAAGCACCAGTTCTACTGTGTCAAGCTCGAGAGACTTGCCGCTGTGTGCTGACATACAACATAGTGAAGAATGTTCTCAAGGACTTTCATAATAGCCTAAGTTTTTCACATGTGGCAGCTAATCACGCCAGAATTTCTCGACATATGGAAGAGTTCATTCAATGCCGGCACCAGATCTCTGCATACCGTTGATTGATGACGTTACCAAAGCCTAATAGAATGTGGTATACGTGGTGTCTGTTGTAGCAAGAGGACTTATGACTGACAACAACGTTTACATTAAACTCTCTCGCCAACAACTGGGTGTTGAGGAAACAGTGTTCTTCTGCCCTCGAAATCAGCTTGTCCTACATATCACCAACGCCGCCCAGTAGGGCCGTAGGTTCCTCAAGGACAATCGGGCAAACATCGAGCCCCACGCCGTATGCATTAAACGTCATGTTTCCATCATCATCGATCTCGATCCATCTACGATTGAGCAAATCTCCATCTTGCGCCCTATCGAAGAAGTTTTGTGGCGCAAATACGATGCTAGAATACGCCTCCGTGTACAAAGTCACAGGTACATCTTCACTCCTAGTGTAATGATGCATGCCGAGGTTGAACCAGATAACTAAATCTTCAGCTTCAACTGATTCGCCGTCAAAGAATTTGCTAAAGTCTTGCTGCGGTGCGAAGGGGAGGTTGATGTTCTGGACACTGTTGGCGAAAGGCTCGTTGTCGTGCTGGCGTGTAACGGCAAGATGCGACTTGGCAAACTCGGAATTTTTAAGCGACCAGGGTGAGTTGAGGGTCGAGAGGTGGATGTCAGAGCGGCCAGGTACGAGACGGTAGCCACGCTTCTCACCCCAGGCATTTGTAGCATTTGGGTTCAACACGACGTACATGGCCTGGTTGTTGGGAGCCCAGTTGAACTGTTGCTCTTCACCCATATATGTGACGTTCATCTCCATTTGTTCGAATTCGCCGAGCTCGGGGAACCATGGCTGAGATTGGTTGACAGCTACCAACTCCGACACTTGAAGTGAGTTGGCAGCACCAACTATGTCAAAATCCGCCTTGTATGTAACAATGTGATCGTGAAGTGAGCCTTGGGTAGCTTGTTGGATCCTCGGTCCGAACTTCGCCTGTGCCGGATAGTAGAAGCTAGATTGCAGATACCCGGATGCACGCACAATTACTTCAAGGGAGCCGTCCATATGGAAGGAATAGTCGAACATGTAGTCGTAATTACCAACAGTTGCAATCGCGCGGACGATTAACCCAGCGCCCTTCACGCTACCGAGGTTACTGAAGCCGTAGTCGTTGGATGCACCTGTACGATGGCGTGAGAGAGGAAAATTCATGTCGGTTTCGAAGATGCAAATTGCGTTGGTGTTGACTCGCGTTGTGTTGTAGGATGGGTAAGTGATGTTCCAGAATGTCGATCCCCATGGGCAGTCGAAGCCTTCCACCAAGCTTCCCATCTCAGTACCGAGTTGGTAGTAAGTATCGTGGTATACTGTATTAGCAGCTTTGGGCTGGTTGCCACCTTGGGGTACTCAGCTTCTATCTTATGAGTGATAAAAGAAATACTTACCGTATTGCGCAGTGGCTTCTTGCATTGACAGCTCGTATAGAATGCGTTCGCCCTTGAATTTGATGTCATAGAACATGATGCCAAGTGTTCGTGAGAACGACATGTAGAACGACCAACCCATGTACTCAACGTATTGGTTCTCCTTGTCAAGTTTGTATCGCTTTCCACCAATCTCAAGAGTGCTTGGTGCTAAACGCTCTTCGAGGTCTCGCACACCCAACTCTGGCTTGTAGTCGACTAAAGCCCAACTTGCGTCAAGAGTCTGGTCGTATTCCATAGCAAGCTCGCCTGCCTCGAATGCAGCCCGCAACTCTGCGATAGTGGGGTAAAACTTCTCGTTTGTAACGAATCCTTTCAGCGAGTAGAGAGAAGGATCAGTGCCAGTACAGTCGATCAAAAGATAGAAGTCTAAAGGTGTCATGTAGGTTGCTGGACCTGGAAAACGGAACATGATGTTGCGAAATGCGCTAGTACCGTCGAAAGAGAGGGGCGTGCCGGAGGTTAACGAGAGATTCGACCTTTCGTCACTTGATCCGTAGTATACACCTCCTTGGAAGAGAGCAGCCGTTATGTCTGATATATTCGACATGATGGATGCGATGAGTGGATCCGTCGCACTTGATCTTGGGCCATCAAAATACCGGGCGTTGTAAGGCACAGAACCACCAGCACCGCCATTGTAAAGATAGTCCAACTTCTCTATCGTGGTTTCTGAAGATACTGGAAGAGGGCCAATCATGTATTCCTGGGAGTCTGGCTCAGCTTTCCCGCCTTCGAAAATGATAGCACGTGCATATTTGGCAGGCATCGCTGCGTCACCGTCTATGTACGGTAGCACCTCACTCTTGTTGGTATGTAACGCATCTATCCAGAACCTGGTACCTGTTAGCAAGACCTCATTATTTGATATGTAACTTACACGTAGTTGTCTGTTAGTACAGCCTCATTGGGATCAGTAAGGTTCAGGCCGGCCGTCGGAGAATGGAGCAAAGTCCAAACAGCAAGATTCTCTTCCGGCGTCAGGGGAGCCCATGGGTTGAGCTTTGGTGCTACTGTAGTCGTAGCAGCCTCTGCCAAGCAGGAATATGCCGTTCCATTATCGATTCGTTTGTCGAAGTAATCACGCACTACTCTTCGATCATATCCAAGAAAGGGCACAGCGGAAGAGCTGACTGTACCGAGAAGAGCGGCTGAGGTAAGGAAAGAGCAACGCATATTCATCAACGATTTACCTGAGGGATCATAGGCAGTTTCCAATAATCCTCCTGTGCTTTATACATTCTTGGGATCATTGCGGACCAGATAGGCCCCGAGTGACTTACAGCAATGACAATGAACAGAGATGGTATCTCAGGCTTACAAGATGATAAGAAGAGAGATCATACCTTGTAGGGGGCCTGTAGGGAATAGGATCCACTCAACCAGGCCGCTTCCGGTGAAAGGCGCAGCCCGGCCATCTCTACGTTTAACAGACCACGTTCTTTCTATGCTCTGTCCGAGACTTGGTCTCAAATCCTTTGTCCGTACTGGTCTTGGGTGTATTAGAATGCAATCTCTCTACTTCTCTTCGCTGGTTTCCAAGCAATGTTGGATGCAATGCGTTGTTCATACATATGGCGATTGTTCCGAGACTGCCGTAAAGTTGGGAATGCTTGGTATGCTCGTTGCATGAGGCTATCACCGGAAAGGAAGCCATAGCCATAGCTTGTAGTCGATTTACCTCGCGGAAAGGTGGGGTAAAGGCTTCAGTATATCTTATCGCTGCGAGATAGCGTTGTTGCATGTGCCAAGCCACTCCCCGCATCTATCATTGGGAGCAACGAGCACTGCCAAGATCGAGAAATCAGTAACGCCGAGAGAGTAAGTGGTGGCCGAATAGTCGGGCAGGTACGATGGGGAGTTTGCTGTAGAACGCCTCGCTTGTGAATCCCGAGCATACGTCCTTGGGCGTCTCGGGCGCCAGCGCTCCGGATAACGTCCATGGATGGTCAGAAGTAAGTTTGTAGTGAGCATTGATCATCGTATTACAACAGCCTGTGAAATTATAAACGATAAAAAGCAGCGAGCGATAGTATCCGAATGCGTGGATTTCGGGGGACTTCAAATCAACGGAACCGTCTGACTAGGGAACGCGTGACGCGAACTGAGTTGGTCGTGTAGCTCGACGAAGCTCAGCCAAAAGTTATAAAGGTTGAGTTTGGCTTTAAAATTGTGCATAGGCGGGATTGAATTAGAGGAGGATGGGGCGGAGAAGATAATGATAAGGTGTATCAATGATCTGTTCAAGAGGACGCGACGCGACGCGAGACGACAAGCCGAGCCGGCACCGCAGTGACGTCACTGGCATACATGCATGAGCGTGCAAACGATCGCTTCACCGTCTGCTTTCCACAACCATACCAATGCTGCATGAGCATACCCATCGCCTCTAACACATGCGATCTCTCCAATACTTTCTGTGGAGTTACCATTCGCACCGGGTTGACGCCATACACTCTTACTGCAAGAGTGAGGACTTTCCCTCATCTCGCTTCCGTCTTGCACCTGCAATGAGCGACAGAGACCGCCCGACTGCATCTTCTGTCTCTTTTGCCTTTTGTACGCGAATCGATTCGTCTATGTTGTTCTGAATAGGCGCGCCGGGCTCGTTAGTTGAAGGCCACCCGGCAATTCCGTGGCTAGCTGCAGGCTGATCATTGGCCGATGCCAGGTGAGCATTATCGTCATCATCAGACTCATTCCCAACCAGAGTTTCAGCTTCAGAATCATACTCCACTTCATCATATGCGGGTCGTATATCAGATAAAGCTGTGGTTTTGGAAGGTTGAGGCGCGCGAGCAGTCGAAGCAGCATGAGCGGTCATGTTGAGTGATTTCGTGGTGCTATGATGGGAGGAATGTTAGGCTTGTATCTTGCGCTACGAGCCTACATTTAGTGATTATATGTCCAGAGAGCTGAGTTGAACAACACGGGATTTCTGCAAACAACAAAGAACGAAACGAAAGGGAGATCCAAACGCGCGACACATCGTTCACGATGACACCCAGAACAACACGACATGCCGTGCCAAACGGAGGAGGTACACAGCTACATATCACAACTGCTGTTATGTGGACATTGTCTACGACACGCTGCAGTGTTTCGTGAAGCTTTATTCGCGTTTGGACTGGCTTGCATGGCGATTGCGATTGCGTTCAGCTAAACTCTACTTGGATTGCAGCGCACATCCTCACTCCTAACCGGCCTGGAATTGGCTTCGTGAGTCCTCGCAAGGTACACCAAACGTCCATCATACAGAACGAAGCAAAAGCACTCATAACACCTCCTTGGAATTCTAGACACCGATAGGCCCATCTTCGCCTACACTAGCATTTGTGCTGCCAGCAGCCACTTGATAAATGCTTGCGCTTGCATCCATGTCACCAAGTTTGAGCACGATACTTCGCAAGCCTTAGCATTTTTTCTGCTTCTTTGACTGGATATGCGGTATGATCAGTCTACGCCTTACGTGCAGTTCGTATGGATGCGACATACCCTTCTTCTCGCATTCTTCGTACTTCTTTTTGGCCTCTTCATATTTTTCCTTTGCCTTTTCAAATTCGTTTTGTGCCTCTACATGCGATCGTGTTGCCTGTTCGACAGTGCCCGGCAGGTCGTAGTACTGGGTGTCAAAGCTGCTATTCCACCCGTATCCGCCCACACCACCAAAGTTTGCTGCTATATCAAAAGCCGGGTAGTTGTCATATTGCCACCCGAAACCTCGTTTCTGTCGCCTGTAAGGAGCCATCTGATACATTGCTATGAGGTGACTTCGATAAAAGGAGACGATAATCTTACAAAACGAAGCAACAGATGAAGGTAGAATGATATGCGAAAATTCGCGAGAAGAGGACGGGTGAGCTAGAACTGATTTTATACCACACTTGGAGCATGTCTGGAGCACACAGAATGCTCCACGTGTGCTGGAAGCAGGATTTGTCCATACAGCGGGAGTTGAGTTGGCTTCACGGTCACCAGTGCCACTCAAACGTTTCGTATCGTGAGCCTTGGCTTAGAACATCCATAGAATCCGTGGCGTTCTACCAATGATGGATCAGCGTTAGCAGCGCGCGAGTGCTCTGCTGTTAGAAGCTATCCTTCGTTTACGCGGGCTCCCCGACGCAGGCGGAATCATAGCCACGTAATATGACTCTAGCCGACAGCTCACAAGATTGAGCAAACAACGCAACCGCGTCCACCACGACAAAAATGAACGCGTGCGTTGACGACCGGCTGTACTGAGATGCCACGGGACGACAGATTTTGTGCATTACTTTGGAGGATTCGAAGCCTATGCGAGACGCAACACGTATTGCTAGCGGCGTTCACCATTCTTTTTGGTAAGGGAGACAGTTTCCCGTGTTGGTCTCGTTTAGGCAAACTGCCGATGGACTTACGCAATTGTTATCACGGCTGTCGATCTGCCGATGGATTGTTACTCAACATATGGGTGGGGTATCGATACTATCGTTATTGTGTTACACTGCCGGATGTACCACAACGTACGCCTAAGCGATCCGAATACTACAAGTGAAGAGCTAACGTTTGGTATGCGGAGGAAATGTCCGCGATTCATGATCTCGGATACTAATCGCGCATCGGCGATTCTGCCCTATTCGCCTCACTCTTGACATTTTCCTTCTCCAAATGATCGCAATTGACACTCCGCTGCTTAATGCTAACCAGATTACACCTGATTACGTCACATTTGATCTCTCATACCTGCTTTAGTTACTGTCCTATCAGTTTGGTACTGTATACAGCAAGAGATCCTGAGATCCATATCGCCACTGGAGACGAACAACACATATGTCCAACGCGTTCTCATCCAATCACGCTTATTCTGCGAATACCCGTAATACATCTTAGCACCGCTGATCGCTATGGACCTCGTACTCTCTACGTTGGTCGCAATTCTCTAGTTATGCTCGTCAACCGACAGTGCATCGTATACGAATGGATCGCCGGTTCCCGCAACATCATGATATGTTCCAAATGTTGATGTTCCGTGAAGTAAACTTGGTTACGACATGTGGAAACCTCGGCGCATGATATTCTGCTGCCAATGCAGCATCGGCTTACATAATCCGCCTCTTGTTCTATCACCGTTAGATACTGGAATCATAAGCTTTAGATTTGATCCTGTTACATATATCGTTACGATGTTCACACTGTATCTCAAGTTACATGGAAGACTTGGCTCACCTGCCGAAGTTCCATGCCATTCTACGGAGTATCTCATATTGGCCCAAATAGCTACTGCCGATGTTATACTCCACTGTCTCACACAATGGCCTCGCATCCTCAAGCATCTCCCCCCTGTCGTTCTTCGCGCATTTTCTCTCTTTCTTCTTGCCACTGCTTCCTCCTTGTCTTCATATCCTCCATCATCGCTCGCATATCGTTGTGAAGATTATCGCTCATACACACCCAGTCATGTGGGGTGTGTATTTGCGCCCTTGCGGACGTGCTTCGTTTATATTGATGCTGGTATGGCTGGGCATCAAGCGGAAGATAATATGGTGATGCGCCGGATCTCTGGTAGTAAGACATTGTTAGTGTGTAGTAGGTTTTCTGCGGCGAGCGATGTTATACTAGTAATAATACTAATGAATTACAGCTAAGGAGTGTTCCTGGGTCTACAGCAGATACATGTGTGAATGACGACGCGTCAATAACGGACAAAGACAAACGAATGAGCGAACGCCCGCCGGCAACACATTGGCAAATGACGCTATAAGGATTGCCGAAGCGAAAAATGGACGCCGCGACATACGCATGTTCACATCATAAACTACGGCCTATAGTAAAACTGATGCAGCAGGCGAAGTCTTTCTCTCAAGGTCGCTACGTCTTCCTCAATCCTTCTACTCCTGCTAAAAGTATCGGCCCACATTTCGAATAGCTCAATTGGTTCCTCTCGAAGAGCCAGATCCCTATCGACAGCACGTGGCATAGCAATCGGAACTCGTCCGTTCGGTCCACGGTTCCTCGCTGGCATCGTGTGATGAGGACGCGTAATATGACCTACACCTCCAGCACTGCGACTATAGGAGTAGCCATCTGATACGGCGCCTCTCGGGTACAAGCTGTCAAAGTAGCCATTGGTGGAGGCATGTCCTGGTTGACAGTAATGTGGACGACGTGGGACGAAATCTCTAGGAGCCCTTCCAAGGAACTGAGACCAAGCTTCGGCTTCAGTCACGGGTAGCGAGATGACTGGGGCGGTGTGCGAGACGTTTTTCAAGATGATGGTGGGAGGCGGTGGTATAGGGACTGCGCTGTACTGACGCGGAGCCTGTGGACGCTGTGGTGGCCCAACCGCTACAGAACGGAATTGTATTGAAGGCAGTGATGGTAGCTCATAACGCTCACTGTGCTCATACCCCTCAGCAGTGGATTCTGAATCATCGGGACTGGCGTCATTCGTATTCTCTTCTTCCTCGTTATCCAGACGCAACCCTGCCATTCGTTCGTAGGCTAAGTATGCGTCGATGGTGTCTTGACGAAATCCCTCGGTATTGTCGTTCTCGACTGCAGCATCATCGACCTCGACGGATGGTGCTGGAGGGTACTGTTCTTGAGCTTTCTTTGATGTCTCGCGAGGACTCATTATTGCGGAGATCTTTGAGATGTTGGCTTTCCGGAATGTAAGTGTTATTGTGTCGATAAGACAATTCGTAAAGATCTTGGATGAGTTATACTTATGCTGAAAGACCTCCTCGTCAGCAACCACACTAGACGACGATAGTATGGGGTTTGCTTCACAAGCAGTAAGCGAACGACTTCCACTTACTCCTGGTGTTTGAAGCAAATAGGGGACGTTCGTAGTGGACCATGTGAGATATCATGCAAACGACGTGTGAGTGGTGGCCTGCCCACTCTTACTACCACTTGTAACTGCCAATTAAGGAGTTGACCACACGACTGCATGGCTAAGGAGTCAGGACACAGCTATGTCGAGATTTTGGTACACCCAAGATAGAAGAAACGTTTGAAAAGTGTTCGGATACACGGTGAATATGTAATCATCGCGGTGTATTCTGATATCTATAAGGTAATGATGCTTATTCTGCCAATCCTTCTTTACACTCAATTCTCCTGGGGAGATTCCCCCACTTGAGGCCTCTAGGTACTCGCAGAAGAGGGTGAAAGCCGTCTGCCCCCTTGACGCTCCAAAATCAAAGCAGCATGCGCATTTCCTAACATGTCCGAGAGATCAGTATTCAACTTCTCAAGGCCATTTATTCTGATGTAGAGAGTATTGAGTACATGCGTGAGCTCGCCAGTCACTGTTTTCAGCTGAGGGGTACTTCTAGTACGGTAACTGTAGGTGATCATGTTTGCAAACACCTCGCGGTCGTGACGACCCGTCGAAGTAATATGCATGGTATCGGCTTGACGCTGTACAAGGGTTGGGAGTGTCAAGGTATCTCCACGGAGCGGCAGCTCGCTATAGATCACCTGATGTTCTTGGGATACCGCTGATTCTGGGAATGAGGTTTCCATGACTGATTCTTCTTCATCGTATCGTTCCTCGTCTTCATGCCGTCGGCGTTCTTCCTCTCGGTCCATAATAGGTTCTTGGTCGCGCATAAACTCCGCAAAATGCTTGTAGTTGCTTAGGGTTTTGCGATTGTAGTCAGAGCTGGACATTGTGAATGCCGAAATTTAAGTGAAGCCAAAGTAGATAGGAACGAATGTCTTAAGAGGTATGAAGTGGACCAGCAACTCTAATTCTTGGGCTCATTCCCTACTTATATGAAAGCGCTGGAGCGAAAGCGTTCAAAAAGCTTAGTGTTTGATGCGCCACTCCTGCATTGTCCACGTAGCCAGAAGAAAGCGAAGAGGATGGGGCAACTACGACACGTGTTTTCATCAAGTGATTTGTGACAAGAGCACATAAAGTTATTAAAGTACAAACGAAAATCATGTATCCAACTCATGAAATGTATTGTCCTTCCAGTGTGCTATCATCTCCTTGTTGTCGGTCCGCCATTGTCCAGGTGTTGATAATATGACTTCCACCGTTCCTAACGACCCTCCTCAACCCTTTCTTCCATCTCAACCATCATGCGATAAATGATTCTTTGCATTTCCCGATTGTTCTCTCTCCGGTCTTCTTGTCTGTCCCAAGAGTTCTCCATAGCGGCCCTTAGCGTGTCTATGTCTCCTAAACTTTTGTACCAACGCGCAAGTCTCCTACTTGATATAGCGAATGGTTGCCGCATACTTGCTTGGAAATCACGGTTCCGATATAGGATACGTGCTGGCTGTTCTCTGTCGTCTATGCTGCTATCCGAAGAGTTACGATGTAATCGTTCATGGAACCAGTGGGTGAACCTAGCGGATGACATGTTTTGTTATCAAATGTGGAGCGAGAACTTGCGTGTTCTTATTTGGTGGGTTAGAATGGTTCATGTGGAAAGTATAAATAGTCAGGTACACCGAGTTTGCTACACACTAACAGCCTCATACCGAGAAACCCTGAACGCACAAGAGAAGCCTAGAAAGGTCGAATATAGACACGGCGTGACCAAATGACCATCAAACACTGTGACTGCAAGTAAGAGATCAGATCCTACTAAATACAGACTCAGAGCAGAGCCTCCAGCCAACTCAAACCAGGCGATCATGCTACCGGTGTCCTGTTATGGATCGCCCGCTTCAAGCTATCCAACAGGCTTTCCATCTGATCTCGTTTCCTCCTATATGTTGGAGCATCCCCCCTATTACGATTCTCGAGCACTTCAGCGAAGAGGTTCTCGATTGTCGATAAGCTCGTTTGCCAATTGTCTAGCAACGATCTGTCGATGTTGTCGGACGCAACGCGTTGCGCACGTGCTGGCTCAGGTCGTCTTGGAGGTGGAGTAGATGTGCGAAATGCGGAAGGAGCGCGTTGGTTATGACTGCGCTCTGAGAATGGATTAATACGATCCGCCAGTAGAACGGGACCGCTTCTTGTTTCAAGCCGGCCATAATCGTCGAAGTCATAGTAGCCTTCTTCTACTTCTACAGGGCCCAGATCCGGTATCCCATAAAACTTGCCGCCTGGCCAGTAGCTCATGATGATTTTGATAAATTGGTATTCAGAAAGTAGGTTGCTGTTGCAATAGTAGAATGAAGAGGGTGTAATGCGACCGAGGAGGAGACACTTTATATAGCTGAAGTCGGTGGTAAAACGCTGGCAGAACAACCAGAAAGGATAATGAATAACCTGGCGGTGAATCACAACACACGTTGAACGCCAGTTGCAAGGAAGAACATAACGTACATAGACAGTAGAGCCACTGTTGTAGCCTGACGAGACGCTCAAGTGAAGATGATACCCCCATCAATGACAATGGTCTGTCCCGTCATGTAGTCGCTGTCCTTACTGCACAGGAAGCTGACCGTGCTGCTCACATCCTCAGGCACACTTGTTCGGCCTAATGCGATCAACTCATTGGTGTACTTCTTAATCGTGTCCCCCTTCTTCGCGCCTGTCTTTTCACCTAACTTCTCATCAATGAGATCCCACATGGCGGTGCCAACAATACCAGGCGCATACGCGTTCACGGTGATCTTGTGCTCAGCCATCTCCATAGCAAAGGCTTGAGTAAGGCCACGAACGGCCCACTTGGAGGCGCTGTAGTGAGATAAGAGGGCGAAGGGCTTGAAAGCCACGATTGATGCTGCGCCGAGAATCTTGCCGCCACTGCCTTGTTCGATCATCTGCTTCGCTGCGGTAGCATAGCAGTTGTAGACGCCATATACTAGAGACATGTCAATCGATGTTCTCGACACAAAAGCAAGGCAGACTGACCATTCACTTCGAACATACGCTTGAGATCCTGCTCTGTAAGATCGAGCAGCGCCTTGACTTGCGCGATACCGGCATTCGCTACCATGGTGTTTAATGGTCCTAATTCTGAAACAGACGCTTTCACTAGGCCCTGGACCTGGCTCAGGTTCGATACATCGGCGCTATATGAGAAAGACTTGCGCCCTAAGCCTTGTATCTGTTTCACAACTTCGTCGGCTTCAGATTTGTTGGCTTCTATGTCGTTGATGCAGACATCATATCCATCGTTAGCTAGTCGAAGAGCAATGGCCTTGCCGCTGTCGTGATTTAGTCAGGATCATTTCATATGGCCATGAAGTTTATGAGCCTCACATTCCACGAGCAGAGCCTGTTACTATGGCTGTCCGATTTTGATCCGATGCAACTGCGTAACTGCGAGCCCAACGTGTTGTTTGGGGAGCTACTCGTGGTATATTCGCGAATCTCGGGGCAGCTTGCCAGAGTGTCCTTGCTGGAAAACGAAATGACATGATGGTTGCTATCCTGGCGCAATAGAAATTCGAAGGGCAGACGCAAAGACCAGATGAATAACGGTACCTTGGGGATGGCGAAGCGATTAAGCTTCCCCCGCAGCACCCATATGGCCATATACTTACCCAGATCTCCTCATCCCGTATACCGGGAAGCTCACATGGGCTACCCGGACATGCGGAGTACGCGTAGTGTATGCACAACCCCTCTCGTGGTATCACGTCGGTCGCGCGGCGCGAACTTAGGCATCCTGATCGGGTTTAAGAGGCCCGGAAATGACGTCCTCCAGCTTGTCAGCCTAGTGCAGGTCCGATCATCACACGAGTCGAGTGGCACGGTTCCGCAGGTTTACTTGGGCGAGAGGCTAGGAAAAGCATGGTTGACGATGGAGGCAGGGGCTGGAGCCAGAGCTGGTGTTGGGTGAAGTGCGGGGAACTCGGGGATGCCAAGCAAGCACTCGCGAGTCTTCGTACCGAACTCGACGGAGCGCGTCTGTCAACAACCACCCAAACAAACTCACCGACGCGAACCACACCATGTCTCGAATGAGTATGGCGCCGCAGCGCAACCTGTCGCTGACAGAGGAGTTGGAGAAGCTGGAGCAGTCCATCACGCTCACACTGCAAGGTAGACACAGCTCCGCACACCCCACTATCACGACTGACACGGGCAGAAATTGACCAAAACTTCAGCCGAGCACACCGAATCGTCACCACCGGTATCCTCCCGATAGTCGAACAGTATGGAAAGCATTCGGAAGCTGTCTGGGAAGGCTCCAAGTTCTGGAAACAGTTTTTCGAGGCCAGCGCAAACGTCTCGCTCTCGGGTTACGAGGCCCCTGACCAAGACGAATCAGCTGTACATGAGGAGACGGAGCAATCACAGACATATGATGAGACGGTTGAAGACGAGGATACGGTAACAGGGACGACCACGACATCACCCCGACCCTTGTCTGCACAAGAAGACGCCGAGTCAACCATGGCTTTCGACTCGCCTTCGCTCGGACACAGCACACCACGAGCTCCACCTTCAATCACAAAAGGCAAAAATCTCGAAGACGAGGAAGATAGTGAATACGAGGAAGAGCCCCAGTTTGCTGGCATGTCTTCACCTTATGAAGCGCTGAAGTCTGAGTTCAGGCCCAATATCGGCGGCACCAAGACGCCAAAGCTTGAACCAGTCACACCCGGCAAGTCGCAAGCCCTACCAGACATGAGCGGCTTCGAGTCTTCGCCGTTCATGCAGCCTACAGCCACGAAACAGTCACACACCAACAACGACCCGCTGCTCCACCGCGTCCTCGACAAGACATACCGTGTACAAGCCACGCCGCTCATCAGTCCGAGGAAATACAAGCCCACGGGTGCTTTCACTCCTCGCGCCGGCCAGCGCGGTGCACCTACACCAAAGAGTGCCGCTACACGATTGTTGGACTTTGACTCTTCACCACCATCCTCGCCCGCGCCGCAACTACGAGCCGACATCTTCTCGCCCATGAAGACGCCGCGGACACCAGGCATAAGCGTGCAGACACCTGCAAAGGGCAAGCAACCAATGAGCATCCATCGAACCGGCGGTACAATTTTCGACGACAGCGACGAAGAGGAGGACGATCTTGACTTTAGCCCTCCGAAGACGATACAATTCCACATCCCACAGAGCAAGCTGATGCAGACGCCTGGTGAGTTCCCTCGGTCCTACTACCCTTGATGCAAACTAACATGTAGAAAAGCCCGAGAAGCTAGCAAGCGCATTGTGGACGACTTGCTCATGACAGCCGGCCACGACGTTACGGATTCGACGGGTGGTATGGAGGAGGACAGTCCCAGTATAGTGAAGCGGCAGATAGATCTTGACGATAGCTTCTAAAAGGTGGGGCTAGTGCTGTCAGGTGTTTGCGCATCTCTGAGCGCCCTGGTCCTGCATATAGAATTCGATACCCCATAGCATATAGGAAACTTGATTGATCTAGAATCAGATGGACTGGTGTGCTCTGGCCAATTTGCATGTGATCCACAGTGGAGGCGCTAGACAACGGCGGCGCTAGCGGCTGAGACCCCCTGCAACAGCTTCCGTCGTCATTCCACATAATCGCAGGCATCGACAGACGACGTCGGGAACAGCAAACCCCAACCGACTCTCGTTCTTTCATTCCGCACATTCCGCCATGCCCAAATCAAAACGACCGCCGACTTCGGGCTATGCCCGCATAGCCCAGGCCGAGGAGGAGGAAGACGACTCTGGCAGCGACTTCGAGGGTGAACACCACCAGAATCCCCTATCCAATGCGCAGTACGCCCCGATACAGCCACAGCGGAATTCGAATATGCGCATGAACGGCTCCGGCGCGAACTCGCCAAACCACAAGAAGAGTTCTTCTGGGCGACGGCAACGTGCCAATTCCGGCGTTGACATCAAGGCCATCAATGCGCGATTCGAGCGATGGGCCGACGAGATTGCGCAGAAATTCAAGATGAAGAAGCAGAAAGACTCGGCGGAAGATGAGACGCTTGAGATCCACCACTCCGTCTTCCAGGCGCCCGACTGGGTGCGACCAGCGACGGCAGAGTCGCTCACCTTCGACTATGACGTTTCCTCTGATCGCCTGACGAAACTCGAATTCGACGACATCGTGGAAAGCGTTCGGACGGCAATCGAAATGGACGTGCATCCTCTGCTGATCACACAAGGCAGCTCGGGCAGCTACTTCGCTCGAACTACACAGGGCAAGGTCGTGGGCGTCTTCAAGCCCAAAGACGAGGAGCCCTACGCGTCAAGAAACCCCAAATGGACCAAGTGGATACACCGCAACCTCTTTCCCTTCTTCTTCGGTCGCGCCTGTCTCATCCCCAACCTGTCCTACATCTCCGAAGCCGCCGCCTACGTCCTCGATACCCAGCTACGCACCAACCTTGTACCCTACACCGACGTCGTCGGTCTTTCCTCCAAATCTTTTCACTACGACTTCTGGGATCGGCGCGCATACTACAGGAAAAGGAAGCCATTCCCGGAAAAACTTGGGAGTTTCCAGGTGTTCTTAAAGGGCTTCAAGGACGCGAACATCTTCTTGAAGGAGAACCCATGGCCAGATCAGCACAACACAGGCTACAGCGCTGATAGAGCGGCACGCAAGAAGAAGCGAAGATGGGCTGAGGACTGCAGACCCAATGGCTCGCAATCAGACGGCGAGGATGATGACGAAGTATCCGGGAACGGATCCACACAACACCAACGGAGGGGCTTCTGGACGCCTGCCATACAGCAGTCCTTCAGAGAGCAACTGGAGAAACTGGTGATTCTCGACTACATTATGCGAAACACCGACAGAGGCCTAGACAACTGGATGATCAAGATCGACCAGAAGACACAGCAGGCAACCATCGTCGCAGAGCCGCCCAAGATGGATGGCGATGTGGACGACGATGACCATC